TTTATGTTCATGGCGAAACCTTTAGAGCACTTGACATCTTAATTATTAAAGCAGACATACGAAGGCATCTTATTAAATTCACTGTAACGCTTATGCAAACACGAAAGGAACACCACTGACCAACGGCGCAAGAAACCTCAATTACATTTGGTGAAGACGAATACACTTATGGAATCGGCAAAAGCTCATGGTACTAAAGATAAGTTTATTTTTGAGTCTAAACAAAAAAGCCTGAATTACTACCGCCGGTTCTCCAATATCTAAAAATTCTTTTTACTCTGTGTAACCTATATCAGATAAATTTGTTATTTTTCGCCTCTAAGATTAAACATAATATTTCTAAAATACGCCTTGAGTTTTCAAGGCTAAGACAACGCCTGCGCGCAAATCGCCTCTTAATCTATTCTTCTACTTAATCATTTTAGTCCTTTATGCTAAGACGACTTCTCGCCATATCGAATATTAACCAATTAGCCCTATCAGCCGAGGTGCCTAGTACACAACCAAAGAAACTAAACCAAGGACTGCCGACGGGAAAAAACGCCTTTTGTATCTGCTATATTATGTAAAAGTAATAATTAATGGTATTAGAACAAATTTCTGGGAAGATAAATAAGTCATTTATTAATTTAATAGAGCTTTCGATATAAAGTAAAAAATCGCATATATTAATTTTGACGTGTCAAAATCAATCATTATACATCTAATCCTTGGGCAACCCTGGCTGCTACAGCCGTGATTTAGAATTGCTTAATCTTATTTACCCTCTGACTAAGCAAGGATGCCGAAAAAAAAGCCACGTTGCGCCATTAACGAAAACGAATGCACTTTATTATCATTGCTATACAGTATACATATTGAAAGAAGTAGTACTAATATAAAATTACAATAATGAATGTTTTTATTATAAAATTTTATTACCAATTGACAATTAATCGAAAAGACCTAGGTATACTTAGTATATGACGAAGCAGCAAAAATCATACCAATTTTAACTGCATTTTTTTGTATAGAAATTAATAAATAAACAAGGAATTGTACTCCTATTAAATTTTTACTGTTACTGTTGTTGCTGACAGTTATATATTTATTAATGACCTATTACGGGAATGTCTTATACCTGTTTGCTTTCCCTGTAGAGAAATATTTGTTCAACTAAAATTAAAATAAAATAAGAGAAAACAAATTAACTAAAGAAAACTAATAGTCTACAGAGTTATTGTATTTCTATAGTATACTATACCAACACAAAAACAAAAAAAAGTTAACGCTGAAAACCTGCTAATGATGACTCTACTACCACGTTCCACGTCAAGAAAGCGGTATTTTTTAAGGAGTTAATATTTTTTCAATACCACACAATAGTACACAGTAGAAAAAGCAGTATTGAGGCTATTCGCATAAGATTAAATAAATCTTTTTTTTTTAAAATTAACTTAAGGTAAAAGGCTTTTTGTCCTAGCTGCTCTTAGTACAGGAAAGGCTTTGTGCTCCTCTACTATAAACTTTCTTTTTAAGTGTACCAGGCTAAAAGTCATAGACGGATTTGAGGCTCAGGGTTTTTAGTGACTTTATCTCCCAACTTTTTAAATAAAAATATCATTAAAATTAAGTAAATCAAAAAGTTAAAAAGATATATATGCGAAGCTTTAACTTAATTTAAATAGTTTAATGACTAAAAGAATGACTGAAGTTGAAGACACTTTACTTATAAGTTCAGAAGGTCAAAAATTTTATTTTTAAATTTATGTCCAGGTTAACAAATGTACTTTCACAATCTACTATAACAGGTCTTATAAAGTACAACTTATCTAAAGATTTGTCATCTACCTCATCCGATTCGGAAATTAGTTACGAAGAACTAAATATCCTTAGTGAGCAAAGTATAAAGTTTCTATAAGATTTTAAATAGATAAAACCTTTGTTTCCCAAGGGCGTCAAAGAAAACAGAGACTTAAAGAATGTAGAAAATTAAAAAAAGCTAAAAAAGAGAAAGCTAGGTCTCGTAGTACAAATAACACTTCTCAACACTTAAGTCGGGTAATTTACATTAAATTAGAAAGTAGTCAAAACACGTAAAATGTTTAATACCAAAATAATCTGTAGATAAAAATTCCAAACACATTTGGAGTATTTAATAAAGGTAAACACTCTGGAGTCTTCAGTCGTAAAAAGCAAAGTACAAAATGCAAGCGAGAGAAGTATCTTTTAATTTGAAGTAGTCCTCTTTACAGGTTTCGAAAGTTTTGCATTTGAGGAAACTGACTTTTTTAAGGCAAAAGAAGAACAGGGTAGTTTTTTACAGCAAACACTGCAGATAAAACTTTATTTAGTATACTGAGACGTTGCAGCTCTTACAAATAGTGCAGAAAAAGTCTTTACGAAAAGTATGGAAGCTAAGAAAACTGAGTCTAAGGAACCTCTAACAGATAAAACAATGATAAATCTACCCGTTAAACAAACGGGGGAAATACATCAAAGTAATTTTTTTTAAAAAAAAACGTAAGTATTCTTACTTAAAGTAATAATTAGGAAATCTACCAGAAGAAAAAGAAGGTAAAACACGCGACATCTTTTATAGAAAGAATTGTAAATAAAATTTAAAAAGATATAGCTGGTGGAGCTGTGGTAAGTCTGACAATACGCATAAACTTTTAAAATAAAAAAGTGTAACAGTTAAGCAAGTTGGACGTGCTTCAACTGTTAAGGAACAATTTTAACCCTGTTGGTGGTTAAGAACTTTTCTCGCTTCGTTAGAAAGCTTATTAATTACATCTTTGTGTCTTTCAACATACTAAACCAAAGAGGACGAGCCACCATATATTTTTTACTTTGAGCAAAAATTGCAAGAAATTAGAGAGCTCATAAACCGAGTTCAAGTAAACAAACCTCGTAATGAAAATTTAATTCTAATATTCATACTTGCATAGATTAGGGAAGACCACCTTGAAAGCCACAACTCTTCTATATGTGTACTTATTAATATCTTTAACTTAGATACATAATTATAATAAATACCTATATAAATAGGAAAAGCGTAGTACACCAATAATATTGGAGAAAACACACTCAAAGAAATACGTATATTCTTAATACCACAAAACTATTATTATTAACTGGATTTTAATTATTAGTTATTTGACAATTCCCTTGGTAATTCCAAGATGTGTTTTAACAATCATTCACTTACAAAAGTCCATCCTTGTAAGCGTTCACTTTCGAATAACTCAATCCTTCGCACGCCAAAGTTTCTAGACAAGCCAGTCAGACATGTTTTCCTACCCCGCCGTCTTTTCTAAAAGTTGCACCTTCCATGATAAGCGTTCCTAGACAGTTATTACACTTACAACATCCTTTTAAAAAAGTTTATAATTAATAAAAAAAAACTTTGCTTACCAATTTCTTTAAATAAAAAGTTGCCTTTATAATAACTTCTATACATTACTTAATATTTTATACTTTTCTCTTCTCTGATGCTAACAAGAAAATAACTACAAAATTAAAATTTAAAAAAAAATTAATTAATGAAAAAAAGCATTTTAATTCTTGGAAAACTAATTTTTATAGAAAAGGGATTTGATTACTCGCGATACCAATTTTGATTAGTTCTTCGAGTCCATTTTGTGTATATACCACTAAACTTTTACAATAAATTAAGCCCTTCAAGCTTTATTTCTATTTGCTTAAATTTTTTTTTATTTTGCAAACTTATTATTTATTAATATATTTAAATTTTACTATTTTATATTCTTTTTTACAAAAATTCTAATAAACATTTTAAAATCCCTTTTTTTTCTCTTCGCTAATTAGTTAACCACTAGGAAAGGTTAAAAGGTGCGATCACCATCCGCCGGCTCCGCGTAGGAGGACTAGTGGCCTCCAGGTTTGAAGTTTCTTGAAAGCTGGTCAGTCAGGTCTAGTCCTCCAGCCAGAAAAAAAACCAGAAGCTCCTAATTAATATTGCAACACGCAATTCTTGTAGTTAAGGGCGGCCGCAGTTAAAAATTCTCAGTCTCACTTCCCTCTTTCTACATTTTTTTCTAATTTTTCCACCCCTTAACCCTTTAAAACTTCTCTTCAACCTACTTTAAGCATGTTTTTTTAGACCACAAGCTTTATAAAGCTACTATATTGCACCTTTTACTTTTGCTGTTCGGATTTTATTTTATCTATAAATCTTGCGGACCTCTGAGGATTAACTTTTTTACAAACCAATTTCATAAGCTGATTTTGAATATCCCTTGTATTAACTGAGCCTGCAGTCATTTCTACATCATCAAAATCGTAAAACTACTTCATCATGCACATTTATTTTAAGTGTATTACTACAACGATGGCGTTTTCCTCTCTTTAATTTCCTATAATTACCAAAGAAAAACCAAATCATCCACTTTTCCTAATAATCTTGGGTAAAACACGTTTAAATATAACTAGAAATTTTCTTCATTAAGATTAAATGGCGTATATAGCTTTTGCTGTCGACAATCTCCTCATTAATAATCATAAAAACCTTCAATATAATACGGAGTTTGTCTTCCAGCCATACTCAAACAATACTATTTTAACAAAACTACTCTTCAAATCTTATTTCTAAGCTGCAGGCAACAATATAAAAAACATTTTCTGCAGAATTCGCAATTATAATTTTTATTGCTAATCTTTGATTAGAATTCAACACCTCAAATGATTTCCTACTCCCTTGAGGCGGGCATCCACACTTGGTGTGGTGGAAACTTATTCCATAATGATGGTCAGCACTGTTAGTTTCAATACGACCTAATATTATTACTGATATAACGGTTACTATTATAATAAAACCACTTAACCAATTCTTATTATGACGCTTATTTAAAATATTACTGCTAATACCAGTACTTTTACCTCTGTTATAACTTACCGGTATTACTGTAACTAGTACTGTATCAGCACTTTTTTATTTTATACCCTGTCCTCTTTTTTTTTAAATTTTGTTCATCACCAAACTTTAAATTAAATCCAAGTTACCGCTGGCACGACTTGGGCCTGCCACTATTGAACCGTCCAAGATTTTCCGGGTTCTTACTCATACTCACCTGCTGAAATCCTCTAAACAACTCTTCAACCTCCTTTAAAGGCCTCCTTGTCTTGAACTTTTTTACAGCTCAGTTTTAACTCATAAAAAAATTACAATAAGTTGTGTTAATTTATATTATATGTTACTACAATTGTGCTGAAATAAGTTATTTTTCTTTTTCGTAGGAGAACGTCCTTAAAGTATTGCTATTGCCGACTCTAATTGAACTAGTTTTGTTCCTTAAATTAAGCTAATTATGATATTTTATTTATTTAAGCCAGGTAGAAAGTAGCAGGTTTAAAGTCAATTGTATATAAGTTTTAAGTTTTATGGCTAACTTGATTTTTAATCCACGTAGTTTCTATCTGATTTAGCACTTCAAAGAAAAGAAAAAGAAATAAAAGGGTGGTAGGTGAAATCAAAGCTGTACATTCTAACAAACATTATGGTTATTGTTATGCCTTGCTCTTTATGCCTTCGGACTCATTAACTAGTTTTGTTTGAAACGACGGTTAGCTCTGTTGATTTGAAACCTAAAGGCTAATTAACCTTGAGGAAGTGAACTCTTCGCGGGCGATTCTTAGCTTTACATATTGTATATAACGGCACAGAATCAACAAGTGCAAAAAATGAACAGGGCCTTCAAATATTTTGTTATTTAAAAATACACTCAGGGAAGATTTCGCCTGCCACAGGACTTTATCAAACATGAAGTTTTTGCCCTTTTTAAAAGCATATTTTTCAACACGACCCGCACGCTTTTCTTTTCGTAGGGTTACGTACTAAAAGTATTACTAATGTTGACTAGAATTGAACTAGTTTAGAGCCTTTCCTATGACTACTACAGATCTTCCTCGGCAGATTACAATGAAATGCCCCGGGGGGCAATGCTAGTATTCAACGCGAAGCTTGCATAACAAAGTGAATAGTTTGTATGTAATCCATTTGTGTGTTTATTATGTTAAAGCAACAGAGTCAACATCACTCTTAAAAGTGGTAAAAACCACCATTAATAAAACTTTTTCAAATATCACCATACCTTAAAAGAATAATCAGCATGAACTACCTGTTTACCCAACCTGATATAACAGATATAAACTAACAAACCCAACGCTGATTAAACACAATATAAATTAATAAACAACTAATCCTAATACACTACTAGTACTTTATCTTGGTACTGATGCACCTAACTTGTTGTATTATGTTAGTAGTGTTTATTAAATTTTTCAAACTAAAGCTTGTTATAAGACAAGGAGCAACAATTGATTCTTTTTGATTTTTAAAAAAATTTACAAAAATACTGAATAACCAGTTGTCTCTTTATTGATAACTTTACACATACAGAGGAATATTAAGGGTAATAGGCAATCATTCGACGCCTTTTTATGTGTATGTATTAAATATTTTATGAGTAACGATAATATTATGGGTTATAATGAATCAACTTGTACTTTTTATAATTTCCTAATAATAATAAAATAGTCGGACTTGTCTAAAGGATAATCTGTGAAGGCCTCCGCGACAGCAACTTACATGTAGAAATAAAGTATTGCATATTTAGTCGTTTTCACTTTTTCATTTTATAGCCACATATTTGCTTTAATAAGGAAGCATATATATAAAAAGTTATTATAAAAAGCCCAAACTAGTTATAGTCGGCTAATGAAAAGAATGAATTAATTTGTCACCATGAAACCCAAAAAAAAGAATTATACTTATACCTTCTACATGCGGCAGCAACGTCTTTGTCTGGTTTTTTAATGCCAATGATTGTAATAATATACGTCACCACGAAACCTATATGGTTTGCAGCTATTACATAATATTTACTAATGAAAATTATATAAGCTTAACAGTATCTTTTTGTCTATAGCCAACCAAGTAAAATAACAACCTGCTTTAGTCTTAACAAATACTTTGCTCTCATACTTCAAAATATTAATCTCAGCTATGAAATAACACCAGTTTTTTTATTTAAAGCGTCAGAAATGCATAAACTTTACACTTCTTAATAGTCTGTTAGTTTACATAGAGTTCAGTCTTTAGTATTTACAACTGAATGTGTGTGATAAAGAAGAACGAAAACGAAAGTAAAATCTCTATAGATTACGTTAAGCTGGCATGGTTACAAACTTATACTCTATACATAAATATGGAAAATTTTCAGAAGTTAAGAGCTACAATTAACTCCTAACACATACAAAAATAATGTTTATCATAAGTTTACAGTATAGAAAAGCTTGGATAATAAGTATATGCACTATATCGATGTACTGAGTTGATCGATAATAATCCTTACTGTATTAAAAGCTGGAGAAATAAAGAGAGGTATAGTTTACATATTATCAGGTAACTGTTATTTTAAAAAATAAATCTTTTTAAATATTAGGACAAAATATTAACTTTTAGTCATCTAGACTTCTAAGTTGGCTAACTAACTTTAACTTTAATGCCCTTGGGACGTTTAGATTTAATAATATTTTTATTTACTTAACCAACGTCAACCTACGACAGAAAAGGCTTTGGATTCTGAGGAGCACAAAGTTAGAAAAAAACAAGCCACTTATTTTTTGTTAATGATTTTTATTTTATATTTATTGTTTTGACATAAACAATCGTTACCTGCTCTAACTCAAACTGCTTAACCTACAATTCCTATCAGAGGTTGATAACAAAGTTTCTTACATTAAAGGCCTTTTAGGCCAGCATATCATATAACACAAAAGCAGCGATTTCTTTATTTCTTAAGCGTTTATCATAATTTATTTCTTATTTTTTCTGTGTATAAATAATTATATAAGTTGGTAGATTTACTAAGCCGTTACAGTACTCGACTTTCCTATACTAACTTTAAAAAATATATTCTAAGTTGTTAGTATTTTGGAAAATGTGCAAAACAGAAATTTAATGTACTTGTTATTAAATTGTTAAAATGTTATTGATATATTGTAAATATTTTATAACTGCATTCGAGAGTTTTGCACAAATCTGAGTGCACCAGCAAGTCGAGAAATAGGGGGCCCATGCGACACATGTTTAGCTCATAGTAGCCCCAGCTTTATAAAAAAAAAGAAACCTTTTTTTGCATAAATAAGGCCTTAAGGCGGGGTTATATTTATTTCTTTTTTTTAATATGATTTTTTTAATACGGAGCTTATTACACAGCCTGAAGTCAATAATAACGGCAAGGTATTACTTTACCGACTGCATCTAGCGCGAGAGGTCGTGATAGCGTACTGCCTTAATATTATTTATCTCTCTTTTGAAGTTGAGCATCTTGTCGCAGTTGGTATGGTTAACCGTATTTTTTTAACTCGGAAAACTTGTTTTGAGTATATAGAATTAGAGCTGGACATACTTAATGGCATGCCTTATAAATATATGTATATATATACTTTACGAAGTCTAGAGCTATTTAATAAACACCAAAAAACAGTAGTACAATTTCTCGCAAATTCTTGTAAGGAGATTATTATTAAATTAACTTTTGTTTATCACTTTTAATATTTTAAGCTTTCCTAATGTGCAAATAAAATTCGTACAAATATAACTTTACTTCAAGAGGCGGCATGAATTAAAAATTAAGATAAGTAACGAAAGGGGAGCCTTATTGGATCGTAAAAATCCAGAAAGTGAAGGGAAATTGATTTTTTTTTAAATATTGGAGTTATATGTCCCTAAGGGAAAATTTACATCTTTTTTTTTTGTACAGGCAACAAAGAAATTAAGAAGATTTATAGTTGTGTATGTGCATATTTATTGGACTAAGCCCCTAATAATATGAGCTTTGCAGTGATAAGCGTCCCTCTTCTACAAGTTATCAAAAGAACTAAAGTTGGGCGTCTATAAAAATTTTTAATGCAGTTATTGAACTTCTTAAAACTTAAAAAAAAAAGCCAAAATAAGTACATGATTTTTCTTGTAACAAAAATATCATAAAACACTGATTGTGGTATAAATGACTTGCCATCTTGAGGTCCGCTTACCGATCCACGTAGGGCTCCATACTATACCATAGGAATATGTAGTGGGCACGTGATAAAATTAACATTCCACGTGGTTCTATCACCCACATGGTGCTATACATTTTTATATTTTATTAAAAGATTGAATCCAAGAATCAAGAAGAACTTCAGAAACTGTGATTCGATGTTGAGGTTCCAAACGGAGCAACTAAGATTTATACACAATTAAAATATTAATACATAAGAAGTAAAAAAAGTAGATGCAAGTTTTTTCTTAAAAAACTGAAAAATAATAAATTTTTTTTGCTAACATGTGTAATAAATTCCAACATATAACAATTGGTAGAACTTTAAAAGTAAAATAAAGTAAGAGTAAATATAAAAATTTTATAATATAAAAAAAACATAAAATTTTCATAACATAGAATTTTTTTAATAATTTAAATATAAAATAGCAACGCTGATGCGCCTCAACCAAAATCAGCCAAGAGATGAAAAGCAACGTAATATAGCCGCTTATAAATGAAGGCAAGACGCACATGACATATTTAAGTGCCCGTTATAAGGTAACTTAACAGGTCCAAATAATAATAAATACGCGCCGAGTAAGAATTTTTAGTATATTCATAAATTTTTCTTAAAAATTAATATTTTTATTTTTTTTTATAAACCTTTTTTATTATTATTTTAAAGTATAGTAAATAATTATTCGATTCAGTAGTTATAATAAGTTTACTATATGAATAAAAATTATATTACTGTCAAAAATAATACAAATGATAAACAAAATAATAAGAAGGAAAATGTTATCTAAAAAAATTTTTTTATAACAAAAAAAAGTTAAAAAAATAATAACAAAAAATTACTTTTCTCATAAAGTTAACAGCTAAAGAAGAAAGTTCAGGCGGATAAATTACATCAGCGGAAGCTATTCTTTTACACGTACTTTCGGGATCCTATTATAATAATAATAAATGGAAATAATAATAGTATATATGCTCTTAAAATAATAGTATTAATCATAAATAAAGATAATAATAGTGAATATCTTTTATAAATATACAAAAAAAGCTATGCATTAACATAATAAAAAAAGTTATACTTCTTAAGAGAATATTATAGAAATCATTATAGTAAATACTTTTTATAAAAAAAACTTTTATTATTAATAATAATAAAAACGTGACTTTATCTAAAAAAAATATAATAAAAATAGTAAATAGTGTTCGAAAACTTTTATATTATAAACAGTAAAATGGTATAATATAGGAAAGTTGAAGTACTAAAAAGCACTGCAAAACTCACATACGCAAATGTGCACTACTCTCATTATAATTAGAGATTGATAATAAAAAGAAAATTTTGCATAACAAAAATAGTGAAAATAAAATACATATAATAAATATTTTAATAAAATAAAAAGTAAAGAAAGCATTGATTAGATATATGATTAATATAATAGTAAATATTTTTATATAAATAAAAAATAAAAAACACTATGCATTAACATATATAATAAAGTAAAACTAATAATAGTAAATTTTTTTATTATATAAAAAATAATAATAAAAACTTCATTAACATAAATAATAAATAGTGATTTTCTTAATAAAAAATAAATATATTAATAGTAAATAGTTTTAAAAAAAAAGCATTAACAAACAATAAAAAGTAAAATTTTATAATAATTATTTTTTATAATTCTACAAAATATATAATAACAACACGATACTTTTGCTATGAACGGGGGGATTCCGGTAAGAAATTCATAACACAAAATTCCCAACGACCACACATCCACCTTTTAAAAAAGTTAACATAATAATATAATAATAAAAAATATAATAAAGGTAGTTTTATAATAATAATAATAGTACTAACAATAATAATAAGCAAAGAAGTAATAATAGCAGTAGTTACATAATAATAGAAGGAAAAATTTAATTAAAGTAACTTTACTATAATAATAACAAGCAAAAAAAAAGTAATAATAGCAATGATACAATAATAAGCAAAAAGTAAATATTAACGATTATACAATAAAAATATTAAGCAAAATAAAAAAATAATTGCAATTGTATAATGATAATAATATAAGCAAAAGTATTAATACTTTTGCTTATATTATTATCATTATTATTACCAATTATTATATTTCCTTGCAATTACTATTTTTAACTTTTTTATGTATTACTGAAATTCATTGTTATAAATTTTATTAATAAATATTATTAGTATTATATATAATTATTAAAGTAGTTTCTATATTGTTTATAAAGATTAATTATTACTACTCAGACATTTTCGAAAAGGATCACTTTAATTATAATAATTATTTATATTAATAATAAATATTAATTTATATTATTTATAAATTTATATATATTATTAAGCATTTATAATAACAACTTTTTATTGATATTATTATATTTTATTTTACTTTATAATCATATTCTTTCCCTTCGACCATTTCTGGGCTTAAATAATCTAAAGTACCACAAAGGGTTTTCCTTCGACTATTACTTTTAATAAAAAAAATATGTATATTTGTAAGAGGTAAAAAAAAATAGTAAAACAAAATTATTATAAATATTTATTATAAAATAAAAATAATATTAAAAATTAACAAAAAATAAATTTTTAAAAAAATTATGAAGTAAAAATAATGTTTTGAATGTTTAATTTATAATAAGTATCTGTTTTTTAAAGATATATAATATTTTAATTATTCAAAATATAATAGATAATAAAAAAAGGTTTTTATACAGAAAAAAATTAAAAAAATAATCTAAAAAATTTACAATATTTTTATTATAAATAAAATATAATGAAAAACACTACTTTCTGGTGACACGTGTAAAATAATAAATAAAATAAAGAATGATAATTTTAATGATATAAATTTTTTAGTATAAATATAATATAATAAAAATAATTAAAAATAAAATTAACTAAAAAATCGAATTTTCCAAAAGAGTACTTTTACTTTTATATAAAAAGTTCAAAACATTAAATAATTTCATTATTATATATAAATTTTTTCTATTATATAAAAAATAAAATATAATAAAAAACTTCTTAAGTAAAAAGATATTAAAATATTTTAGAAAATGAGAAACTTACAATCAAATATAAATTTGTTTTAAGCAAAAATTTAAGAAAAATATAATTAGAAAAATTATACAATAAAAAATTTGTAATAAAGAGAATATAATAAATATATAAAGAAAATGATAAAAACTTTTATAATTTATTTAATAATAATAAGTATTATTAAATATAAAAAAGTTTATTATAAGAAAAATTATAAATAAATATTAGAATATAAATTCTTTTTTTTTAACGTAAAAAAAAATGAATTTAAGAAATTTGTAAAAAAGTTTATTTCTACATTTCAATAATAATAGAAAGTAAGTAAAGAAAAAAATATTTTAGTAATTAAAAATAATATGTAATAATAATAAATACTTATAAATGGATCGCTAATTATTAAGTAATAGTAAAATTCATATATAAAAATATACATATAAAAATTTTATACTAGAAAAGTAAAAAAGTTTTATATATAAAAATATTGCTAAACGTAAAATAGTATAAAAAAAAAGTATTTTCTTTGAAAAAAATATACTAATGATTTTTTATTAGAAATCGAAAACATTCAATAAATTTTCGAAAAATAAATAAAATAGTTTAGTGAATATATTAAAAAGTATAAGAAAGCAATAATATAAACGTACACAACATGTATTAGAAAAGTAAAAACTTAATAAAGAAAAAAGTAATTTTTTTAATAATAAAATTTATATATATAAATTATGTAATAATAATAATTGATAAGCAAAACAATTAAAAAAATTTGGAGTTCACTATAATTAGTACAAATAAATAGCACTAAAACTACAGAAAGTTATAAATATGATAATAATAATAATAATAGTAAGAAGAGTAACGCGTTGGATGAAAATAAAGGAGACTAATTTATTGAAAAATACAAGAGCATTAATAATATTATCACAGTTACTGAATTATAATATGAATAAGTATAAATAATAAATGGTGTATTATAAAAATATTAAAATTTCACTAAATTTATAACCGGCAGTCCTGAAAGCGGATTGGTTAAAAAAATAGTAATAATAATGAGTTTTTATATATCTATTAACTTTAAATAGACATTAATAAGAAAAGTTGTGAAACAAAAAAAAAAATTCAAATTCACTAAAATTTCTAGCGTATTGTTTTAAAGTAAATAAGATTGGAAAATGAAAAAATATTTTATCATAATAAAAAAAAAAGTTATAAATAAATTTACGATAAATATAAACTCATAAAATTTTATTATTCCTGGCACCCCCAAAAATTTATCACCAAAGCTCTTTAAAGTAATAATAAGAATAAATACTAAAAACAATTACAAAAATGTATAAAAATATCACCAAAAAACTCTAAAGTAAAATAATAAGAGTAAATAATATACTGCAATATATAATAATATATAGTAAATATTAATAGTAATAGTAATGAACAATTTAAAAAAAATATATAAAAATATATATAAAAAGAAATAAATAAAGAATTTAGACTAAAAAAAGTTTTTAAAAAACGAAGAATATTTTGTGTTCAATATAAGGTGGCCTGTACTTACTTTTATGATCCTTAACAAATGCATAAAGTTTAGAGAAAAGGAAGTAAAAATAAGTGTAAATATTATAAATATATAATGCAAAATTTGCTTTTTGGTATTAAATATTATATATAATAATTATTATTATAAGAATAATTATTAATAATAAAATAGATAATAAGTAATAAAAACCTTAAGGAAAAAAAAAAGTAAATATAAAACCTTTCAGTATATATTGATTATATAAAATATTTACATAAAAATTATTATTATAAAAAATAATTATTATAGATGAAAAAACTAAGTAATAAGTAACTAAGAACTTTTAAGGAAAAGGAAGTAAAGTATAATATAAAAGTGTAAAACTTTTATTTATATACTGATTTATATAAAATATTACATGGAAAAATTATTATTATAAAAATTAATTATTAAAAAAAATAAATTATATATGAAAATTATTATTAATTAAAAATGAAAATTAAATATTCTATAAAAATTATTATTACAAGGAGTAATTATTAATAATAATCAAAAGTAAACGAATTACTTTCCAAAAGCATGAACAGACCAGCCAAAATCTGATATTTTCACAACTCCTAAAAATTATAAAAAAATATTTTAAGAAAAAGAAGTAAAAAAGTTTTAATAATAAGTAAAAGATCAGTTGTTTATATAAAAATAATGAGTATTAAAAAAAAAATTAAATAAAATAATACTAAAATAATTATATATAAATATTTTGCTAAAAAGAAAAAATAAAGTTTTAATAGCAATAAACTATAAATATCGGTTTTATTGGAATGGTAACAATATTTAGTAAATAATATTATAATATAGAAACGACTAATAATAATAGTAAAATATTAAATAGTAATAAACACCGTTGTCATCTAAAAGTAGATTTTCCGGCTTCAAGTCTCGATGAATCACGGACCGCACGTGGCAATAGTCCAATGCTGAGGCGATTTGCTTGATATACTGGAAAAAAAATTTAAAATTGCTACGATACGCGCAAATATTTTAATAAAAGTAAATCAAAAAATTTAGAGTATATAATTATTATTATTACTTATATAGAAATTGAAGTAATGAGAAGGGTAATAGTAATAATAATAGTAAATAATAATAATGCTAATACTAATACTAATACTAATACTAATAATACTAATAATAATAATAATAATAATAATAATAATAATAATAATAATAATAATAATAATAATAATAATAATAATAATAATAATAATAATAATAATAATAATAATAATAATAATAATAATAATAATAATAATAATAATAATAATAATAATAATAATAATAATAATAATAATAATGAAAGTGCCTGAGCGGCGTGACTTTCTTCAAACTTCCCCAACTTTGTAAGTCGGTCATATAAATTTCCTCCTTTTGCGTACTCCAGTATTAAATAAATGCGGTCTTTATCGTGAAAATAGCCGTAAAGCCGTATAATATTCGGATGACTACAAGAAAAAGTTTTATAATAAAGACTTTTTTATATATAAATATTTTATGAAACTATAAATATTTATAGTATAAAAAAATAAAATTAATAAAAATAATTTCATAGTAACAAGAAAGTTTAAATAATATCATATTCTACATGTAAATCGTATTATAAATTTTATGAATTTTGAAAAATAGCTTTTCATATATAAACACTATAAATATATATATTATATATAATAAAATTTAAGAAAAATAACTTTATAGTTACAAAAAGGGTTTAAAAAATCATAATTTATATGTAAATCGCATTAAAAAGTTTTTTTAAATTCCAAAGAGTTATAAGTAAAAGGAAAAATCGATAACTTTTGAAAACTTTCGTTATATATAAATATTTATAAAAAATTAATATAAATTTATAGTAACAAAAAAGTTTGTAAATAATATCATGGTAAATATATCAAAAAATTATAAAAGTTTTCCATAACTTTAAAATAATTATAAGTAAATAAAAAAATTCAAAGCTTTTAATTAAATTTTGTTTTTAAAAATATAATAATAAATTATCTTTATTAAATTTATTATTACTATTATTATATTCAAAGAGTATAAGAAAAAAATTTTAAATAAGTAATAATAAAAGTTTAGAGCAATTATCAATATTTATTATAAAAAGTGTGTAAGAAAAAATATAACAAAAAATAAAAAAGTAAAAAAGTTACTTTCTAACAAATTAATAAAATTATTATTAAAAAGTTTATTATAAAAAAAAACGTTAAATTATTTTATTATTTTTGTAAGTCTTTCTTTAGTTCTTCTAGAAAACTTTAAAATAGTTTAATAAAAAATTTTATAAATCATCATACTTAAAATTTTTATTATTAAAATGTTATTTAATTTATTATATTAATAAAAAGGTAATAAAAATACTATTGAATAAATAATATTATAAATTTTACTTTTAAAAAAATAAAAATATTCAATAAAAAATTCTAAGAAAAATTATGTAAACAACAAAAAGAAAGTCAATGCTTGTAAAAAGCAAAACATTACATTATCAATAATTAATACTTATCAAAAAACTTATAAAAAGCAATATTATAAATTTTTTTTAACAAGTTATAATAAATAAAGTAAAATGGTTTTGATAACCATAAAACAAACAGTCTTATATTCATATAAATTTGCTAAGTTTTTTTATAAGAATTATTCATAAAACTTTTTGACATAAATTATTAATAAATTAGAAAGTAAAATTTATAAAGGTAATAAGCAAGATAATATTATTAATATAAACTATTAATTGTACTAGTGGAAACTTTTTTGAATATTATTATTATTAATTATTATTATATTTTTAGTATATCCCTGCCTATATAAGTTTCAATGATGAGTAGAATCAGCCACTCATTTTAATAATTTTTTAAATCAACCAATCATATTAAGTTATTACCAACTTTTATCAACTTTTATATATAAAAAATTTTATAACTGCTTAAAAAATGTAAAGACTTTATCAATGTATTTATAAAGTTTATTAAGTTTAGTATATTTTCAATCGTAATATTTGAATAATAAATAAATATAATAAGTAAAATTTTATTATATATGTTAATATTCATAACTCAAAAATATTTTAAACGATGTATAAAAAACTTTTTAAAAAAAAATAATAAGTACTAAAAAAGCATTCAAAAATTTTGTTATTAAACTTCAAAAATTTCTGATAAAATTTATATTAAATATTTTAAAAAAATTATAAATAATAAAAATATAAAATTTAGAAGAATTTTGAAATTAAAAGGATCTTTCCTTCTATAAAGTTTTAAAGAAATTAGTATATATAGTTACAAAGTTTTAATATTATTATTTTCTTCTTAATAAATATAATTCCTTGAAATGTGCTTTCATTAATAATAATATAAACCAAATTTTTAATATAAAAAAATAATAATTATAATATTAAAAGTAAATAAAAATTTTATATTAAATATTCTCTTTTTTTTTTTAAATTTAAATATAAAAATTCAATAATAAAAGCGCTAAAAAAATAGCTTTTAGTAAATATAAAAAAAAAAGTTGTTTTATAAAAAATTATTACTATAAATATAGTAAAATTTATAAATAAATTATAATTATAATAATTTAATTAAAAATTATTTATTAAACTTTTCTTAAAAAATAAAAGAAATAATAAATATAATATAAATAAATAAAAAATATTGTTAATAATAAGTAATTTAAAATAAATGAAAGAAATAATTAATAATAAACACAAATAAATATAATTTTTGAATTAAAAATCATAAAAAATAAAAAAGAAATGAAAAATATATTGAAAAAATAAACTTAATTATAGCTTTGCTTTAATAAATACAAAACTTTTATTCAATTTTTCCTGTAATTATATAGTTTCATATTTATTATACTATAAAACTATTATATAGTATTAATAAAAGTAAATAAATAAAGTTATATTTTTATTTAAAATAACGTTAAAAAAAGTTTTCCCTAAAAATAATATTAATTTTAGAATCATTTACATTAACAAAAAATAATATGGTTGTCTATAAAATTTTTATAATATTAATCTTTTTTAAAGTTTCTGCAATTGTAAAATAGAAAATTTAAAATGTTAAGTTTAAAATAATCAATAGAAGCCTAAAGAAACTTTATTATGATAACTGTTAACTCGACTATAATTAAAATAATTGTAAATCTAGAGAGCTTCATCATTGGATTGTTATGAATAAAATTTTATAAACTAAATTATTATGACTAAAAAATTTATAAAAATTTGTATATTATGCTAATGTGCAAAAAAAAAAATAAAAAAACCACAAATGGGCTTGTATTTCAATTTCGCGTTTAACTTGGTAACGAACACAATCACTTTCAAGTTGAGATTTAAAAATTATCTTTAATATAAATAAACATGTTGTAATTATGAGTAAAAATTATAAAAAAATTTAAAATTAAAAAAAAAATTTTTTTCCTTTTTTAATTTCAATAGTTATTTTATAGTTTATCAAAAAAAATACATTAATAAATAAAATTAATAATTCAAAGAAAATTAATTTGAGTACAAAGAAATATTAATAAAGAACCTTTAAAGCAATGAGGTATCCTCTATCTTTTTCTCGAGCAAGATAAACATTACCAAACTTCCCTCTATACGTAATAAGTTTTCATATACTATAAATTTTTTTAAAAAAATTATATTTTACTTTCCGAGCGTCCTTCCTATTTCAAAATCACTAAGCTTCCATCTTTCTAATAAAGTAAAAAGTTTATATACCAAATTTTATTTACTTTTATATGTTACCTTTATGTTCAGTTGCTTTACTTGCAGGTAAATTTTGATGGATGCTAGCCGATTGAGTATTTTTTAAAGTGGTCTAATAGTAAATATATGTTTAGAAGTAAATAGAATAAAATTTAAAAAAGAAAATTAATTTACTAAAGATGCTGCTTTGGAAATATTCAGAGAATGGTTTAATATAAGTTTAGAGTCTAAAAGTGTAATAAAAAGAATTAAATTTGATTATTATATTAAGGACTAAATTATATTTATTGTCGGTATTTTAAAAAAATAAAATCTTATATAAAACTTAAAAAATTTATAGTTAGTCACAAAAATTGTGTAAAAATCAGAGATTTTATTTATTAAGTTAAAGAAAATAAAATTTTTACTCGCTAAAAACTTTTTATTTGCTACAATTTCTGAAGAAAGCTCTGAATTCGCTGTGTCACAGGGCCTTGTTTCATTAGAAGAAGTTTTAGCTAAAAATAGAAAATTATCTTCTTTACTTGAACTCAACCGAGTGTCATTTTGTATAGAGCGTGAAAACGGTTTGGATAACTGTAATGATTCTGAAATACGAAGATGCCTTAATTCAGAAAGAGTGCTAGCTGTAAACTGTCCTGTACTTTCAGTTTTCCGTTTACAAAAGTTTTTAGTTGGCACCTTTTTTGGGTCTTTTAATACAACTAACTTTTTTGCTTTCAAAATAGAACTATTTGTAGAAATTAAAGAATTATTGATATTATGAACGGCTTGAGGAAAATTGGAATTTATATGTTTATAATCAACTAAAGAGTGTTCCTTTACTTGTTGAGAATTAGCTTTCGAAGAAAGTGAAGATATAGAGGACATTTTACATTAACTAAAAACAAGTAAAACTAAAACTAAAACTTAATTTATTATAACAAGAAAACTTAGTACACTCAATCCACTAAAATTATGGAAAACGAGGGCGAAAAAGAGTTATAAGTGGTTGAACGACTTAAAAACGCGTGCATTCGTTATACTGTTTTGTGAAGGTTTTCATCGGGGTTTAAAATTTAGTTCACATCTTCTGGCAGTGTCCTCAATTAGATAAATTTACACTCCCCTAGCATTATTTTAGAAGCGTTTCTAAGTAATTGATGAATAAAAAGAGTATGTTAAAATAAGAGATAAAAAAAAATTAAAGTTTAAACATAAGATCTTTTGTGTTAAAACTGTTTAAATGTCAATAATTTTTAAGTTAATGAAGAGTGCTAGCTTTAATATTTTTTAAACTAAAGGTTTACCTACTTTATATTAAAACTTTTTTTATAGTTCAATAATGAGAACTCTTTTCCCCTTTTACGTTCACCTCTATTTAGTTCATATATATCATTGCGTATATTTTTAGGTAGGCATATTTTAAATTTTTCTTCATCTCTTCACAAACTTATAGTTTTTGAGAATATACGGATAATTTTGCAAGCAAATTATTATCTTACATTAAATTGCAAACAAGAACAAATCACTTAGAGAATGTCTCTTTAATATAATCTAGCGGTAAATTTTTTATTAAAGCCTAATGCCGGACTCCCATAAATTTTTAAATAACTTTTAATTCTATTACCAAAGTTTGCCGAAGTCAAAAACCTGGAAAAACTAGAGAGAGACTGTGCAACTTACAAAAAAAGTATTTTTTTTTTACTCATTAGTACAACAAAAATAACTCTATATTAACTATATTCCACTACAAATAATAATAATAAAAAATTTATTATAAAAAAAACTTAAGACTTATTAGAAGGCCCCACCTTAGGATTCATTTCTAACGTTTTTAATCTTTTTAAAAATTTCATTGACCGATTTCTCGTGTTTCTTTTTGAAAAGCTCAATGTTTTCAAGTTGTTTTTCTTTTACTTCTTCTCTTCTTTTTTGATGTTCTTCTTCCTTTTCCTGAGTTAGCTTTAGATATTTATGGTTTATTTCTACTTCTTGCTGTTTTTCTTCGTCAGTTTCGGTATGAAATAGTCCTCCTGTTAGTCCTTTTTAGTTAAGAAACTCAGTATTGAGATGTTTATTATGCATATGTTTATATAAATCTGAAAATTATTTTTTGGTTCAGATAATATCTTTGCATAAATTAATATGAAGTTTATATCAAGCAATTTATCTTTATAAGCTCTCAAAGAGACTAAAATATTGTGCAAATAGTAAAATGCATTGTCTCTACTATCAACCTGACAAGGGCCGTTCATATGCTGAACGGCCTACACAAATAAAACTTTACCATCAATATACATGCCGTTTTATATAAAAAGTCCTCCTGTTTAAAAATTCTTTTTAAAAAGTTTTACTGAATTCACGTTTAGTATTAAACACTTTAAAAGAAATAATTATTACAATTACTTAATAACTTGAAACTTTTTTTTTTCACACAAATACTATTTTTTACTAATAATTGTAGCTAAAAAAATTGGAGGATTTGAAAAGATCCAAGTAAGCGGAGATAATTTATAAGAAAATAGTCTAGTGCAAGTTAATTAATAGCATTTGCAGTAAATGTTCGCTAACCTAAACAGCTGTAACTGTTAACCATTTCTTAGCGTGTATATGATAGCAATAGGTTGCTCGTTAACTTCATTAATATATTACTTTTAAAAAAAAATTTTTAAACATAAATTCCACAAATGTATTCTAAACTATCTACTTAACTACGGCCCTTCGTTATATTAAATATATATGATTAGTTATATTTTAGGTACTCTACAAAAATTCAGGAAGACTTCCACAAGAAATCTACAACTTAACCATTACCTGCTTTCTTTTTAATTCTTTTAAGTTCCTCAGATCGTTTATGATTTAAATCACTAAAATCGTTAGCTTCAGATTTAAGCAAAGCAGAATATTCAGCTTCATAAAGAGCTCGTTGAGCTGCAAGACATTCAAAAAAGCGTAAATTGAAGTTATGAAGTTGACTCTGCAAGTGATGCTCTATCAGCTAAATTTAATGAACTTTAGCTAAATATAAATTCAAAGAATAAAAGTTTTCAAAACCGCGCTGAATTATAAAAAAGTAGTATAGTAAAAATTTAATTAAGATTATTATTGCAAACAATGCGGAAGAGTAATTTTTCCTCACCTGGGATTCATAGCGGTGCGCAATCGGAAAAAAGCTCTTTTTAATTTCCATATCTAAATCATGACTGTTTAATTGCTCTTCCTTTGGCCTTTAAAATTCATTATATCGTTAATTAATATTAAAATTTACTAATAAAATAAAATCCAATAACCAATGTAAACTCAAAAAGTAAAGAAAAGAACTTATAAATACATAATTAAAGAAATATGGTGTAATAAAAATATTTAAAGGGAAGTAAGAATTAAATTAGCCAACAAAATTAGTTTTATATTAACTTTACTTATTTAGACCTTTTAGAATTTTCTTTTTTCATAAGAGATGCTAGCTCTGAATGTTGCGTAGACAACTTTTCCTCTAAAATTTTAACTTCCTTAGCTCTTTTTTTATTTTCTAAGGATTCCATTTTCATACTCTATAAATAAATGTGAAAATTTTGCTTACACTAAATTTATGAATAATCTTGATTAAAATAAACTCTAATAAATTATGAAAGTTTCTTGAGTGTATATTCTATATTATATCTGTAATTTCATTAAAGCCTATTTACTTTTTTCTTTATCTCCTCGAAACTATTTTGTGCAGTTTTTAGAGCCTTTTCTAAATCTTTAGTAGCCGGGACTAGGCCTGTTGTTTGAGGCACTTGTTCTATGGGCGGGAGCTTTAGTCTGTCATTAGCTTTTAAAAAGTAACCCTTTTGAATTTAAAAAGAAATAGAGCTATTATCAACAAAGTTAATGCAAAACTAACCTTCTTTAAATTTTTAAATTGCTCAAATTCCTCTTCAGTATAATCATCAAGAGGGTCTAACTTTAACTGCAGAATAGGCTGGACAATTCTTTCTTTTTCTTCTTCTGTTAACTCTTTTTCCTCTTCTTTATTTTATAAGTAATACATAAAATAATACAGTTTCATTTGTTTTTATATATGTTATATTCTTACCATTCTCACTTGGTTGCTCTTGAGGGAGAGATTGTTCAGGAGAACTACCAGAGTTTTTCATTTGACTTGAAAATTTACTACCTGGTTTACACTTAAGCCGCAAATGGGGTTTTTCTATTATTTTTTAATTATCAGTAAAATATCTTTTGAACCTTTAGATACCATTTAGTAAATTATAAAATTATGTTCCCCAAGACTGATACCAGATATGGAAATGGAAATAAAATCGTAAATATGTAACGTTGTGGTGTGCACTTTATAAAAAGTTTTTCTTATTACTGCTTCAAATTTGTAGGTTAAAGTTGTTAACTATTATTTTATTAATAAAAACTAAGTTTAAAGTGAATTAATTAAAAACCTTTAAGCAAAAAGTAATGCAACCTTAAAAAGATAGCTGTTAAGTTCTACTAAGTATTTCATATATTGTGAAGATCATAATTTTATAGTAACCCTTTAAAAAACTCTTCCTTCATACCAATTTATATAAACTACTAATATTAACGTACAACTTCAGATATTTTTTTATATATATAATTCTGTAATATAAACTGATTAATGAGCATGTTGCGTAAGTAAGGCCAGGACCAACTACCACTCTCCGAGCTTGAGTACAAAATAAAATATATTATTATTTCTTATTAGAACACAGAGAAAAACTTGATACCTCTCCAATAAAATTACTGCTTTACATACATAACAGCAATGAGTAAATATGTATGATTAAAGTATACTTTTTATAATTTAATACTTGTTGAAAGTAAAAATAAGGTTTTGCGCTACTAAGCGGATTACAAAACAAAAGTTTGCTGGACATTTTATACTCCAATAAAATTATTGCTAAAGCGCATAAAAATTGCTTTGGTGTTAGTTGAAGAGTAATTAAATTTTCCTCTGTCGTAATGTTTTGGTTAAGCTCAACTTTTTTATAATTGTAAACTCTTTTTTTTTACTTTTTCAACTTGTGCTATGAATAATGAAAGTCTTCAACAGAAGCGTTCTTCTATTACCATGGAAAAAAGTTTTATTTCCAGTTCGGAGTTTGTACATTTTTTTACTATTATTTTGCTTCTAGTAATATATTTTTCTAAAATAAAATAATAAGGTAAAAAATATGATAAATAAAAAGAAGTTATTGTTTAAATTTATTTCTGTGATTTTTAATACTTAAATTTTTAATTTAAGCAGTTTTCTTTTAAAATAACATAATTACTATCACTTTTCAGCTTTAAAACCCTTATCGGCGGAAATCCGTTAGGAGCAAGTATTTATATATAAACCAAAACCACTGCGGAATTAATTTTTTTATTATAAAAAGTTACTCATAAAATCTACTGCTTGGATGAGCCCATTTACAATTTTGATATTGAAGATTCAGAAAATTCCGACGAAGAAAAGTTAATAACTTCTGCTAAAAATATTGTCCAGTGAGTTTTGCCATATCAAAATTTTATAAAATTCTTGTATAATTATATTTTTTATAGGAAGGTCGAAGCTGTAGATTCTTATAATAATTTTAAACTAAAATCTTTATCACCAAAATTATTACATGAGATATGCGCATCAAAATCTGTACTTTTTTAAATTTAATTAATTTAACTTTTTTATAATTTTTTTTTGAAAACTTTTGGCGCTCTACGTTAGCCTGACTACATCCAAAGGTTTCCTTGAATATTTAAAACTGTACAAAAAAATTATTAAAAAACTAAATTAATTTAAAATACTTTAACAAAATTCAGATTTTTAGTTATTATATAATTTTTACTTTTAACTTTAATTTTTATAATTTAAATCTTTTTAAAAACTAACTGACCGTATAAAAAAATGTTTATAATAAAATTTATTATCTGATTAAAGTTAATTATTAACTCTATTAGTTAATATTAATATACTTGTTTTAATAAATCAAATAGAAAAATATTACTTCTAGGCTTGACGTAAAAAAAACCTAAATTTTTAAAAAATTTCTAATTAGAATTTTTATTATTAATTTTATAAAATTATAAAACTATAAAACTTTTTTTAATATTCTATTAACTATTTATATTTTATTACTCGGAATAATAATAAAAATTCGGAAATATTTTTTTTATAAATAGTTAAAAAAATTTTTCTTAGGTATATAATTTCGATGGCTTATAGAATTTCTTTGGCAAACTTTTTACTTTTTATTATTTAATAATATTATTATAACACCTTTTATTGTATTATTATTTATTTAAAACTTTTTATAATTATAAATTTTATTTTTTTATTGAAGTTTTGAACTTTATAAAAGTGCTTACTTTCATTACTTTTTTAATTATTTATAATATTATTTAATCATTAATCTATAGCAATATAAATATTTTTTCTCTTAGGAGTTTATTTTATTATAAAACATTTGTAAAATTTATAAATATATACTTTTATCTTTTTATTAATGTTCATTATTATTGCTATAAATTTTCTAATAATTTTTGAATTTACTTAATTATTCTTTTTTTTTGTAAGACTGGAAAACAATAATAACTCGAAGCTTTCTTTCTCTACTGAAGACGTTGAGAATAATAATAATAATAATAATAATAATAGTAATAGTAAACTATGTTTTTCTTCTTGTAAAGAAAAATATTACCCTTTCAATACTCTTCACACAAAAAAGTATAATAATAGTGAAGAAAAATTGATGAGTAAAAGTTTTAATGAAGATTTTATTATTAATAATTTTTCTTCCCGCGAAGAAAAGAACAGTTTTGATAGTAATATAAAAGAAAATCATAAAAATTCTGGAAATATAGAATTTTCCAATAACATTTCTTATAGAAATACAACTTCAGAAGTTTCTGTGAAGAATATTATAAATAATAGTAATAATACTGAAGAAACTTATTCTTTGGAGCCTTTAAAGGAAAGGCCCAACAAACTAGTTGATATTCATAAAAATACTTGCGAGCAGGAACTACCCGATATCGAAAATACCGTGAAGGATTGGCTCTATCAAATTTGTGTTAAAGAGCATGCAATAACGCATCCCATTCCGCCTCAAGTGAGTTATTTGCACCAATATATGCTGTATTTTGTACTTTTATATGTATAAAAATACCTGTTTATAGTTATTTTAATATTAAATGTTTTTCTACTATAAAAAAAAGTTTTATTTTCATAGTTTTCATTTATAAATAAATATTATTTTACTTATTCTATAAAAAGTTATATTTTATATATTTTTTATTATTTTTATATTGTAGTTTACTTTTGGTACTATAAAAAAATTTATATTTATATTTTCATTATTTTTATGTCACATTTTACTTTTTATTCTATAAATAAAGATTTATTCTATATATTTTCCTTACCTAATTTACTTTTAATAGTATATAAAAAGTTATATATTATATAAATTTTAATATTTTTATATTCTAAATCTCCTTTTTATACTATAAAAAAGTTGTATCTCCTTTTTATACTATAAAAAAGTTGTATTTATAAAAATTTCTCTATTTTGTATATTCTATTTACTTTTTATACTATAAAAAAAAGGTTGCATTTTATACATTTTTTTACTATAATTTTATATTATATTTATTTTTTTACTATAAAAAATTTATATTTTATATAATTTTCAATATTTTTTATATCCTACTTTACTTTTTATAAAAAAGGTTATATTTAAAATAATTATATTTCCTAAGGCTACCGAAGAAGAACGTACTCTTCGGAAAAAGGATATTTCTTCCCTTATAAATTCTGTAGAACTCGTTCAAAGAAAACTTAACGAACTTCATATTAAGTTTGAGCAAACAAAGTAATTTTTATCTTTAAAAAATATTTATTTACAATAACTTTTTTTTATATTTTATTAAAAAAAATTTCTTTTTATTATTTTTTATAGTAAAGTATTATTATTATTTATATTTTTTATAGGAAAATATATTTTATGATAAACTTATTATTTTTATTTTTTACATATTAAGAAAAGATAATTGGTACTATTATTTGGTAGAGAAAAATTAATATTTCTTATATTTTCTAATAAAGTATTATTATTTATATAATTTTATAAATAAAATATTTTTTAATATTATAAACTGTAAATAAAAAAATATAATATTTTTTTTTAGTATTATATATTTTGCGTTTCATAAAAAATATTACTATAAAGAAAATAAAAGTATTATTATTTTTTTTTAAATAATATTAAAAAGATAATTAGTATTATTTATTGTAGAGAAAAAATAAGATAATATATTTTCTAATAGAGTATTATTACTAATTTTTTTTTAAAAAAATATATTTTTTAATAAAATTATAATAATTTTTTTTTAGTTCTATCTATTTTGCGTATCAAAAAAAAAATCAAATATAAATAAAAATTAAAGTATTATTATTTGTATAATATTCATTTAAGGAAATATATTTAGTATTATTATTTTGTAGAAAAATATTGAAAAATTATTTCGAAAAAATATTTTTTATTTTTAAATTTAAAATTATCTTTTTTTTTACTTTTAAAAAATAATATAAAATTTTTTTTATTTTAATATTTATAAAAGTTATAATTATTTTTTTTTTATAAAAATAATATTAATAGTAAATGATATAATAATCTTACTGTTTAGTTCTATATTTTGGCTTTAAAAGAAAATATTATTGATATATATAAAATATAATTTTATAATTCTTTTAATTATTTTTTATTACTTATAGAAAATGCTATTATTATTATAAATATTATATAATAAAAAATGTTTTATTTAATAAATTTTTTTTATATTTATTATAAAAAAGTTTTTGTAAGTTAAAACTTTCCGTTTTTAAGTAAAAAATAAATACAATTTTATAATATTTTTTTAAATTTTAAAGAAGAAAAAATTATTATATAACATATTATCCATACAAAAATATATATTTCCTTTTATATATTATTTTTTTATAATAGAATTTATATATTATTTGCATTCGTAATCTTTTGAAGATAAAATTAACTTTTTATAATAAATCTGCCATATTATTATTTATTATTTTTTTTTAAAAAAATATATATTTACTTTTCTTTACTTTTTTTTAATAAATAATTATTGAATTTATATTTTCTATGTTTTAAAATTTTTTACGTTTCTTTACTTTTTAAATAAACTTAAATTATTTTTTATCATTATTTTTTGTAAAAAAGATAGACATCAAAATTTATTTATAAATCTGATCCAGTTTATCTATAATATATAAACTTTATAAAACTAAATATATATATTATATTACTATAACAAAATATTGTACAATTGCTGGGATTTTATAAAGTTTATGTATGTTTTATTAGTATTTTTGTATTTATTTTTAGTTTTATACTTATTTTTATATTAATAATATTTATATAAACTTTCTTTCATATTTATATAAATAGAAAAGGATATATTACATTATATCTATTATAAAATTAATAGTTATATATTATTATTTTTATATACTTTTATAAATTTGTATATTTTCAAAAATTTTATATTTATATTTTTTTATGTACTAATAATTAACATATAACTTTGTTATTATTATAACTTTTTTTTAATGAAAATATTAAACATTTTAATATTATATAAATATTTATCATTGTGAACTTTTTAATACCAGTTTTATTTATAAACGCTTATTATAAAGTTTTTTATATTTCTTTTTTTTTATTTTAATAAATATAGTATTAAAATTATTTATTTTCTACAGACTCAATAGAGTATATTATAATTAAAATTTTTTATTAAAAAATATGTAATATTTTATTTTTCTTGCAATATAAAAGTTTATCGTATTATGTTTATTTCTGTATTGGAATTATCTACCCGTTATAATATATATATTTTATATATAATTTTTTTATTTTATTTGTTTTCTATAGACTTTATAGAATAATATATTTTTTGGTTATTAAAAACTTCGTATTTTTAAAAAAATATAATTTGTTTTTTCTTGTGAAATATAAAAAAAAATTGTTTTATAATTATTTCTATATAAAAAATATTTTACGTAATAATTATATTTTATTATAAACTTTTATAAAAAAAATTTATGTAATATTTTTTATTATTTATTTTTTCTAGACTCTTAAATACTATATTACTTTATAAAAACTTTTTATTTTATTAATATAATATATTGATTTATAATATTTTTTATTCATTTAAAATAGTTATACTAATAAATAATTAAAAACTTTTAGTTATAAACTTTATTTAATATTTTTTTAATTATGTTTAAAAACTTTTATTAGGTTTTATATATTTCTTTTTATAATTTTTTTATATAATTAATTATATATCGATTAATAATAATTTTCATTCATATAAAAAATATTTAGTAGTGATAAATTTCATAATAAACTTTAATTTACTATTTTTCTTATAACATTTATAAACTTATATATATTTTTTTCTTTATTATAATAAAATATTACATTTTAAATTTTTATAGACTCAATAAATATTATATTTACTTTTTATTATACACTTTTGAGATTTTGAGTTCAATAAATTTCAAAAAGTATATATTGTTATATTTAAATTTTATGCTAAAAATGTTTATACAAATAAATATAACAATAAACTTTTTATTAATATCTATTCTTTTTTAAAGTTTATAACTTCTTTATATTTATTTTATTTTTGCATCTTAACAAAGAATATATTATTAAATATAATATTAAAAATATTTTTTTTTCTTTTCTATAATAAACTTTTTTTCATATTAAAAAGTGTATATTTTTTTCTATACATTAAACATAAGTATTATAATTTTTATTTTAATATAAAAATAATAATAAATAATAAATAATTCTTATATAGAAACTTTTATTCGATCTATTTTTTTAACGTTTATAAATTTTTGTTATATTTATTTTTAGACTTGAGAAAATTAATTTTTTTTTTTTGTATTTCATAATAATATTGTTTTTATAAATCTATTTTTTATATTTTTATTTTTTTAATGTTTATAATTTTTGTTATATTTATCTTTTTATAAACTATGACAAATTATATATTAATTTTTTTTATTTATAGAAAAAATATTTCACATAATGAATATTATTATTAACTCTTTATTATTGAAATATATATATTATTTATTTATTATTGAATACTGCTTAACGTTTATAAATTTTTCTTACATAATATTTTTATGCTATAAAAGTTATTAACCTTTTTTTTTAGTATATAAAACTGTTAAGATTTACGTTATTATATTTACAAAAAAGTTCTAATATTAAAATCTATTAATATTCTCTACAGAAGTCGGTTGGCTTTTTACGCGGAAACTTTTGAATCAAACACTCGCTTCTCTTCAAGTATATATGTTTTTTTATATATTTTCTAATGGGAAATATAAATATTTATAAAAATTGAAAAATTTATATTTGAAATATATTAAAAGCTCTACAAACTTTCCTAGAAAAAATTGAAAGTAATACGATTATTAAAACTTTTGTCTATTTTTCATTTTTAAAAAAAAAATTATTAAAAACTTCTTTAACATTTGTTTTGTAAAGTTTAGGAAAATAATAGAAAATTTTTAAAATAAAAAATTTTTATTTTTTATATTTATTATAAATATGTTTATTTCTAATTAAAAATTAAAAATTTTTTTATATATGTTTTAATATTTATTTTTTTTAATTATTTATTTCTATATTTTATATAAAAACAACTATTTGAAAATAATTTTTTTATTTCATTATTATTTATACTTATTTTTAACTTTAATTTTTTTATATATAAAAAACTTTTTTTCATATTTTTTTTTATTCGTATTATTACAAATATTTTTCATTCTATATAATTATTTATATATTTTTTTTTATTTATTTATATTTTTATTATACTTATTTTTTGTATATTTTATATAAAAAAATTTTTTATGTTTATTTTAGTCTTGTAAAAAATATTTTTCAAGTTATAAATTATTTTAAAATTTTTTTTTTAATATATATTTATATTAATTTTTTTTAATTATTATTCTCATTGTATATAAAAATAACTTTTTTCACGTTTATATATTTATAAAAATTAATTTTCTACATTATAATTTTTTTAAAAGCTTTTTTCTTTTTCATGTTTATTTAAATTATAATTAAAAATAACCTTTTCTATATTATAAATTATTATGAGTTTTTTTTTCCTATATACTCATATTTGTTTTTATAAATTTTTTTTTATAAATTTTATATAAAAAACTTCTTTTTCAGGTTTTATTTATAATTATAAGAAATATTTTATTATATTACACATTATTTTAATTTTTTTTATTCGTTTATTTATTATTTTTTTTAAAATTTTTTTCCGTCTTTATTTATATTATTAAAAAAATATTTTTTTATATTATAGACTATTTTTAATTTCTTTCCTTTTTTTTTATATAGATAATAATTATAACGATTTTATTACTATCCAAATTATATTTAAAATAAATATAAAATACTTTATTCATTATAATAAAATTATTATAATAACATTAAATAATTTTTACATAAGAAATCTAAAAAAAAATATATATATATCAATTTTAAATTATAGTTTTATATTTTTTATAGAATACATTAATATTTGTATTTTTTTTATTATTAGAAACTTTTCATACTTTTATTTATTTATTATGTTACAATAAAAAATATATAAAAAAATAATTTTATAATAATAGTAGTAGCGACTTGAAGCGCTTTCACTAAAATAAAATGATTTTTTAAGCCAACCAATCAGAAAGTAAAGAAGACGAGTTTTTACCGCTAAGCACTCCAATTTGCCCATCTCCACCGTGCCAGGATTTCATTGGGAGCCCACCACGTGACCTTGATACTTTTTCCGACTTTGGTGAAGAGGCGTGGGACCACATGGAGCAGTTAGTAGAGGACGAACTTTTCAAGGAAAGCACTGAAAAAAGACTCAAAGAAAGTTCTGAAGTACGCGTTCTACCACGTGCTTTTTGTTTTTATAGTATTTTTATAATATTAGTATTATTTTATATATAATTATTCATACGCTTAACATTTTACATATAAAAATTATATTTACTTTTCATAAATTTAAATAATATAACAAATAGTAATTCTTTATGCATATTCTTTATTATTTTGAATATATTTTTTTGTTTTTGAAATTAAATGAAAAGAGTTCTATTTTTTTTATAAATATGTTGAACTTTTCTTATTCATTTATTATTTTTAAATATTTTAAAAAATATATATAAATTTTATAAAAGTAAATAAATACTTAAAGTTTTTTTTATATAGTAGAAAAGTAAAAAAAGTTCATTACTATTTATATTTATAGCTAAACGAGTTAATTTATTATTTATATACTTTTTTATATAAAAAGTTAAAAATTTATTTATTACTTTTTATAATTGTTAACCCTTTGTTCATTTTTTACAGCAGTACTAGTAAAAATATTAGTAGAAATCTTTTTTTTCATATAAACTTTATTAAGCAAACAAGAAGTAAAAAAAGTTTTTTAATTTTTTTAGTCAAACGAGTATAGAAATATTATAATAAACTTTATAATAAAAACTTTATATATATATAATAAAACTATTATTATTATCAATAATAATAATTCTTTTTTTTTATTTTTAGTGCAACTTTTTATAAATATTTTTTTTATATATATAAAACTTAAAAAGTTTTATTTTTTAAAAGCAGCTTTCATAAAAAAATTTATATATATATATAATAAGTAATAAAGTTTTATTTTTATTTTTATTTATTTTTTCTTTATTTTTAATGCAACTTATATTAATTTTTATATATATATAAAAGTAAAAAGAGTTTTACTTTTTAATAATATATTTTTTTATGTTATATTTTTATTAATAATATTTTATTTTTATATTTTTTGTAGCAACTTTTTCATTGAACTTTATTATGTATAATAAGAAGTGATATATATCTTAATAATATCCTTTTTCTTTATATTTGTAATAACTTTTTTATAAAACTTTTTATTACCCAAGAAAAAGTAAGACAGAAAGTATTCATAATTTTTTACCGTATTAGTCATTTTTATCATTATTTTATAGCAACACGAAAGTAAAGCAGAATCCGATTATCCTGATTGGGCCGGCCTTAACTTTCCGTTTAGCAAAAATGTTATGAAAGTAATAAAATAGCAAAACTATATTATTTATATATTGTATATTAGAATTTTTTTTATAAAATTTTTTTATTGTATTTATTTTTTCTCTTTAAGTTTTATAAAATTCTGTGAAAAAATAATTTTTTAATCACATATTTCATTATATTATTTATTGAACTATGAAATAATATTAAAAATGTATTTAAATAAAACCTTTTTAAAGAAACTTATACTTCTTATGATATAAAGTTGACATAATTTTTTTATTCACCTGTTTTTTATTAGTATACAAAATTTTTATTTAGTAACTTTTAGTTTCTTAGATGGATAAAAAAAAATTTAGAATAAGATATTTATTAACTTTTGTAAATATATTTTTTATGACTATGATACTTTAAAAGAAATAATATCTATTAAAAATTATATAAAAAACTTTATTGTTATATATTTTTTAATTATCTTTTCTATTACTTTTTACTATTTTTTAAATAAATATTTATATTTAAGATTCTTTTTACTTATTGTAATAATATATAACTATTATTTATAGAAAACTATACACAACTATACTTTTAAAAAGTTTTCTATAATAAATAAATACTATAAAAAATATTATACAGTGCAATTGGATTTTCTACATTATTATTTTTTATTAATTTTATTATAAAAAGTTTTTCAATAAATATGTTCCGCGCAAAAATAATAGTGAAATTATTTTTTTTATTGTTAAAATTAAAAATTATTATTTTATTATTATTATTACTCTAAGATATTATAATAAAAGTTTTTATTAATATTTATTATTTACTATTATTATTATTATTACAAATTATTATAATAAAGTTTATATTTTTAATTATAATTTATTATTTTAAAAAAAGAATTTTTTAATGAAAAATTTTTTATAATCAATATTTACTATGAAAATCAAACTATTTATTTTTTATTTATATTTTTTAATATTATTATTATGTTCATTATTGTTACAAAATTTTATTAAAAAGTTTATATATTAAGTATATACCACGCAAAAATGTAAATGATAAATTTATATTTTTTTAAGTAAATAATATTGAGCATTAAAATATTAAAGTTTTAGTAATTTTTAGTTTCATTTTAAATTGTTATGCTTTTAGTTATACATAATAATGTTTCATACTTTAGTTATTATAATAATTTAGAAACTATATTATTTTTATTTTAATGAATAATATTTAGTAATTTTTTTTTACTTTTTTAAAGTTTGATAAGAAAATTTTATTTTTGTATAATACTTTTAGTTATTATAACAATAATGAAAGTACCAATAATATTTTTATCTTAATGAAAAATACTTTTATTTATAATAATAATTATGAATGTACTGATATGTTTATTATTATCAAGAAACATTTAAAAACTAATGAAAAGTTGTAATAAAAAAATTTTTTATTAATATATTGGTTATTCTAAATTTTATTATTTATTATAATAATAATAAAAGCACTAATAACCTTTTTATTAATAAATATGAAACTACTGACAATTTTAATATAATTATAAAATTATTTAAAAGCTATTTAAAAACTTAATAAGAAAAAACTTTTATATATTCTTTTATTATTTAGGATACTTTTATAATAATGAAAGTACTGATAGTTTATTTATTTTTATGAAATTTATTTTTATTTATTATAATAATGATGAAACTACCAATATTATTATTCTTATGAAAAATATTTAAAAACTAGTAAAAAGCTCTAATAAGAAAAAACTTTTTTATAATATTTTTATTATTATTTTAGTTATAATAATTATAGAAGTACCATTTTTAAAAAAATATTTAATGACTTGTTAAAAAGTTTAATGAGAAAAAAAACTTTTGCAAATTTTTTATTGTAAATACTTTAGTTATTATAATAACTATGAAAATTAGTATTATTCTTATTTTTATGAAAAATATTTATTAAATTTTTAAAAAGTTCAATAAGAAAAAAATTCTTTTACACAATTTTATTTCTTTATTATACTTTTGGCCGGTTAATGATACATGTAGAATATCCATTATTTTTCTTTATTTACTATTACACACCATTCTTCTCTTGTTCACAAACGTTTTTATCAAAATATATTTTTTTCTTGTTTTTTAAAAAAAAAAACTTTTTTGAGAGGTTTTTGCTTTTTTATTTTTTCTAAACTTTTGCCCCTTTACATATACTTACATTACGCGCTTAGTCATTAGTGCAAGTTTTTGGGTTAAGGAAGTTCCGAAAGAACCAACTGGAAGCCATTAACGCCACGATGAGCGGGAAGGACACTTTTATATTAATGCCTACTGGAGGAGGGAAAAGTCTTTGCTACCAAATTCCAGCCATCAGCGACTTTAGAGCCAATTCTGTTCGTTAAAATATATTATTAACGATATTATATTATTTTTATAAACAAATGTAAATATTCATATCTATTAGTATAATAAGGGAATAATAGTATTGTCCTGTTATATTATTAGAATTAATTATAATGATACTAATAATAATGGCATTGAAGAAAAAATATAGGAGGCATATTAATAAACATAGTAATCACAGTACAATGATATTAATAATAAATAAAACTAGTAAACTTCGTAAAGTTATTATATTATAATAATAAAATATAGCGATAATAATTATTTTTCATGAGGCTAACAAAAGGTTTATACTATTAACTATAAACAATTTAATAATCAAATAATAATAGTTGTATAAGTAATAATAATATTATTAATAATAATATAATATAATAATATAATAATAAACTTTTCAGGTTACTATTGTTGTGTCTCCGCTTTTGTCGCTCATTCAAGATCAAGTCCAACGTCTTTGCTCTTACGGAATTGGCGCCGCCTCTCTTTCAAATGCTGACAATTTGGATAATTTGCACCAAATTATGCTTGAATTGCGCTCCCCTTCTTGCCGCATTCGACTTTTATACGTCACGCCCGAAAAAGTTAAACTTCTTAATAATTAGTTATATTTAAAATTTTATTGTTATAACTAATTATTATTTTTACGACAAAGGTTATTACTTTAAATAAAAAAATAATAATAAATTGTGAAAGATAATTTTTATAAGTAATAACTTTTTTACCCAATCAAAACTTCTATTATCACGTGAAACAGATCAATGGAAGCCAACAAACGCGTCGCCTTCTTGATTTTTTAGTCAATGCTAGACGGCTTGCCCGAATCGTAGTCGATGAAGCCCACTGCGTCAGCCAATGGGGTCACGACTTCAGACCCGATTATAAAGAACTTAGTTCATTGCGCGCCAGCTACCCTTCTGTTCCTATAATGGTATCTTTAACTTCTTTTTCTCATTGGTTAATGCTTAGTAAAATGAATTATTTGTTATGAAAGGCGCTAACTGCCACGGCCACTGCGAGAATCCGAGCAGATGTGCTCAGCCAATTAAAGCTAAGAGACGTCGTATGTTTTAAGCAAAGTTTTAACAGGAGTAATTTAGCTTATGAAGTTCGAAAAAAAACGAGGTACAAACTTCCTGATTGGTGCAGTACTATATTTTCCACCAATGACAACAGAGGTCTAGCGGACCAAATAGCTCAGCTAATCAAAGAGCAGTACATGCACGAGGCTGGCATTATTTATTGCTTGAGCCGCAGCGATGCGGAAGTGCTTTCGAGCCAGTTGACCGAAAAAGGCATTCAGTCTGCTTTTTATCACGCCGGTTTGACCTCAAAAGTATTTTTTGTTGTTGAAGTTGTTTTTTTATAATGAGCGGTTATTGGTTATTACTTTCATTAAAAAAAATTATTATTCTATCCTTATTTTGCTTGTATGTAACGTGCACCTTCTAAAGGCTTAAAAAAATCTAACAATAGTTCGAAAAAAAACTATACTGCATATTGAATTTTAATGATACTCCTGAAAAACTTACATTTTTATTTTTTTTCTATTTTTATTGGTTTATATATACACACGGGAAAAAAGAATGACTATTTCACAAAAAAACATTAAATTCGTAGTTTTTATGTATTTTTAGCGGATTTATGGATGTATATAAATATTGATTGGTTATATTTGTAGTCTGCATAATAATAATGAAGATTTACAAGAAAATCATGTTTATTATTTGGTTAATTTTAAATTTCCGCTTTGCTGTTTATATTAAATAATATTTTATGTTTCGTGTTCAATATTTTTACGTTTTCTATATTAAACTTTTTAGATTTTGTAAATAATACTTCTTACTGGTTATTACTTATAAAGCTTTTAATACATTTTTATTGGTTATTATATATGCCTATTTACCTGAATTTCTCTATTAACTTCGTAACATGCTTATGAATTTCTTTACGTAGTTATATATAAATGCTTAATATTTTTATTTATATTATATTTAATACTAATAATAAATAATAAATTAATATTGTATAAGAAATAAAAAACTGAAATAAGAATATCAATAAATTAATAAACATAATAATGTACTGATAACGAAAAATTTTAGATAATTTTTTATAATAAATAACAATAAATAAAATATGAAATAACATGTAATATGTAGTATAGAATACATAATAATATTATTATTATAAATTTATAGTAATAAGAAAAAAAAAATCTTTAATCAATTATAATAATATACCATTAAAAAAAGTTTACCTATTCCAATTAGCTTTATGCATCTTTTTATATAATATTATTTTCTTCTTATATTTTATGCTATTCATTATATTTCAATGATCTGGTGAATTTTTCTATAAATATTTATACATATTTTCATGTAAAACTAATAAATTTTTACACCTTTTTAGTTTTCATATAGATATTAAACATTATTATTATTTTTTTTAAAAATTTGGTTTGTCCTTAAATATTTTTTAGAAACTACAAGTTTCTAAGTCATTTATATTTTTATTTCATTATTTTTTCTATATTTATATTAATAGGAAAGAAGTGTTGTCCAATCGCAGTGGCAAGCCAATCTAGTTAAAGTGATTTGCGCCACTATAGGTCAATTTTTAATTTACAATTTTTTATTGGTGTACCATAATTATTTTTATTCGGTTTTATATTATTTGTATTTTCTCGTTTTTATTTTTTATTAATTTATTACTCTTTACTTTTATTTTCGGTATGTTCTATTTATTATTATTATTTGGTTGTTCATTATTATTTCTTATTATGTAAGCACTTTATTTTAAATGTTCGATATTTTTTATTATTTTTTATAATATTACTCATTCGAGGATTATATTTATTTATTTTCTCATTATTTACTTATATTTAATATATTTTTTTTAATATTATTATTTTCAATAATGTTTATTTGGTTTTTATTTATTCTCTCGTTATTTATTTTCGTATAATATATTAATTCATTCAATCGTTATTTATAATCTATTTTCTTATATTTCGATATTCTTTATATATTCACAATTTTTTCCTTTCAATTATGTTTTTATTCACTATTTTCCAAGCACTTTATACTTATTATTTCGTTAGTTTAATTTGTGATTATTATTATTATTCGACTTTATATTTAATTCATTATTTTCTAAGCACTTTAATATTATTATTTCGATATTTATTACTTAATTTTTATTATTCAATAATTTCTGAGCACTTTATTATCCCTTTGAAATTATTTATTTATTATTATTCGGTTGTTATTATTTTTTTTTCTTTTTGTTCTTTTTGTTAATATTCATTGATACTTTTCATCATTATTTTCCTGTTAGATATTTTTAATATAACTTTTATCAGTATTATTATTGTTGTTGTTCTCTTTATTAGTATTAATATTATGATATTTATGTATTCTTTTCTTAATAAAATTGTCGTATTCCCTTATATTTATATTAAATTTCTATACAATTTTTTATTAACTTTTGCTTACCATTTTATATACTTTTTTGAATTATTATTATATAGTTCTGATATATTTATGTAAGTTTTTCATATATATATTTTTTTAATATTTGCTTATTTTTATTTTTATCAAAAAGAGCGTTATATCAATTTATCTATTCTTATAATTTTAATAAAACAACTTATTCTGTATTTATAAACTCTTTTGTGTATCAATATTTTATTAGTAGTGCATTTTTTTTATGTATAAACTTTAATTTTTTTATTTTTTTGATAAAACTTTTTAAAGTTTTTTGTATTATTAATATATTTATAATTTTTTCTCATTTTCTTATAACATTACATTATTCAATTTCTTTATTATTAATAATATTTTATATACAATATAATATGCTTTTGTATACTTGTATTATAACTTTTGCTTTCATTATTTATATTAAGCAATAATAAAAATATATTTTCTACTTTTTTTTCATTGTTTATTGAGTTATTGACTTTTATTATTTTTTATTCATTAAAATAATAGACATTTATAGTTTTTAGAAAATTAATATTTTTTTTATTGTGCTTTTATTATTTATAATTTAAAAAAATAATAGAACTATAATTATTAATAGTTTTTGAAAAAATATTTTATTTTTTTTATTTTTTAGACTTTTATCATCATTTATTATTTTTTATTTATTTAAAAATAATAGAATTATTAACATTTATATTATATATAAAAAATATTATTGGACTTTTTTATTATTTTATAGACATTCTTCCTCTTCTTTAGCTTTTGGCTTTTATATTAAAAAATTAATAGAAAATATTATCGTACTTTTTTTTATTTTTTAGACTTTTTTTTCATCTTTTATTAAGTTTCTTCCTTTTATTATCTATTTTAGAAAATAATGGAAATATTTTAAACTTTCTAATTATGTTTTTATAATTTTTTTTTGTTTTTTGATATATTTATTGATTATTTGCCGTTTGTTCCTATATTTTATTTTCATATAATTTTGTTTTTTATATACATCTTATATGGATTTATTATTATTTTTTTAACTTGAAATCTTTTTTTATTATCTTCACATTTTCTCTTTCTTTAGTTTCTTTTTCTTCTACTATTATTGTTTTATTATTTATTTTATATATACTCTTTTTTCATTATTTTCTTCTCTTTTTTGCCGCTTTCTATTTTTTATAAAATGTTTTTTACTTAATTTTCTATAGTCAGCTTTTTTTGTTTCATTACTTTTTTTGCCATCCTGCTGCCATTAAAATTCAGCGATATTGACCAGCTTTTGATAAAATTATTAATTACTATTTATACATAATATTCGGCTTTTTAATATTTTCACTATTTTTCTTGCTACTTTCCAGCTTTTGGAATGGGCATTGACAAACCGGACGTCCGTTTCGTCATTCACCATTCGCTGCCAAAGTCTTTGGAAGGATATTACCAGGAGTGCGGACGTGCGGGAAGAGATGGACTTAAAGTTTGTTAAATTTTTCCTATTTCAATTTTTTTTGCTTGATTCATTTTTGTATGCGTTTTTGGTACTTTATAACGCTTATAAAGTACCTAAAAGGAACCGATTTGGTTTCGTATGATTACATTTTGGTAGTTTTTAAGAAGAACCATGAAACAGTTGATTTTATTCATTATGAGGATTATTTTAATGTTTTGGGTTTCTTTAATGTTTGTTGGTAGTTTATAATGTTTGGAAGTAGAAGGCACCAATTTATCATTATAATAAATCTACTTATAAATAACACTTTTAAGTTTATGTTATATTTTTTACTGATACTTTTTTTTTAATCATTCATGATAATATTTCATATTATGGTATATTTTTATATATTTTATTATTACATAATAAATATTATTTACTCCTTAGTATTATATTTATCTTTTTTTTTTACAAGTTTAAAAAAAGTTTTATAATATTTTCTATATATTATTAAATATTAAATATTTCTAAATATTTTTTACTCTATATATTTTTCAAAGGCTTCATGCATATTATATTACACGTACGCTGATAAGAATAGAATGGAAAATATTATTTTAAAGGAGACTTCTGGTGTTCAGGAAGTCCACTTGGAAAATCTAAAAAGAGTTGTGCAGTTTTGTGAAAATACGGTTTCTATTAATTTTTTGTTATTTTAAAATAATATTAATAATTAAAATTATGATATAAATTTCATATAGAAATATATATATTAATAACTCTAAAGAAAATTTAAAATAAGAAAATAAATATTTTTTTATATTTTTTGGTATTTTATAATGAAAATTTTTTAAACAGAAAAATATATTTTTAAGAAATAATTAAAAAAATAATTCATAATATAAAAATAATATTAATAGAACAATAAATTTTAATATTTACAAAGAAAATCAATTATAATAATAACTAGCTGGTATATATATATATATATATGATTATGACATTTTATAATTATGATAATTTATTAAAAAAATGTATTCTATAACTTTTGAAAAATATATATAATATAAAAATGAATGTAATATTAATAGAAAAATGTATACAATGAAGAGAAGGTATATATAATATTAATCTGTTATTATAGAATAATTATAAAAATTTATTTTTAAAGGAAAAATATATAATTTATTCTAAAAAAAATAATTATATATAGAAAAGTAAATATAAAAATAATATTAATAGTAAATAAATTAAACATATATAATTACAAAACTAAATATAATAATAATAAAATATAGTATATTAACACTTATTAACGAAAATTATTAAATATAATAATAAATAGGAAAAATAAAATATTTAAGAGAAATAAATAGAAAATATGTATTATCAATTATTATTTAGAAAATATAATTTTATTTATATAGTGAATGCGAATTATTTTTTTCATCCAATTAAAGTTTTTGAATAAAGTAAAAGTTAGAAAACCGGATACTTTTAAACCAATAATCGCAAAGAATTTCTATAAAAATATATTTTTTTATACAATAAATTAAACATTGGCTCTGTTTATCGTCGAGTATTGCTTTGCGATTGGATAATTTTAACTAGAATGAAAATTGAAGTCAAAAGTTGTAATCAAATTTTTTTATTCAACAACATTTTTTCAACATTTTTAATGATTATAAAATATTTTTTACAGCGTTTATGTATATTAAGAATACTTATATTTCGTATTTGTTATTTTGCATAATTTTTTAATGATATAATTATTTATATATTTTAATGTATTTATAAAGTTCATTCTTTGGAATGAAGTTTTTATTTCTAAGTAAACTGGCGTTTATTAATATTATGAGCTAAGTAAATTTACTTTTAACTTATTTCTTATAATATCTTTGCGAGAATAAATTTATAAACATAATAAATATCACAAAATTTTCATTTTTTATAAAAAAAATTTATGAAACTCGAATTGTTAAGTAAAACAATAACTTTTATTTATTTTAAAGTAATTTTTTATTCTGAATATTATTATTGTATTTTATTATTGTTATTGCTCATTATTTTAAGGTGGACTGTAGAAGAGTACAAACTTTAGCTTACTTTGGTGAAAAGTTTGATAGAAAAAATTGTAATTATGCGTGTGACAATTGCTGGTCTAGAAGGACTTTCAGGTATTATTATTATTATTGTTATTATTATTTTCATTATTACTATTATTCTTATTATTATTGTTATTATTATTATTATCATTATTATCATTATTATTATTTATCATCATCATTAGTATTATTACTATTATTAAAATCATTAGTATTATTACTATTATTAAAATTATTATATATTATTATCTTAATTATCATTATTATTATTAATTTCACTTATATTTATTTTTTATTAATATTTTTATCAAAAAGAACAGAAAATTTTTCGAGCAAACAAAAAATATTATTAACCTCGTAAAAAAATGTTCCGGGAACTTAACTTTATTGGTCCCTTGTATATCATTATTTTTTTGTTTTTTTAATAACAGATCGCGAACTAATAAATTTTATTATCTTGGATTAATTATTTACGCGTTGCGAGCAGCTCATTTACTGGTTAATTTTTTTTTTAACACTATTTTTTTTAGATCCTCTTGGACGTTTTAAGGGGTTCACAATCTAAAAAAGTCCAGCAAACTGGCTGCACGCATTTTAGTGAGTTTGGGTGCTGTCAATCAATGGATAGACAAGAGCTTGAACGACTATTACATAAAATGGCACGTTAAATTTGATAATTATTATTATTACTATCATCATTCATATAAATATTTTTTCTTTTTTATATAAATATAATTATTTTTATTGTTATCTAATTTTTAATATAGTATGGAAGTTTTTTTTATATTTACTTTTATTATTTATTTATTAATATTCATAATTATAATTTATTATTAATTAAACACTGTTATATTTAAATTTTTACGATTATCATTATTACCATTATTAACTATTAAGTAATTCTTATAATTATTTCTTATTTATTATACTTATTGTATTTACTTTTATTATATATTTTTTATAATTTATGATTAATATATTATTGTTAATAGTTTCTAGATTTACTTTTATTATATATCTATTCCTATTTATTATTGATATATAATTCTTATTACATTATTTACTTCAAACATAATACTTTTTATATAATTTTATATTTATTACTAGTTTATTTTATTTATATAATGTTATATTTTATCATTTTTCAAAATTTTTTTTAAATTTACTTTTATTATTATTTTTTATTTATTATTTTAATATTTGGAAATATTATTTTTTTCAATATAATTTCCATTTATGTTATATACTATCCTTATGATTATTTATTATTGATTTGTTTTTACTATATTATTTACTATTAATATTATACTTTACTATATTTTTTATCCTTATTTATTATATCTTTTTTTTCTTAATATTTTTTACTTTTATTGTAACTTTTACTTATAATTATTTTTTAGGTATAACATATAATATTTTTTTATATATATATTATTTTATTATAAGTATATTATGATTTTCTATTATATTATTTACTATTAATGTTATACTTTATAATTTTATTTACATATATATTATTAGTTATATATTATTATAAATATATTAAATTATTTATTACGATAAATTTTAATAAATTATATTATTATTTACTTTATTTTTTTATCCTTATTTATTTTTAATACTTATAATTAATTTTATTTATAATATTGATTATTTATTTACGATTAGTTTATTAATATATTATTTACTTTTACTATTATACTGAGTTATATTATTTATTCATTATATTATTTAAATTTATAATTATTTTTTATTAATAACATATAAATTATATAATAATATTATATTATTACTATTTACTTCAATTTATTAACATTCTTTAATCATTACTTATTTTTCTAATTATTTATTATTATTATTATTTATTTATCAGTATTTACAATTTATACTATACTTTATTATTTTATTTTCTCTAATTAAAATTAAATATATTTTTTTACTTATATTATAATATATTAAAAATTATTATTTATATATAAATTACTTTTTTTAAAAGTTAATATTTTTTATATATTTTATATTTACTATTACCAATAAATATTTTTATTACCATATATTATTATTAATTCTTTATTATATATTATAGTTATTTTAAATTATATGGGATATTGATTCTCTATTTAATCTTATTATTGTAATTATCAATAAACTATTATTATTACTTATTGTATATTTATTATTTATAATAAAAATAAATAATAAAAACTCAAAATAAAATAGTAATTTTTTTAAAAAAAATTAATAATTTTTATATTACAATTTTCCTTTTTATTAATATTCCAAAAAAAATATTTTTTTTAAAATACAATACTAATAAGTAAATACTGAACTTTATTATTATTAATATTATTTTGTATTAGTAGGTGCTGGACGGCGTGCTCGAGGAGCGCCTAAAAGCTTCCCTTCACGCAGGAATGGTGGCTTACGTCTACCCAGGGCACGTGCATTTTCATTATTTTTAGTGTATTTTTAGCAAATATTGTTTTTATTTTTTAAAGAATTTTTATATAATAAATAATAAAATATAAAGATTAAAAAAGTTTTTTCTATAAATCTATATTTTTATAAAAAATGTTTTTTATATAACTTGAATTATTTTTTGATTATTTTTAATATAATCTAAAAAAAATAGTTAATCATTTTAATAAAATCTATATTTTAAATTTTATGAATATTTTTAATTTCTGAAGATGATTTAACTTATTTTCTTTAAAAGTTAAATAGATTTCATAAGATTTATTATTTTTTAAATTTATGAATATCTTTATTTTTATTAATAAACCATTTTTCTCTCATAAGTATTAATTTTATTTAAATTTATAAATTTTTTTTATTTATATTATTTTCTTTAATGAAAAATTTTATAAATTTTTTACTTTCATTATAAAATATTTTTATTTTTATTAAATTATTATTAATAAATACACACAATATTATTTAGAAGTTTAATGATCCCTTTAGGAAATATTATTTATATAAAATTTCATATAAAAGTAATATAATTTTTTTTTTACAACTTACTTTAGATAAGAATTTATATATCACAAATTTGTTTTTTTTTACTAATAATAACCATTTCTTATAAAAGTCTAAAAAAATTTTTTATTAAGTAGAAAAGTTGATGTTTATAAATAAAGGAAACATATTCTTATAAAAGTTGAAAAACTTTTTGAAACTTTTTTATAGCAAAAATTTTTAAATACATTTTTTATTAAATATTTTAATTATTTCATTTATTCAACCATTTAAATTTTATTGTGAATATTATTTTCTTGTTTTTTTACTTTTTATGTTTTACTGAAGCTTAAAAAAAAAAAGTATAATATTTTGAAATATTCTGTTATAATGTTTCTACTAGACAATTTTTATATATTTGTTTTAAAAATAAAAAATTATATTTTTCACATTTTTATATATTTTTTAATTATTTATTAGAAATCTAATAAAATTATATTTTCTAAATAAATTTTTACTATTTTATTATTAACTTTTCATATTTTTATTATAAAAATTTTATATATTATTAACTTGTTGATTTATTTATAAAAAAAATTATATTAATAAAATATTTATATTTTTAATGTTTCACTAAAATATCCAATAATATTTTATTTTATTAATAATTTTTTACTATTTTTACATTTACCCTTAACAATAATACTTATATATAATAACTTTTAATATTTTCTTATTTAATTATATTTTTTATTATTTTCATCATAAATCCAATATTATACTTTCAATAAATTTTTACTTTAACACAATATAATTTTCAAAGTTACTTTTTATATTTTATTTATCATTTACTTTTAAAAAGAAAAAATTCATATTCTTATAATTATAATATGCTTCACTATTAACACAAGAATATTCATTTCTTTTATTGAAAAGTATAATAATAGTATTTTCTGTTATTTATAATAAATTTTAATTTTAAGCAAACTTTTTCAATCAGTTTTTTATTTATTATTAAAACTTTATATTTTTTATTTATAAAAATTTTTATTAATTATTTTTTCTTATAAATATATATATATATTTTATTTATTTTATTTTTAATTAATATATTTGTTTTTTGTTATAAATTTTATTTTATTTTATATTTTATAAATTAATGTTATATATTAATTTATTTCTTTTGAAAAAAAAATTTCTTAATATTATTATCAAAATTTTTATTATTTACTTTTTATAATTTCATAAAAATTATATTAACTATGATTTTTAGTTTTTTTAATCATTTTCAAGTTCTTATAAATATTTTATTTATTTTTGTATTTATTTTATAATTATTTAATTATTATTTTTTATTATATAAATTTAATTTTTAAATTTTTTTTAAATGAGAATTTAATAAAATTTGTATGTTTTATTTATTTCTTATAATAAAATTTTACTCTTATTTTTAAATAATTTATTTATAATTATAATTGTTATTTTACTTATTTAATCATTAATTTTATTCTATACAACTTTTTTTTTTTAAAATTTCTTTTATATGAATATGTAATAAAATAAATTTATATATTTATTTCCTAAAAAAAATTTACTATTAATTTTTATTTATTATTTTATTCATTAATTTATTCCTTTTTTTCAATTATATATAATGTTATCTTCAATAGGTTTATATGAATATTTAATAAAGTATATTTCCATATTCATTTATATCTTTAAAAAAATTATTATTAGTTTTATTAATTTATTTATAATTATAAATTTTACGTATTAGTATTTTTATTAATTCAAAAATTATTTAATATATATTTCTTTTTATAAATAAAAATTATTTCTGTATATTTTTTCAAAATTCCTTTTTATTTTTACTTCTTTCGATATTAATTTATTTCCTTTTGGGTTATTTTTTTATATTTATTTTACTATTTATTATTATTTTTATTTGTTATTTATTATATATTATATTTTTTAATTTTTTAATGTATTTATTTAATAAAATATTTATTTATTTATTTATTTTCATATATTTATATTAATTCTACATCATCTTTTGGTTATTTATTATATTTTTTATTGTCTTTTACTTTTTAGTTAATTTTCTATTTTCATTTATCTATTTTATTATATGCTTTTAGTTTTTTACTATTTTTATATTTCTTATATTCCTTTATTTATTATTTTTGTGTTTAATTAAGTTATTAACTTCGATGTTATTTTTATTTACCTTCAAGTTTTTTATTATTTTTATGGTTTTCTAAGATTCTAGTTTTTTTAATTATTATATTTACTTTTTGTCATTTGTTACTTTTATATTTTTTTCTTACTTTTTAGTTACTTTTAAATTTTTTATTTTTATTTTTTATTTTTTATTTGCTTTTGGTTATATGTTATATTTGTATTTACTTAGTTTTTTTTATTGTGTTTTATATTAATATTATTACTATTTTAATATTTTTATATTTTTAAATTTTCTTTTTGCTATTTATTATTTTTACATTTTCAGTAACATTTAGTTATTTACTATTTTTTATATCTTCTTATTTACTTTATTAACTATTTCTTGTGTAGTTTTTTTTACTTTTATTTATTATACACTTTTTAAGATATTTTTACTTTTCTATTCAGTATTTTTTTTATATATATTTTTATTTATTTATTATTTATAATATTTATATATCTTTTATATTTTATATTCATTACTTTTACTAATTTATTATTTCTCAATTTTTTAATACATTTTGAGATATTTATTATTTATTATATTTTTTTATTTTTACCTCCGTAATATTAATTTTTTCCTTATAGTTTCTATTATTTATTATATTATTTTTGAAATTATATGATAAATTTACTTTAGTTATTTAATATTTTACATTATTTTTTAGTTCTTTTAAAATATTTATTATTTATTAATTATTTATATTAAAATATTATCTCTTTATTTAATATTTATTATAAATTATCTTTTATATATTTATTATTTTTTCCTTTTTACTATTATTGTCTAAAGCAAATCTACTTTTTGTAAAGGCCGAAAGCCTCTCTGGCGCTGGACAACAAGCTAATCATTACTTTACCTGTTCTCGAAAAGTACAATAACAAGCAAAAGTCAGAAGTTCGGCTCTCCTCCGCTCTGGCGTCCGTTCCCTTCCAGTCACTGCAGCAGCAAAAAGCTCTTTTGGATGGTCCTACCGTTTTTTTTGATACCCATTACCCTTCACAGTCCTATTTTTTTCTTGTAATAGTAATTTTTGTTTTAATTTATAAAAAATCATTAATACTGTCCAATCAAAATATAACTAAAATGTCCAATGAATTGTGTCATTATATTTTATTGGTGTTCAGTTTTAGTTATGGTATGGGCCATCTATATCTTATAAGGAAATTATTCGTTAGAACAGTTAAGAACAGGTCAATCAAAAAATTTTTATATGAGCAATCAATATTTATTCGGTTATGATTTGACTTTATTTGAAATAAAGTTTCATTTTTTAATTTCTAAATGAATTTTGGTTGGTTTAAATGTTATATTGACCAATCAAAATATTTTTAATGTCCAAAAGCATCATAGTTATCATATACAGCTTTAGTTATAATTTGTCCTTATTCCTTGGAAATTTAAGTCTTAATTTATGAAAAAAATATTGATCGGTTTAGGTTTATTCTGACAATCATAATAATTTTTAATGATCAATTAATTGTATCATATTGCTTATTGAGTTTTGAGTTTATTTTTAAAAAGTTTATAATAATAATATAATAATTATTAATATTATTATTTTTATATTACTTTCTTTATTCAGAGTTAAAAAAAGTTCGAATGCAGCTGGCGAGAAAGTACAACTGTTCGAACGCTTCAGTGTTTACCGATGAGACTCTTATTGAAATGGTCTCGAAACTCCCAAAGTGCAGAGAAGAATTTATGGATATTATTGGAATGACTTTACCAAAATATAAAAAATTCGGTATATATAAGTATTATATTATTACAAACTAAACTTTTTTTTTAAAAAGTTCTAAATTTTTGCTATTTAATAAGTTAAATATATAAATAATATGAATAAAAAGTTATTTAGACAATATTAAAATACTTAAACTAATTTTTTGAAAAATATATAAAAAGTTAGTAATATATATATAACTTTTTGGTAGTTTACATCAACACTGTCAAATTATTGAAAATATAAATTTATTACGAATTTTTTTATGAAGCTAATTATATTTATGGCAACTTTTCTTATTACTAAAATCAAAATAATAAGAAATTTATTATAATTAATATAAATAATATAACTTTTATTATTATTACTAAAACTCAAATTTTATTTAGTTATATATTATTACTTTAATGACAAAATTTATTAAATATATTTTTTAGATTTATAAAATTTTCTCTTTTTATGAAAAAACTAAATTTCATAAATATTTTTAATATAAATTAAATATCAGAATAAAAATAATATTTAAAATATTAAGAAAAGTTAGAAAAACTTATACGAAAAAAGGAAGTAAAAAAACTATTTTTTAAAAAAAATTATAAAAGTTTATATTCATTTTTTTATAAAGAAAAAAATTTAAAGTTATAGAATTTATAAATTTTTTATGAGAAAGTTAAATAATAAACTTTACTATATTAAAAAACTGTCTTGAGGTTATAGTAATTTTTTTAAAATAAAAAGAAAACTAATAATGTTTAAAATAAAGTTATATAAATATTTATAAAATAAACTTTACTATATTAAGGAAACATAAAAAGTTTATAATAAATTTTTTAAAGGATACAATTTAAAATTTTATAAAAAAGTTATAATATTAGAAATTTTATATGAATAAGTAAAAATAATACTTTATTATGTTTAAAAAAAATTAAGAAAAAATATTTATGAAAAAGTAAAATAATAAACTTCGCTATTTAAAAAAAATATATAAAAGTTTATAATAAATTTTTTAGTATAAATTAAATTTTAATAAGTAAAAAAATAAAACTCAATTACATCAAAACAGTTATAAAAAATATTTTTGAACAGTAAAATAATAAAGTTCATTATATTAAAAAAAATGGTTATTTTTTTTATGCATAAAAAAGCTTTATATTAAAAAAAGTTAGAAAAAAATTTATGAAAAAGTGAAAATAATAAACTTTACTGTATTAGAAAAAAGAATGAAATTTATATTTTTTTATAATATAGGGAGTGAATTTCTAGCGACTATTGTGAAATCAGCTCCGGCAGGCTACAATTTAAAGAAACTAAAGTTTTTTTTCTACGGAATTTTTTTTATTATTATTTAGGATTATAGTATAAAAAAAAGTTTTATCATAAAAAAGTATTATTAAATATACTAATAATTTAAAAAAACCAAAAATAATGAAAAGTAAATTGTAAACTATTTTCTAATATTTATAAAAACATTATAATTTATATAAAAAGTTCAATAAAAAAGTTTTTTTTATATAAAAGTATTATTTATAAAAAAAGGTACAAAAAACTAAAAATAATTTGAAGTGAATTATTGTTTAGTACTATTAAATAAAAATTGTTTAAAATTTAAATTATAATTTGAATTTTTGAATATAAAATATATTATTGTTTATAAAAAATAATTCAAAGAAAACGAAACTCTTAAAAATTTTTAGTAAAGGTGTTTAAATTTTTATTATAATTTTTAAAAAAAAATTTTTTTCTTTAAGTGAAAAGAAAATAAAAATAATAATACACAAAATAATTTTAATAAAAAAAATTATTATTTAAATACTAAAAAAAAAATTTTAAAATATTTAGAAAAAAAATAATTAGATTTATAATTTAAGCTGTATTTTTATTGAAAAGTTTTATTTATTAATATATTAAGAAATAAGAAATTATGTGAAGTAATACTAAAACTGTTTACTATTATTAATAAGTATTGTTTTTCTTAAGTTAACATTATTTGTTAAAAAATAATTATTTAAATTTTTTCTTTATGCAAAATTAATTATTTGTAATCTATTAATATTACAAAATATTCTTTTTATATTTACTTTTATAGCTTATTTATTATTTTTTATTAATATTATAAAAAAAAATAAAAATTTAACTTAAAAATTAGAATACTATAAAAAAATATATGATTTAAATATTAACAAAACTAACAGGAAGTAAATAAGTTTTTATATAAAAAAAACTAAAGGTAGAATTATATTTTTACTTACAACTTCAATTTTTTACTTTCGGATTTCATTTTGTATAAAAAAAAATTATTATAATATTTTCGAGATACTTTTTTTATTTTTTTTTTTACTTACTCAATTTTTTTATTGTTAGCTCAAATAAAGTAAATTCTAAGAAAAACACCAGCTTTAATAAATCTAAAATTGAAGGAAATTCGAAGACAAATTCCACAAAAAGCAGATATTTTTCTCAAAAAAATAGTAAACCAAATAAAATTATTCAAATGGTAAAACCACAACTAAAAAAACAAATTTTATAATAGTTTTTAATAAAAAATATTAAATTTCCTAATTTAATTATTTATTTCGATATATTTTAAAAAAATATTTATAGAAGTAGTTATTGTGTATAAAGAAATATATGAAAGTTCCTATATATTTTTAAAAAATAGAATAAATTTTTAGAATTTTTTAAATTTAAAATTTAAGCCACAAAGTTTCTCAGAAATCATGAATTATAAAAAAAAATAGAGAACTGAATTTATAAAGTTTGTTTTAAGAAGAATTGAAAAATTAAAAAACCCAAATTTTAGAGAAAGTTAAAAAATTTGAAAAAAAATATTTATTTCGAAAACCTTACTTTTAATAGAACTCCACTCAAATTAAATATACAACGCATTAAATTAAAATTAAAGGTTGAAAAAAAAAATTATTTAAAATATATAAAACGCCTAAATTAATAAACTATTATTGAATCTACAGGAGAAAGTTATTCAATAAAAATGAAAAGGCTAAAATTTAAGAGCTTATTTTAATTTTTTTTAATAAAAATCGCTAAAGGAAACTATAAATTAGGTAAATAGGAATTGAAGGGACAGTAGATAAAAATGTAAAAACGAGAAAGAAATAAACCTCGTTATTTGAATATAAAAAGCACAAATAAAAAAAAATTAAAGTGAAAAACAGTAAATAGAGCAAAAAGTTAGTAAATATAAAAATTCAAAAATAATTTATGCATTATTTATATTAAAAGCAGTAAAACTGAATTTTGAGTTACAATTAATATTAAAATTTAAAAATATAATGAACTTTAAATTATTGTATATACAACGCATATATAAAAATTAAAAGCAGTAAACGAAAAATAAAAATTAAATTGTAAAGTTTAATACGTTGCACACAAAGCATAAATTTTATTTAAACAGCAGATAAACAAAATAAAAACTTTTTTAGTAAAATAGAAGAACAGCCTGAGGCGCCTCTTTTTATTCTATTAAAAGGATCTAAAATCCCTTAAACGATATAAAGAAAGGTATACTATCAAGATTTTATATTAAAATGTTAATGTATAAACACTATATAAGAAAGTTTTTTAAGTTGTATAATATACATTAAAGAGAAGACTTGTATTTTATAATCTATTTTAGGTCCATGCATACAATCTTTATATATGAATAATTTTATTGTTAGCATACTTCTGTTGTACAAATATTTATTAGAGAAGAGTTTATTTTATTAACTTGATATGAGCTAAGACTAACGAAAACATCCTGTTTAATATTACATTAACCCACAATAAAATAACCCTTGAAAATTAACTCTATGCTTTATAATTAAAGTTTTAAATTCATTATTATTAGAAAAACTTTTTTTATTATAATAAGAAACAGATACTACGCAGTCACGTTAAAAAAATATGAGGAGCTTTGCTAAAGAGTACCCCAAGCGATTGACAATTTTTTTTAAACAGCTTTTTAGTGCAAGCTTAACACTACGAGTAGCACTAACAAAATGATAAACTTATATAGGTGGATTAGCAAATATACTTAATAAATGAATAAAATTTATTTTTTTTCTAATTTAGTATGAATATCTATAGGCGAAATATATAAGTGGTTTCATTGGTAGAAATTCATATTTAAGATTTTTAATATTCGTACACTTTTTTTTGTTCGTTTGTATTTTATGTATTATTCTTTTTTATTGTTTGTGTATTATTCTTTGGGTTTATATATCTGACAGAAAAATGTTTTAATAGATGGGTCTTATAATTTTAGTAAAAGAATAGGAAATAATGGTAAAAGCCAGCTTAAATGTGCAACAAGGTAATAGTTTATGTTTTGTTAATTGTTTTACTATAAGAAGGCAGATGGAAAAAAGGTTTGCATAGTTTTTGTGGGGCTCAATAAATAAATTTTTTTTTTATAATATGTTGTTTAGTAAATATGTAACAGTTCGAAGACAAAAAAGATATGTAATTTAAACGAAAGGTTTAGTATAAAAGATTTTAAAAAAGACGGAATAATTATTTACAAAACTTAACGACTTTTGATAGGATCGGTTCCAAATAGTCGTTGTTTTCCCGGCAGGAGTGAAATCAAAGAAAGCAGTTCAGTTCCCCTAAAAAAATTTAATAAACAAAAAATATGAGTCATAGAAGGTTGATAACAAGAAAATTCTCGAAATATTATATGCTTTGAAAATTGTCTCATAGTAGGATGAGAACAGTAAAATTTCTTTAAAGAAAGCGAAATAAAAATCTATAAAAATTCTGTATATAAAAATATTTACAATCGAATTCTCTTGTAGTTTAGCACTTTTTAATGATTTTAATATTATTAAGAAAGAGTGAAAAAAAAACTTTTTAATACTTTTAAACATAAAAATGTATTTTACCCTTAAAAAAATTTTTTAGCAATATTTATTGTAATTGAAATTGTTAGAAGAAAACCAAATTAAAGATTTCATAATTGATTGCTTCAAAATATCTCATAGTGCTTATTTATAGCGAATCTGACTTGGTATGTAATAGTAAGGAAGCCTAATTAGTAAATTCTACTCATAAATATGATTAAATAGTTTATCCTAGTAGCCACTCAGATAATTAGATATATAGTCTATGATGGAATTTAAAATGAATGGCGGTAAGTAAATTTTTTATTGGTTTTTGAAAATGAAATTGCTCAAATTTTGTTTTGATTACTTGTTAATTGTAACACTGCTAAGGTTTTATTTAATATATAAACGTAGCATATTTATCTTAAAACTAAGCTGCGTATATATAAATATAGTATTCCTCTGATTGTCGCATACACTTTAGATTGTTGATCTCTTCTTATCATATTAACAGGCTGCAAGTTTTTAAAGAAAACACTTCAGGATAACCACCGATGCTTCGTTGATTTTGTTATACACAGTTACAATAACTGCTAGTTAAATATAATTCAAGGAACTTTTTTTTTAAAAATCACTAGTAACTGCTTTAAAGAATACATCGAAAACTCTATTAGTTCATTAGCCATTGCTGTTTAAATTAATTAAGACTACCACAATAGCTTAAAAGACCTGGGCACGTTAAGGGTTACTTTTTGAATTCAGGAGGTCATTAAACCGCTGGCCATAGTTTGTAAGATGCACAACTGCAATGAGGTTGCCTCGCGGATGTGCATAATAATTTAAAAATTGAGCACTCTGCTTGGCACAATCGGGCCGAAAACTTGAATGACGTACATGGCGAAGAAAGGCATATTTGATTTGCTCGATATAACATTTTACAGCGATATCGCGGCCCTTAACGAGCTTTCACTAGAACATCTGTTCGTTTTGACCTAGTGAGTTAATAAAAACCGAAATATAGTGAAGCTCCACCAGCTGAAGCGCACGAGAAGGTTTTTAAATACTAGGGTGGCCATACAACACAGGTAGCTATTATGTCCTGTTAATGAATAACTCGAGATTTTGACTCCAATGCCACGAGATCCATTTCTGAGACAGCAAGAAGGTCTCCTGCGCAAGTTGCGTGGCGTTGGTCGTCCCTTGCACATACTACAATTCACGGTGTGCACGGTGGAACATGACTTACGCTCTCCCTGGTGGGCACTCGATGCACCACCAGTAGCACTGCAAAGTAGAAATAAAAAGTTATACTGCGTCTGAGGACGTGAGCGTCACAACAACCCCCTTCACGACGAACTGGACAATGTAACAGGTAACGTATAACCATCATACCGAGATCTAGAGTTGTGTTGTAGCTCAGCGGTTAAAAATGGGCGCATATTCCAGGCCGGGGTTCGATTTCCACCAATGCGACTCTTTTATGATCTTTGGTGGCGTATTTAACCTAACTTCGCTCTTATAAGCTAATACAGTGCACAACCGCAGATTTGAAAAAGTTCAAAATGCAGGTGCAAAAGACTTTGGTCGCCTCCGCCCTTGTTATTCGCTATGGGAGCCTTTAGGCACTCCCATAAAAAAGCTGAGGATGTTTGGTGTAAACACAGCAGTAATATAAGCAATTCAGCAGTCTATTCTTATAAATACAGTGTCTCTTTATAGTCATTATTAAAAAAATATTGTCCATTTACCTACGCCCACTTCTTAATGCTCTAAATATTTGCAGTGTTAATTTAGAATCATAGCTGACCGTGTATGTATATTATTTTAAAATAACATAAGCAGTACGCAATATATTTTAATATTATTCATATTTATTATACAAGACGTTATTCCATTGTTTTATTCATACCATATGTTAAAAATTAAAAGATTTTAGTCAATCTTAAATCTCCCTTAAACCCATTTTAGCGAAACGAGCCTTCCCAAAGCTTTTTTAGCGAGTATATATTAAGGTAATAGGGAATATTATAAGAAGGTAACCTCTCCTTTACCTTGTTAGTTTGCTCTAGTTGAATTCTTTAGGATGTAAAGTAATAAGATGGCTTGACTCAATATCTAAAAGGGACATTTTACTCTATAAAGATTTTAGTACATGTTTAATCTACTAACTAACATATAGTATTTTAAATTTGTATAGTTTTATAATTCAGAAGGAGAAATAGATATTTAAACGGTAAAAATTCTGACTTAGTTGTATTAAGTGAATACAAATACAACACTAAGTAAAAAATAGAATACCACCTTTCTTGGCTGTTTAACAGGATCTTTAAAATATTCATTGGTTGTCTTCGTGGTGCTTCCACATTTATACATTTTTATAATATCAACTAAATTAACTGGTAATTCATTTTCTAGAGAAACTATCGGCTGCTTCTCTTGAGATTTTTTAATAAAATTTATCGTTTTATTATTAATGTATTTAATTTTACCTGTCAATTAAATAGTTTAATTAATAAATTTACGGTATATAAAATATTTTTAGCTAGAGAACGCAAATGCTAGGCAACAAGCTCCCAATAACTTATAGTGTGCAGTTTTTAAATATTTAAAAAAAATACACATATAAGAATCAACATTAAACCTATTGTATTAAATTTGTTCTACGAGAGGGCACCAGTTTACTCAGCATGTACCTTTTTATGAATCAAAGCTCGTAGTGCTAAATAAGCTAGGCTATACTTATAGCCAAATAACTTGTGAGGGTATGAAAAGTCATACTTAAGTCCTCACTGTTGAACTCATCAATAAAGTACTTACTTTCAGAAGTTATCGATGAAGAGCACAGTTATGTATCAAAAGTAAAAGTTAAACATACATATATATTGTATAAATAAATTAATACTAGGAAGAAAACAGTCCTGACATTACTATTATGACTAATTTAAAAATTGTTTTTGAATATAAAACGTGAACAATTATATTTAGCAAATACTTTTTACAGATTAATATTAAAAGTAACTAACTTTTATGCACACTAACAACTTCAAAACTTTGGTTGTGCAAATATATAGTAATCTACCAGGCAACTCAAGAGGTGTAAGCAGAGAAGCTAGTGCTTGCTCATCAGCGAGGTTTGGAAATAAAAAAGCTATTATTACGACTACAAGGAAAATCATCATTTACAGGAAGAAATCTTGGAAGAATAATATTTAATATTTATGAATCAATATATTTATAATATATGTATGTTTTACTCTACTTACTTTTTTTAAAATAGGTTACTAAATCTGATAGTGAAATATTTTTACATATATAAAGAATTTTTATTTAAAGCCTATAATATTTTTTTCGTTCATTGTGGTTTACTTATTCTACATTAACTATATAACATTTTAAAAGAAGAGTTTAATAAAGTTTTTTAGTCTGCATGTTATATGTTTAAATAAGAGATTTATGTCAACAATAATGTATTTATCTTCCTTACCAAATTGTATAAATGGTTACTAATTAAGACAACGAAAGTGTAAAAAGAAAATTATTCGCCAATTTTAACATTCTCTTTACTTTTGTATTAGTTATAATTTTATGAATATTAACACCTCTATTGTCATATAATTATATAAATACCTATTGTTAAAAAAATTCAATAAAACTTAAATAGAGCAATAACAATTTTTCCCTAAACTTCTAACTTTTTATAATAAGTTTTAGCTTTCTATAGCACGATAATGTATAAAATTGAAGGTGCAGAGCTTTAGTTGAGAGCGAAAAAGAAAGAAAGGCGGAAAGTAGAATATGAAATGGATGATTTACGCAGACTTTTGGGTCATTACCATCTATAGCATATCTATTAAATAAAATATATTCAATAATTTTACCTTCAAAAACAAGTCTTCAACTTTTTTGGAGGCGTTATGCTCATAAAGATTAACTAATTATGTTATAGTATTTACTAAGCCGAACAGATTTATAATGAAGAGTGGTAGTTTAGTGTCGGATAACTAACTCAAAAGCTATAATGGAATTAATAAACCGTATATCTTCTAACTAAAAAAGATTTCTATGAAAACCCGTTGTAATCAAATAAAATATAAACCAAAAATTTGTTGTCTTGCACTTGCAGCAACGAACGTAATAAAAATCATTAGAAACTGCAAAGATGCATTGCGAGATTTCTACATAGGTCATAAGTTTGTAGTCTCTATTGAAAAGAATAAAAAGTAATACCCCTTTGCTGCACAGAAAAATTCCTCTATCCTGACTTAAGAACTGCTTTTTTTAAAAGGCTCTTAATCCTCAAGTTGCTTAAAATAGGAAGCTCGCCAAAAAAAAAAATACGTTTAAGTTTGGCTTAAACGCTCTTTCTCGCGGCTGTGCTTGCTGTCATGGGCAACCTTTATTGTGATTTTGATCACTGTAATGTAGACATTTTCTGGAATGAATTCATTGACAACTTATGGAGAACGGGACCCTTTATTAGATTCGACCTAGATTCTTTAGAGTTGATTTACTAACCTCTGTTTTGGAACAAAATAACTAAGATTGCAGCAAACTTGGCAGTGCTAATATAAGGGAATAAGAGAATAACTTTGTTTCTTTTTCCTTCCAGGAAGGAGGTTTTTTTTCGTTCTTCGAGTTTTCAAATCAATGCTTTATCCTATAAGCCATTTAAGGCTGGGGACCTATAAATTATCTTCCTAAAGTAAACACCCATCACTTATTTCCAGGTTGAAACAAACCCTAACCCCTTACTGCCCCTAGTCAGCTGAAACCCAGAAGATATATATATTGAAAAATTGTAAGGATTTGAATTTATGGATTTCTGGAGGTATTTTTTTAAAACAGTTTAACATGTCATTTGCGCTTTATATCAGGGAAGTGTTTATAAATGTTGGTCGCATATATATATATATACTATCAATTAACACTATTTAGCTCGACGTCTACTTTCTCGGTTAGCTAGACCGAAAAGCAACTAACACCGGCACGTTTCGAGTTCAATAAACTAGTCGAACTTTCAAATATATGTTTTAACGGATTTCGGACATAGCATGTATAATAATACATATATTTAAAAACTTGTTTGTTAGGACATGCCACCTTGCTTAAGTTTTACTCTTTGGGGAGTTGGGTAAATCAAACATACTAAGGACTAATGCACGCTCTGTAGTTTATCAAAATCTTAAAAATCGTTATAAATTTTTTTTTCCAAGTTTGTCGGGTTTAAAAGCCTTGTTTTATAATAGTACTTGTTAGCTAGTAAAAAATATGTAATTCTTAAAATATTAATGACTATTACAAGAAATTTAGTATAAAATTTTAGACTACAAACTGAATCTGAGATCTTCGCGGGGATTTTGAATACCTGTGTTTTTCAAAATTTATCTAGGTTTAATTAAATAAGAATGAAGTATCACGGAGGGGAGGATCATTCTTCTAAATAATAATTCAATAAAAGAAAAAGGTTTTATTTATTTGGCCATCCAGAAACTATTTTTAAAAACGAAGTCCAGAGACTTTTAAGAAATTATTGACGTAAAGCGAAGCACAATACGCACCAAAAAAATCCACCTTTTTATGCCCTTCTCCAGGTTTTTATATTAATTGTTTCTGCACTGAATTTAAGAAAGACTGATAAAGGTTTTAAATAAAGGCAGCACTCCCAAATAATAACAAGTGCACATTTATAATATTATAAAAATATCATAATTGTATCTAATAAGCTCTTCTCAGGGGTCCCTTCGTTTATGTTTAACAGAGCATTATTGCCGAATGCCTTTTGCGGAAGTTAAAGTAATGTAAAGTCTAAATTTTCATCTTTGACAACTCATTAATTATTACCTTGGCCTTCTTTATAATAGGAAGAAGATCAGGTTTACATTCCTTATCCCATGAGATGTTATAAGGCAATGTTATCCTAAAATAGAGTTCGCTTTCCTCCGCAAGTCCCACCTTTATAAAAGTTACCCTACTCTACAATTTGTATGGATTGCCAAAATTTGGTTTATTTGGGTATAAGAGTGATCACAAACAATTAAAATAACATAATAATATAGAAGGCATCGCAAACTTTGCATTTTATAGAAAGGAGAAAGTGGGTGTTATCTTATTTATTATTAGCTTCAATGCATGAATAACTTTGTAAGTATTAGCCTTTTTCTAATTTTTTATCAATTATAATAAGTTAATTAATAATAAATAAAGTAATGGTAGCGGTTGAGAGTTGCAAGCACATCTGTGAAACATAAACTGTAATCAAGATAAAATCGTTGCAAGTTCCACAATTACTTTTTTTCTTGACTATCCCCTAAAATTCAAAGTTATTACAGTTCAATCTGCTAATTTATAATATTAAATCATTTAATATAATTTTTTTCTGAAAATTTTAAGGTGATTTATCAATGGAGGTTATATCATATATATTTTTTATTTTAAGGTTTTATTGGGACAATAGAATCTCTGTTATGTTTTATTCTAAAATTAATATTTAATATATTATAAAAAGTCTTATTTAAAGTAAAAATGTATTTTATTTATAATTATTAATGATTTTATAATTATTATTAACTAACTAATCTGATTATAATAATTTTTTTTACGCCCATCTTATATATTTCCTGTGGTAAACTGTTATTATTAAAAATAATAAGGAAAGGGGCTTCTAGCTTTGCAGCTAGCACAGGAGTTTCCGTTATCATAACTTCTTTTTGTTCTCTATATTTCCTAGCATTATAACTGAGTGCTCAGTGAGGTTTAGAGCACAAACAAGGTTTAATCCTTTATTATAGTAAATTTGTTATCGAAGTTTATTTTGATAACACTAATCCAATGTCCTAACTATAATTTTTCTACTAGTACTTACCCCCGTGTCGATCAGTATTTCAAAGCATTGTCGCGCAAACTCAAGGTCGTGGGCCGGTACCCGTTAACAAGGCTCTCATCTGTCTTTCCAGGGTTGCGAATATATCCTCGCTTTCATAAATTCTAATATCAACGTCTAAATCAAACTAAAACCTTTGAAAAGACGACGATTTCTTAAAGGGGCGTGAGATTACTCTCGCGATTTAAAAAAAATAACAGTTTTTTATTAAGTGTAAGTCTTCTCAATTGTCACGTCGCTCGATATAATAATAAATATTAGGCCTCTAAAGTTTAAAACCTGAACTATTGTATATGAGCCTTATTAATATAAGAAGTTAACAATCAGAAACTCGCACTTAGTAATTTTTTTTTAAAAGTTTTTCTATTAACAAGCTCTTCAAAATAATATTACACTAATTGACTTAAAAGTGGGGTTATAAAACTGAAGACGGGACAGTTTTAGCATCTCCTTTACACCAGATAAATGATAGTAATACAAAAGTAAACAAGCAATCGCGTTCAATTATATTTTCGCTTTTACTTAGTCCAAGTACTATATCTATGTGGTTACTTTGCGAGAGTAACAATGTATGTACGAATGAAGTTGATAAAATTGGCCAGAAAAATTTAATTAACCTTGATTAGTGAAAAGTAAATTAAAAAAACAAAGCACATTTCTAAACAAAAGTTTTCGTGCTCTACTTATTCCTTTGCATCAACTTGAGAAATCTGAAATGAACTATTAAATTTTTAAATAAATGGGGTCGTGGGAGTTTTAATTTTAATTTAGTAATTTATTAGTTTTTTTTTAGCAACTGAGGAAAACTAAATCGCGACAAAGTTTAAAAAAAATTTTTTTTAGTAAAACAAAATAATTTATATTTGTTTTCATATTTGTAAAAATACAAGAGGTTGTGTTTCTTGCTGGAGGTAATGCTATTAAGCTAATAAATAAAATAACGGCGTTCCTTTAATTCTTCGACTTAGCTGCACTATACACACTTCCTTTTTTTTATAAAACACTAGTTTTAAAAAATAGAGTAAGTGAAATATACTTAAAGTTTAAGGTTTATGTACCAGCGTTAGATATTTATCATGACTTAAATAATTGAAAGACCTTTTGTATATATTTAAGTATACACGCAAATACTTAAAAAAAAATTTCTATTTTGAGTGAAGTTGTTTAAGCTATAAATGAAAAATTTAAAGGGAAGTTTTTCTAATTTTTTTTTTGCTTTTCTCTTCAACTTTGTTTCTCGATAACTTTTGTTAGAATTTGCCGGCTAGTAAGGGAATAGAAAAAACATAGACTAGCTTTAAAACATATGTATGTCTGTCTTAGAAAATATATTTTAAAGAGTTGCTTAATAGTTTATGTTAACTCTAAGGACCAAACTTCTTTTTCTTATTTTAACAAAGCAACTATAAATTATTTTTTTAACAACCTTACCAAAAAGCGCTCTTAAATTAAGCACAAATTGTTAGTTTTAAGGAATTATATTTGTCTAGTAAATAAGAATATTAATAAGTTAACTGACTAGCAGAATGGATTAAGGCTATTAAGAAGAATTGCAAGAATAAGATCAACGCGACAAGTGTACGTTAGCGATCTTTTCTATGAAATGGTTACCATTCAGATATTATGGTTTTCTTTGAGATTATGTTAATTTTAAAATAAAATCAACGCACTGAACGACTCTTAGTATAAGCATTTTATAATATTTAGTCAATGTAAATCTCACACCACCTCTTCTTTTTACTTTTGAATTTGAAGTCCACAAGAACTTTAAAGAAATGAAACTTTTTTTTTAAATAGTAACAAAACTGAAGCACCTATTATGTTTAAAAAAATTTAAATTAGCTCTGTACTATGCTAAATCCCACAAAATATGTTCTTGTGTAAAACTGCTCCTCGTACAAAATTCGTTCCCTTCTCTCTACGTTGCTAAATATATTCCATTTTTAAATAAGTTAATTAGTTTTTTAATTTTATAAACTAAATTGAATCTTTTATTAAGTTGAGACAATTTAAATTATAATAGAATTCACGAATTTATAAGTTCAAAAGGAAATAAGTTAAAAGTATAGTAAAGTTACTTTTTCTGAAACTCAATAGGCACAACTTTCAAACAAAATTATACGAAAAAAAAAAAAAGGATCAAGACCTTTAGGAAAAGCAAAGAAGGCAAGCAATTTACAGGACAAAAATCTAACACGTGTGATTCACCTGTTTTTAAATTTGGGGCAAAACACGCGAGTACAACGTGGTATTATAGCAGATAAACACGTGATTAAGCAAGCGATTTATTTGGGGCAATAATTTGTAATTTTCAAAACTGTACAAAATACATAAAAAAAATTAAAAAAAATATTATTAATTATATAATAAATTTTATATAGTTTTATTTATCACAAACTCGCAAGGAAGTAATAATTCAGAGTGTTCGTTTTGAAAGTAAAATTTACATTCAACAGGAGAAGCTCTACTTTATTTATATATCATTATTAGTTTTAACGAATTAAAATAAAAAATTATTATATAAATATTTTAATAAAAAGTAAAAAAAAAAAAGATAGTAAGCGTATTACTTTATTATTATGTATCAAAAAAAATTTAATATAAAATTTTTTTATCGATATAGAAATATAGGATATATATAATATTTTTATTTGTTATTTTTTAATGTTTATTATGAAAAACTAATAAAAATCAATAAGCATATTTACTTATTAATATTATCCATTAATAAAATTATTATTACATATATATAAAAAAGTAAATAAGTATAAATGTATTTATTTATTATTATATAGTGAAGCGTTCTTTAAAATAGTTATATTTGAATATAATATTATAAAGTAAAAAAATATATTAAGCAAAAAATTTCTTTATTACAGATATGTCAAGTACTAGTTATTATGTTTATTTATATAGAATTTATTATTGTTATATGGAACAGTATAAGTCTCTATTATAATAAGTAACAATATTCTTTTTAAATATTACAAGGATTCATACAATTCTTTAATAAGAAAAAATATTAAATTAATAATAAAAGCTGATAAAAAATTTTATTTTAATAAAATTATTATTATTATTATCTACTAACAAAACTTTCAATAATAATAACATTACTTATTAGTAAATATAATAATAAAAGTAAAAACAAGAGTTTACATATTTAATAGCGACGTGTAGCTAATAAATGCTAGAGAAAGCCCCCGTCCAATTGAAAAACAGTATTCCCCCCTTAGAACGAATCCGAGTCTTTCCCGGTTTTCGTCATTTCCTCTATATATGGAAGCTTTGGCTCTCGCAACTTTCTTATTGGAGGATATATATGCTAAAAATAGTGCTCCGCTTTTTATAATGTTCATAAAAAATACTGCATTAATAGGCAAATTTTATTTGTTAATTTCATAAAAATATATTAAAAGTTCAAATATCAATACTTTTGAAAAATAATGATAAAGAAAAGTATGGAAAATATTTATTGAAGAGATAAAAAGTACAGAAAAGAATTAATTTTACCACTATAAAGTGAAAGAAGTTTTTATAAGCTGCCAAGTTTATAATAATAGTAGCAAAAGGCCAATTATAAACAAGTAATCGCGTCGCGGTATATCGTTAGCGGGGAAAAACAAATCACGTTATTATGAAGTTTCATAAGCCGTACGCAAATTGACACACGCAAGTAATATCGTGGCTAGCTTGAAAACGAGTGCTGATACGATTATAAAGCGAAATCTATATATATTTTTCTACCGAAATATCTAATAAAACGCTATAACATATATATCAGATCTCTTATTGGAAGAAACATTATAAACTTTCTTTTAATTGGAAGTACATGAACTAAACAAAAAGAGAGCAATTTTGCTAAGATATATGTACGCGTTTGATTGGCTAATTAAAACAATTTTAACAATGATTGGAGAGTAATAAGACATAATATAGCCAAAACACCAAAAATACAACCAATAAAATTTTGTTATATTTATTTATTGCGCAGCTCGTGCATTATATATTAAATACGCTGATCGGGTTTAATATGATTATAATAATTTTTTATATTTTGTATATTTACTATAAAAAATGATATATATAATAATATTCCTGATAAAAAGTTTTTATAATAACTTTTGGTATCATTAAATATATGATAAAAATAATATTCTTATTACTAATTTACATTTTAAATTATTACTTTTATTTATATATTATTTTTATATTTACTATAAAGAATAAAAATTATGATAAAATTAATAATGTTACTGATAAAAAATTATCGTAATTACTTTTGATATCATAATTTAAATATTATTTATTCTTTATAAAAAATATAAATATGATAAATATAATATTCTAATTACAAATTAAATATTTTAATAATAACTTTTTTGAATTGTATTATTTAATATAGAAAAAAATTTTAAAATAATTTTAATAAAACTATTTTTATTTATGATTTGTTGTATATATTAACAGATAAAAGCAAAAAAAAATAATACAATTTAAGATTTTTATTATCAACATTTATTATAAAATATTTAATTAATCACTTTTCATAAAAAATAAATTTATAAAAAGAAATAGAAAAAATATACTGTTAAATTATTAAAATGTATGGTAAATATTATTTTTTAGTTTATCATATTAACAAAAAAAATTATCATTACTTCTCGTAAATAACATTTTTCTGCTATTATCTTTTTAATATAAATATTTAAAAATATTATAAAAGTTTAAATAAGTTTACTAATAAGTTAAAATATATTATTTATTATGTAGAAAGTAAGTTCAAAAAAATTTATATATATAAAAGTTCGTTAATAACTGAATATATAAAAATTACGGGTGAGGCACGAAGGTGGAATAAAGTTTTCCATTGCCTATAATAATGATAATAATAATAATAATAAATAAAATTTTAAAATGTTACAGAGTACATATTATTATTTATAAAATATATATAAAAGCAAAGAAATGATATATTATATATAACATTATTGATAATAAAAAAGATTATTATTAATTTAAAAGGTCAAGTTTTACACGATTTAATATAATAAGATAAAAATAAATAAAATGTAATAATAATTATTAAAAATAAAGTAATGATGAATATTATTAAAAATAATATTAAAAAAAGTTAAATACTGTTCAAGATATATAACAAAAATAATAAATAATTAAAAAAAGATTATTAAAAATATATAAAATTAGTATTAATTTTATTATAATAGTATTATGATATCAATATAATAATGATAATAAGTTTCATACTCTTCATAATATTTAACAAAAATTACATTTAAAAAAAAGATTATTAAGAAAAATATAAAATTAGAATTATTCTTATTATAAAAAGTTAAAGAAGAATTAATGACAATAAGAAGTTTATTGTAAAAAAATAATATTATGATAAAAAAGAAATAATAATGAGAATAAGTTTAACACTATTCAAAATACTTAAAGATATAATCAAGAAGAATAAAAAATTAGTATTGTTTTTAATATTAAAAAGTTTAGTAAATGAATAATTTTATAAAATTGATATTATTATTATTATAAAACTATTAAAAAGAGAAATAACATTAATATGCTTATCATAACTAAACTAAATAATATTTTGAAAATATTATTAAATAAATATAAATTAAAAATACTATCACTAAAAAATGTAATAGTAAAAGATAATAATAACAAGTTTGCTAATATTATAATAAAAATTATAGTAAAAAAATATATTTATAAGTCTAATAAAATTTAAAAAACTTGGAAAAAATATTAAATAATGATTGTTAATAAAATTTTAAAATAATATTATTTATACTATGTAAAATTTAATAAGTATATATATCATAGAAAAAAAAGAATAATAGTATCAATAAGTTTATAATAAAAAATAATATTGTTATAAATAATTCATTGAAAAAATAATATTAACAAGTTTAATAATATAAGTATTTTTATTATAAAAAAGTAAATAAATAAATATTAGATAAAAAAGGAATAATTCTTAAAGTTCATTATATTATAATGATAATATATTTTAATATTTTAATAAATAAAATAAATAATATAAAGTTTACTACTATACAGAAAATAATTAAAAATGAAATATAAATATAGTATTCTTATTATTGTAAAAAATTACTGGATAAATAAAAAATAATAGTAAAAATTATTATTATTAAAAAAGTAATAAATATAAAATAGATATAACAATAAGTTTAAAGGTTGCAAAACTTAAAAAAAATTTAAAAAATTGAGAAATAATTATAATTTTATAAAATACTTAATAAGTAAATAAAAGTGGATAGATAAAAGTAATAATAATATAAAAAAATAATAAAATAAATAAGTTTATAAAAAAAATACTAATATACATTCAAAGCGCAACAAAAATAAAAAATTATATTATGGAAAAGATTATTATATAAAAAAATAATAATAGTAGTATTATGAAATACTTGAATAAAAATTATAATAATAGTAGAAAAATATGTGTTATAAGGTTAACAGAATTCAAAACTTTACCAAATGATAAATATAATATATTTATAGAAAATATATATAGAAAAAAAAAATTATCATAATTATAAATATAACATAAGTTAATAATATAATAATAAGTTAAACAGAATTGAAAGTTTAATTAAAAATAAAATAATATTTTGATTATAAAATATAATAAAAGTCAATAATAATAGTAATAAAGAAAACTCATGTATATGTAAATATAAAACTATAATATATATATATTTGGAAAGTAAAAAAATATACAATAATAAAGAGAAATAATTATAAATAAATAAATAAAATTTATAATACAATATTTTAAAAGTAAATAAATTATATAATGAAAAATAATAAATAGTATAATATATAAAATTAAAAAAAAAAGTTATAAAGTAAATATTATAAAATATCTAAGAATATAATAATGCTAGAAAAATAATTAGGAATAAATAATATTTTTATAAAATATTTAAAAAGTAAATAAAATAATAGTAATAATGAAAAATAAAAATGTTTAAAAATAAATAAAATATAATATGAAAATTTTTAATATATATTTATAGTAGAAAATAATATATTATAAAACAATAAAAATTTTAAAAATATATAAAAAATAATAATATTGTTAATATACAATTTAAAAGCAAATATAATAATAGAAAAATTATAAATAATTTATATTTTTATTATTAAATTTTTATAAATAAATTAATAGTAATAAAGTAAAATAATAAAAAGTAAAAAAAATTTAAAAAAAATGTAAACATAATATTATTATTAATAAATTATTTAGAAATTAAATAAAAAATAGTAAAAAAATGAATTTTTAAAAAAATATGAAAATAATAATTATAAAATATGTAAATATATAATTATAATAGAATAATCATAACTAATAAATAAAAGAAAATAAATAAAAATATTAATTGAAAATTAATAAATATTAAAATAATAATTAAAAAAAAAATTATATAATAATTAGATATTTTAAAAAAATAATAATAGTAGAAAAATAATCGAGTTTAACACATTTAATAGTATTTCTAATAAAATAAAAAAAGACTATATTCATGAATAAATAATTATAATTTAATATTAATAGAGGTAATATAATTTTATATATAATTATTTTTATTATTTATTAATTTTATTATATATTTTACTATAATTTTACTACTTACATTTTATTTTTATTTAAACATAAAATAAATATAGAAATAATAATAATAAAAAATGATAAAAAGTATTTTTATAATATCAATATTTAATTAAAGATATTAAAACGTTTCACGTAATAATAAATATCCATTAATAAAATTTATTATTCATAATAATATTTTTTTAATCATAATAAATAATAAATAACATTACAATATAAAAAAAGTAAATTAAAACAGATTAAAAATAATAAATAAATAGTATAGTAGAAAGAAAAATAGTAATAAGTTATATATGATAAAGCTCCACAATTACTTTTATAATTTTTTGAAATATAAACAATATATAAACAATTAATAAACTAATAAAAAGAAATATATAATGACAAAAAGTGTTATTAACGCTTAATAGAATAAAGAGTAATTAATATATAAAAAATAAAAATAAACAGTCACAAATGAAAACACCTTTTTTTTAAAAATATAAAAATATATAAATATATTATAAAAGTTATAAAAAAAAATATTAACAAAAATTATAATAAAAATGATAATAATAATTAAAAGTTTGAAAGGCTTAAAAAAATAGAACATATAAATACAATGTAATATATAATTAGTATTTAAATAATAAATATTAAAGTCTGTAATAAGATGAACATAAAATAATTTTAAACAGTAGAAAATAATAATAAGTAAAAGTTATTAAGTTTCAGTCCATCCGCCAGTAAAAAGTTTAAGCAAATAAACTAATTTATTATTACTATTTAGTTTTAATATTTATTAAATTACTTATTTCTGAATAATTCTATTATATTTTGTATATAATTACTATTAATTTTTTTTAACATTATATATATATAAAAAGAAAAATTATTTATTATTTATTATTTTATTATTATTATTTATATTATCTAATATACAGAAGCAATTATTACAATTCTAAATAATTATTATTACATATCGTATTTTTTGTAGTTCATAATATTTATTATTATTATTTATTTGATATTCAATACATATATATGAACTTTTAAAATAATTAATAAATATGCAAAGTTTTCTTTTTAACTAACAGTAATTAATTTTTAATAATTATTTACTTCAACTACTATTATTAATAGTATATATTTTCGATACACAAAAAAGCTTTTTAGAAATTATAAATAATAATTATTTATTTTTATTATTAATAGCTGTTTATTTTTTGTTTATTACTATTAAAAATATAATAAAATATTTTCACAAAAAATAATTCAAAAATAATAATTTATCAAAATTATTAATTATTTATTTTTAATAATAAGTAGTTTATTATAATTATAATTATTATTTTTATAATTATTGAAAATATAAAAGAAATTTCTACATATTAATAATAATTTTTATAATTAAATTAATTTTTTTTTTTAATAATACTTGCTTATTTTAATAATTATTATTATAAATTTATACTTTCTTTTAGTAATTTTTCTATTCAATATACAAAAAAAATCTAAAAATTAATAATAAATTTTTAATTTTATTAATAATAATTTATTTATTATTATTTATTTTAGATTAATGGTTGTTTATTTTATTTATACTTATATTTTTAATATAAAAAGTTACCTTCTAAAAATTTTTAATAATAATATATTATAATCGTTTGTTTATAAAAATAATTATTATTAATTATTATTTTATTTATATTTTTAATATAATAGAAGTACTCATGAAATATATAATAACAAGTTAGAAATATTTACATATATAGACATTATTTATTTTTTATTAATAGTTGTTTGATTTATTTATTATTATTAATTTATAATTTTAATATAGAAAAAGTATCTTCTAAAAAAATTCTATATTTAAATATTTATTATTTTGAAAAAAAATATTTAAATTTTTTATAAATTTCATTAATGTTATTATAAAAGTTTTTATTATTTATTATATTTATTTAATAAATAGTTGTTCATTTTTTATTATTACTATTAATTTACAATTTTAATATACAAAAGTATCTCTAAAAAATTTTAATAATTTATAATAAAAATAACAATTATTATTTTATATTATCATTAATTTTCATTTTTATAAAGAAAAACATATTAATAATTAATTATAATTTCTTATTTTAAGTTGTTTACTTATAAATAATAACAATTATTTCTTTTAATTATTAATTATTATTTTATATTAATATTTCCTTAAAAAAAAAGTAACTTTTCAAAGTTATTAACAAAAATATTAATTTTTTTTGTTATTTATTCATATTTTCAATATACAAAAGTACCTTTTAAAAATTCCTGTATAGCATTAATAACTTTAGAGGAGCGAATAATATAAAAACTTTTCACTGAACTTTATATTATGTTAATATAATAATAAAACGTTAGTAAATTTGAGTTACAAATAGAAATTAAAATAATGAATAGTAAAAAAATTATAATAACATAATAAAAAAATAGCTAATAAATATATTTATATGCTTCTTATAATTAACATATAAAAAGTATAAAGAAAAAAAAAACCTTTTAATAAAGAGTAGAGCCGATAAGTAAATTAGTTAAAATTATTGTTATGAATATTAATAAAAAAAGTAAATAAGCAAATAAATGTCTTGTGATTATATAAATAATAAAAATAATCTAAAAAGTATAAAAGCAGTTATAATAATAATAGCAAATAAGTAAAATCGTATAGCAATTATTAAAAATAATTGCGAATAAAAAATATTGTTATATTTATTTTAACTATAAAATATAGCAAAAATAGAAGTTATTACAATAATTATATTAATCACAATTTGGATTAAGTAAAATCGTTAAAATAACTACTATAAAAAAAATAATAATTATATTTATAATAATAATTAAAAATAAAAAATCGTTATAATTACTTTATAAAAAATTATATATGAAATGTAATTCATTATAATTATTATACTAATAATAATAATCGAGAACAAATAATATCGTTATAATAATTATTATATAAAAGTTAATCATCATTATAATAATTATATAAATAATAATATAAATTAAATAACTAAAGTTATAATTTTTTTCTTTATACAAATACAAAATTATATAAAAAATAAAAAAAAAAACATTAAAATTATGGTTATTACTCAATTAAAATAACGAACGATATAAAAAAAATTATGAAAACTGTTAAAATTATAACGAATCAAATAGCGAAAGCCAGTCGGACGGAGGCGAGGGATTCGCTACTTTTTTTGAAGACGGACGTTTGGCGAAAGTCTCGCTCTCTTCCGTATACAAACTTTCTAAGAAAAATAATAAATATATATATATTTAGTAAAATTTCTTAATATTTACTTTTTATAAGAGCTTCAATAGTTATTATTTTTATATTTGATTATTATATAAAATATTCATTTGTTAAAAAGTTGACTATTTATTGTAACAAAAGTTTATTCACTACTAATTTTATATTCTTATTTTAATTATAATAACATTTATATAAATTTTACTATTTACTTTTTATTTTTAATAAAAATTTTCTGTTTCGCCATTATTATTTATACTAAACGTAAAAGTTTATATTAAAATAAATTTTACTTTTATTAAAAATTATTTATACTTAAAATTTTAAAAAGTTAATAATTATCATATAAACTTTTTTTCTTAAAATATATTTTTATATTGTGATTGCATATACGTATTAATTATAAATTTTTTTTCTATTGTTTAATATATTTAATAACAAAAGTTTAAATTTAGAAATGATTTTTTTATATTTTATTAAAACAAATATTTAAGTTTTATATTAATATTAAATATTTTTTTACTTTTTACTACTACATTTTTTTTATAACAAAATTTTCAAATTTATACTGTTAATATTATATGCTTATTAATATTATTATATATTTCTAATAACAAAACTTTTAGTTTATTATTAAAACATATTTACACTTTAGTATTATTAAATATTTTATATAACAAAAACATCAGTTTAATATTAAAAATTTATTTACTTTTTATTATTATTAAATGTTTTAAAAATATAATTCAGTTTCGTATTAAAAATGAATATTTTTTACAATTTACTATCATAAATATTTAATATAACAAAATTTATCTATTTTATATTAAAAATGAACATTTTTATTACTATTATTACTAAATAATTCTTATAACAAAACCTTTAGTATTATTAAAATATTTTTATACCAAAACTTTAGTTTCTTGAAAACTTTTATTTTCGCAAAAAAATATTTTTTATTAATAACTTTCTCAGTTGTTATTAATTTTTTTCTACCAAAATTATGAGTTTTAATTTAAAAATGAATATTTTTTGTAACTGAAAATTTACTTTTAAAGTCTTTTATAGTATTTATTTTAGATGTTCTGTTATAATAAATATATATTCTCTTGTTTATGCAAAAAAATAATTTATTTATAATGTTAAACTTTTTATAGCTTATATATATAATATATATTATTACACATGATTATATATAAAAAAAACTTAATAAGAATAAATTCATTAGAGAATACTATTATATTCTTTTCCCGCATTGGTGTCTACATAGTCAAGTGGAAAAAAGGGTTTATTGAGTTGCAATTTTAAAAATGAATCGGCTTCAATCCCTTAATAATAATTAAAAAAAATAAATGTCTAAAAGAAAACCAAAGAAAATGTTAAAAAAATATATAAAGAAGTAAAAATAAATAAAAGAAAGTCAAACAGAAAATTTATATAATAAATAAATAATAAAAAATTATAATAACATCATATAAAAAGTAAAACAAAAAGTAGTAATTATTTATGCTACCTTGAAAAGCTGTATTTTTTTATTTATATAAAACGACGATTTTAAAAGAAATTCATAAAAAATAATGAAAAAAGTTCGCGCCAAATTTACTTTGTTTCTTTTGCATCACATTAAAACAAGTATATAAAGTCGTGAAACACGCAACTTTTTCAGAATTATAAAAATTTTTTCTATAAAAGTTCATGAGATAATTATATATATATAAGTATAAATAAAAATGTAATATATTTATATTTTTTTATTGAAAAGTCATATAAAATCAAAAAAGTTTAATAAAATTTTACATTTTTTTCAAAAAAAAATTAAGTTTTCTTAACCAATAGTAATGATTTTAAATCTACTGAAAATGTTACAAGATGTAATAAAAATTCATTAAATAATTTGTATATATTATTCAATAAAAAATACAAAAGTTCTAAACCAGAAACTCTAAAATTATCTTATAATTCACTAAATTAATTCCTTTTTATGACCCATTAAAATTATTTTAAAAATGGTTAAAAAAATTAAGATAAAAAATATTAATCAAAGTTTTAATGAAGATACTACTGGCCAATAAATAATGAAAAAAAGCTCTCACAGAAATTTTTCTTTAATATCCTTTAAATTCACTAAAAAATTAATTATTGAAAAAAATTTATAACCAATAAGAATATTTGGAAATTATTGAGTTAGAATTAAAATTCATTAAAAATACTACTGACCAATACAAAATTCGCACAATATTAAACTTTTTTCTTATAAATTCACTTAAAAAATGATTGGTAGTTTTTATGACCAATAAAAATAATTTAAAATTGAGCAAAAAAGTTGTATAAATAATGAATATTCATATTTTCCTATAAAAACATGTATGAGAGCATCAATGAAACTTTTAAATGTCCTAAATCCGTTAAAGAATAAAGAAGCAAGTATGAAAACTGACCAGTAGCAGAAGCTCCAGCGTATATTAATGAAAGCCAAATATCCAAACCCCAATTGTTGGGAACCACGAGTTCGTAGCCGTCCCCAAAACTGTAAGCTTCTTTTACTACATAATAAAAAGTAATAAAATATATATTAGCTAAGCTTTTTCTTAAGAATAATGAACTTGAAAATTTTTTGTAAAAGTTTGATTATTACAATAAAAATATTGTAATAGTATTTATTTTTGCTTAACTTTAGAATAATAAATAATAAATAAATTTAATTTTTGGCAGTTGAAATAAACATTGTAATAATGAAAGTATTGTATAGTAATATATATATGTATATAATAACCCTTCTTTATTTTGATTAATATCATAAGAAAACACATTAGCTTAACTTTTGAATTAAAAATAATGAATAACTTTTACTTATTATAATAAAAAAAAATTTTTAATTATAATAAGACTATATATTAACTAAATTTTTTTAATAAAAAATTGTAACTTTTATCCTTATAAAAGTTGAAACAAAATTATTATAACGAAAGGTTATAGAGTTGGAAAAAATAATTACTTTTTTCTTTTTTTTTTAATATTAAAAAATAAGAAATGCAGTATGTAATCTTTTTATAATATTATCTTTATAAAAGTTAGAAATAAATAATAAAAAGTTCTTCTTATACTTGATAATATAAAGAAATTTATAGTTGTCAAACTTTTTAAAAAAAAATAATAAATTACTTTTATTATCTTTAAAAAGTTAGAAATAAATATTATTAAAAAGTTTGAGGAGACTTTTTTTTTTGCTTAATAATAAGTTAAAAAATATAGACCAGAAAAGCTTTTTCATATAAAATAATAAAAATTTACTTAGCAGCTTTACTAAAGTTCAAAATAAATAGTTTCTTAATAAAAATGTTGAGTGGTAAAAAACCTAATGATTTTCTTTTATTTTTTAATAATAGATAAGATATATACAATCAAACTTATTTAAGAAATAGTAAATATTTTTCTATTAATTATTATAGTGAAGTATAATTGTTATTATAATAAAAGTCTTGCTTTGAAAATAAATTATATAAATACTTCTGATTTTAAATAAGAATATTTTACATAAATTAGAACAAAAGTATATAATTTTTTAAAAAAGACAAAATAAACTTATATAAAGTGTTGTATTTGTTATTAACTATTAACATCAGAGGTAGTTTTTTTTAATTATTATAATTATAATATGCAGTAGAAAACAAAATAATAACTTTTTATTTAAAAAATGTATAATTATTATTATTTATTACCAATAAAATATACGAAAATTGTATAAAATAGCAACAATATCATAATAAATATTAAATGTTTAAAGATAGAAGTGAAACCAATCAATTATATACATGTCATTATAGTTGCAATGATCGAAAGTAGTAAAAATAAATAATAGAATTATTCACTAAAAATATTATCAAATTTATAACTAATAGACGCTCAAAACTGTTATATAAACCAATTAAACTTATGAATGCCAAAAACAGTTCTCTCCATATAAAAATTAAAAAATAAGGTTTCATAAATTCATTTAAAATGAAAATTGTTATAATTATACTTTTACTGATTAACAACCAATAAATGCTAAGAAAAGATTGTATAAACCAGTTATAGTTAATTTTACTTGAAATTTTTCAATAGCATTATTAATAAATTCTTAATATACTATTGGTATAGTTAAAGTTGAAAAATGGGAAGTTGAATAAATGTAATCAATAGGAAAATGAAAAGTTGACACGTTATATACGTTGGGAATTTTTTATCACGAGTATCGGAATTTTCAGTGAGTTTTCAAACAGCGAATCATCTTTTATAACGAGCTGAAGAAAGTAAAGAAGTTTATTATAAAATATTAAGAAAAGCCTAATAATAATAATAAAGTATTCGTACTAGTAGAATTAAACCTTATTATAATTTATATTAAAAAAAATTATTAATAAAAATAATTTTCTTTAGAACATAAAGAAACCTTTTATGTAAGGAAAAATTTACTTTCAAAAAGTTAAAAAGGAATGTTTTTAATAACCTATAGTCTCACGTAAAAAACACTGATTTTTTATTAAATATAAAAAGTTATCATAACAATAAAAAAAGTTACTATAATTTTTTTATGATACGCATAATATTAAGTAATCATATTTATATAAAATGTTTAGCGAACTATATTTTTATAAAAATAATATCATCTGGTACTTGTTATAACACTAAAAAGTTTAAAACTTTTTTATGTAAAAGAAATTTTTTTTCTATACCAAAAAGTTTATAATATAAAATTTTTTATAATTACAGAAAGTGATTATTCTTTATATATATATTAAAGAGTTTTTAAAAATATGTTTTTATTATAATTAATAAACTTAATAATTTATATATGTTAAAAAAATCGAAATTAAATATAAAATATTTTCATAGCAAATTTAATAAAAAAAACCTTTATAAATTATAAACATAATTTTTAATATAAAACGCTTTAAAAAGTTATTAAATATTAAAATTTAATGATAATATAAACTTTTATAAGAATTAATAAAATTTATAATTTTTATATAAATAATATAATAAAAACAAAAAATTAAAAGTTTACTAAAAGTATGAATAAACGTTTTAAAATTTATAGTTCATTTTTAAATTAATAAATAAATGTTTTAAAAATTATTATAATATTATAAAAGTAAATAAATAATAAATAAGTAAAGTTTTAATAATTGTATTTAAATTAAAAGTAAATAAAGTTTGAAAATTTATACTCTAGATTTATTAAATGTAAATAAATTCATAATAAATATATAAAGTTTAAAAAATTAGATTTATTATAAGTAATAAATATAAAGTTTTAAGAAATATAAATAAATATATAGATATATATAACTTTAAAAAAAATATATTTTTTATATTATTATATTACAAAAAGTAAATTATAAATTATAATTATTATAACTTTTTTAAAATCTACAAGTAAAGTTATAACAAATATAATACTATTTTATTACAAGTAAGTAAATAAAGAATAAATAAAAAAATTAAAAAATTAATGAAATTTGAAGCCAAAAAACGCCTACCCTTTACAAAAGTACGCTAAAAAACTTTAATACGTGCCTTATTTAGAATGAACGACGCTTAAAAATCCTTTTAAAAACGACATATATAAATTTTAACGGATATTAAATTGAAAACTTTTTGTTATTAGTCGATATTTTATGTTTAAAAATATTTATAAAAATAAAGCGAATAAAAAAAATATTATAACTAAAGTAAGCACAATAATATTAAAAATATATATATAAAAATGTATAAAAAATATTATAAACCGAAGAAAGTAACTGATTCACTTTAAAAGTTGAACACTTCAGCCTCTCCTCTGACGATTTTTCAAAATCATTAATGTCAAAATTTTTAAAAATGGCGGGAAATTCAGGTGCAAGTAGGGTTTCAGGTTTTTTAGTGAAAAAAGGTTTGTTTTTCCCTCCAAAAATAATTCTAAAATAAATTTTGGTATATAAAAGTTTTTTATTATTATTAATAGAGAATAAAAGTTAAAAGAAAACATTCTAATTAATTGTATTTATATAAATATTACTATCAACAATTATTATATAATTCTTGTCATGTATAGAAAATAAATTTTTTTTAAATAAAAGGAAACGAAAAAATTAGGTATTAAATTGAATAAAGTGTTAAAAAAAAATTAAGAGAAAATTTGAAAAAACTATTAAACATTTAAAATAATAATAACTAAAATCAGTACCGAATGTCGTAAACTTTCATAAAAAAAACGGATCCGGGAAGTATAGAGCGCTCAACAATTTTATTGTTAACACTTTTCAACAAAACGTCATTATTATTGGTGTTATTATTGTTATTATTATTACTATTATTATTACTATTATTTTTATTATGAACAAAATTCAAAGCGCTACTGATAACTTTCAAACTTTTCGGGCCTTTTAAAGAAAACTTGCAGAATTTTCCTTTTAACTGTACAATTTGGCCTTTTTTTCAAAATAAATTTTATAAAATACTATAAAAGTAGTAATATAAATACATTTAATTATTAATTATTATTGGTATTATTTTATAATCTTTTGCTTCATTACTAATTAAGCCATGTGAAAGGAATACCAGTCCACCAATAATATAAGCTTGATACGAAAAGGCAAGTAAAATTTACATTTAATTTTTTTATTTTTATAATTATCATATATATATATTTTTCTAATACTTTTTAATTATAATAACTTGAATAATTTTTACTAATTATTTTTATAGTAATTAAGGTTTACATAATTTTTAAATATGCATAATTATTATTAAAATTTATATAATTATTTTTTTTTACTTTGATATATATTAATTTTTAACTTCCTTAAATAAAGTCATAATAAAAATTTATTAGTTTACTATTAATATATTTTTATTAGTTATTTATAGTAATAATTACTTTATTTATAATTAAAAATATTAAGATTTTTTTTTTTTCTTATTAATAATAACAATAACAAAAATATTAATATTATAAATTATTGTCATAAACAATATTGTAATTATATATTCTTATTTTATAATAGTTATATGATTATTTTTATTCAGTAATACCATTACGTTACTATCATTATAATCTATTCAATAGGATTATTATATTTATTCCTTCCTGTAATTAATTACTATTATTATTGTTTTTACGGAATTATTATATTATTACTTATTATTATAAATTAATTCATTAGAATTATTATACTTATAAATATTACTTATAATTTATTATTATTTATATTACTTATACTTTTTATTACATTATACTAATTATAACTTCATTTAATAGCATTATTACATTATAACTTGTTATTTATTACTATTAAATTTTACTATTATGATTTATTTAACAGCATCATTATATAATAATTTAATTTTTCAATATTATTAATACGTTATTATGTTACTAAGCTATCTAACAGCATTATTATATTTTTACTTATTATTATTTATGATAGCATAGTTATATATTATACTATTACTTATTATTTATTATTATAATATATATTAATCGTTATTATTAATGACGTTATTATTATAACTACTTAATGGCATTACTTACTTATTTTATAACTTATTATAATAATTACTTTCAGTAATTATTTTATATGTTAGTATATACTTATTATTATAAAAATTTATTTCATTTTTAATAGTGCTTTCTCTATTTTTCATTATTTAAATTATTATTATTCCTATTTATTATAAATTTTATTTATTTTTATTTCATTTTTAGTATTATGTTTACTTTTTTATTATTATCTATAATTACTATTATCCCTATTTTTATTATTATTTATACTTATGCTAACGTTATCAGTAGTATATTTTTATTAATATTGCTTTTATTATATATATATATAAAACTACAATGTTCTGGTTTAGCATCAAAAAAAAGCTGAAAAACTTCATCGTAACATGAAGGATGACAGAAAATCCAAAGTTTGATTTCATTATATTTTATTCTGATAAAAAAAATATAAAATAAAAAAAAATTAATAAAAGTATAACTTTAAATTTATAAGTAAAACTTGAACAGAATTTATAAAGAAAAAGATTACAAACTCGTAAAAGGTATTTAAAACAAAGATAACTTTTAATAAAACTTATAATAATTCTAAAAAATAATAAACTTTAAAATTTTGTAAAATCAAAATTCAAATTAATTCTATATATAATAAATTTTTAAAAAGTATAGGTGACTTATAGAAAAACATAAAATAATTCTAATGAAAATATAAGACATATATAAAATTATAATAAATTTGAAAAAATATGAAATAAAAAATAAAAAAAGGTAGTTTATTGTAAAAATAGAAGTAAAGTTTGAAATGTATATATAAGAAATTATAAAAAACAAAAATTAGAGGGGTATAGTTTACAGTAAAACTAAAATGGAAGTTTTTAAAAAATAATAATATATATATATAAATATTATAAATATAAAAAAAGTTATAAAATTACGATAAACCTGTAATTTTTCTAAGTAAGAAAAAAATTAAAGAAAACATATAATTATATAAACGAGTAAAAAAAAAGTATATAAAATAAAAAGATAAAATTACAGTACAATTTGAAAAATTTAAAGAAAATAAATTAAAAAAAGGATTAAAAAAATTAAGAGAACGTCAATTTAAGGTAAAACTAGAAATAAATAATATAATAATAAAATAATATATACATAACATTATAATATATTATAAAAAAAGTATAAAAATTAGAAAAGGATAGTTTAAGAAAAAACGATATATTTTTAAATATAAAAAAAATTAACAAAGTTATGAAAAACTTGCAAAATGTATAACAAAATAAAAAAAGATAAATTAAAGTAAAACTTGATTTATATTAATGTTGAGATATAAAAAAATTAAAATAACCTTGAAAAATATATTAAGTAATAATAATTAAAAAATTAAATGATGTAAAAAAGGAATAAAATTCTTTAAATTTTTATCAATAATAATAAATATTAAAAAAATAAGAGATAATATAATTATAAAAATAAACGAAAAAATTTTTTAGAATAATAAATTATATATTAATAAAAATAAATACATTTTTATGGTGGAAAAGAAGTAATCCAAAATAAATATTATTAATAAATTTAATGATTGTTAAGTATTTTTTGATATCAAAGTTAGGCAGTTCTATATTTATTACTATAATACTTCACATAATCGTAAAATAAAAGTAAATTCTACTGCACAAGTAATTATTTATAATTATTTTTTTTTAATATTAAAAAATATATAAAAATATTTTTATTTACAAAAATAATAATAAAAATTCTTTATATACTTTATTATTAGAATTATCTACACAATAATTAAATTTACTATAAAAGTTTATAATTGCTGAATAATAGTAAAATAATTATTTATTCATATTTTTTAAGGAAATAATAATAATTATAAATAGTTTGTAATGTTTCAGTTTTATAACTTTTAATAAAAAAATAATTATAAATCAATATAAAAATGCAGTGTACTCATAATTATTATTTACATGCACCAAAAAATATTAAAAAGCATATAAAATAATAAATAAAAAAAATACGTAAGGAGTATTATTATCTGCACAATTATTATAAAAATCTAAAAAAGTAACTGTAATATATAAATAAGTAATACTTCTATTATAAAATATATATCATTATTATATTGAAAATCAAAATAAAAGAAAATATAAATGATAATTCCTGTTTATCTAATTTTTTATTTTATGAATTTTTAGTACAAATATTTCATAAACTTAAAAAATTACAATAATAAAAGGTATAAAAGAAAAAGTAGTTATTATAAAAAAAAAGTTATAAATATTTAAATAACAAATAAAAAAAAGAAAAAAAGTAAAATATGTAAATATTTCAATAATTATAAAAATACCACCACGAATGATAGGTATAAGAATTAATAATAATTATAAATATTAGATATTTTACAATACATTAATATTATTATCCTCAATTTTATTAATAAAAAAATTAGAAATAATAAGAATAATAAAAATAATAAAAAATATTAATTATTATTATTATAATAATAAAAGTTAAAATAAAACAATAAGGTTATCTCTAGGGCGAAATAATATATTTTTCAAGTGCATAAATTCAATAAACCTTTTCTAAAAATATTAAAATATAAAAAAAAAGTATAATAATAATATGAATATAAATAAAAAATAAATAGAAATAATTAAAAATTATTAAAAAAGGGATAAATAAAATATAAAAATATTAAATATATAAAAATACTAATAAATAATAAATAATAAATATAAAATAAATATTATATATAAAAAAGAGAAATCAATAAGATATAAAATTAATAAATATATAATAATAAGAACAATAGATAATAAATAAATATAAATAAAAAAATGTAGAAGAAAAAGAATTAATGAAATAAAGATAATATCTATATAATACTAATAATAAAAAATTAATGAATATAAATATTAATAAACAAACTAAATAAGAATAATAAAAAGAATTATTAAAGTATAAAAATTATAAATATAAATATAAATAAACAAAAATAAATAATAATATCCAAAAAGGGGAATAAGTAATTATATTAAAATAAAAAATTATAAAGAAATAACAATATATTATAAAAAAGTTAATATATGTGAATATAGATAAATAAAAAAATGGAGAAATAAAATATTAATAAATACTTTAACAAGTATAATGAATACCTCCACGAATGAAAGATATAAGAAACTAGAGCGACCGCTTCATAAGGAAACATTTCACTTTTATGAAGAACAATTTCTTCATAAAAAACTTGAGCAAAACTTCTACGTAGTAGTTTTATAGTTATTAGAGAACATATATAATAATATATATACCTAAGTAGAATATAATAATAAACAGAATTTTAATTATAAAGAAACTTGGAGAAACTTATTTAGTATTATATAAGAATAATAAAATATTATATAGTTTATATATAATTACCTATATATAATTTTATTTTATATAATAATAAAGTATTTAGTACTTTATTAAAAAAACATATTAGAAGTTATTACAAAGAAAATTATTCTTTAACGATTTCTTATAAATAAATAAATAAAAATTTTTTAAAAATTATAATAGTTAACAGGAATATTTATAATATGTAATAAAAAAAACTAAAAGTAAAATTCTATTTAGTATTCCTATAATAAAAAATAAAAAATTTATAAAAAATAAATAAAGATAAAATATTATAAGCAGAAATATTTGTTTTTCTTATATAAAAAAATAAAAAGAACTTTTATTTATTTTTTAAATATAAAATCTAAAAAAAATTGATTATAAATGCAAAAAAATAAATAAATTTTATATAAAGGTATAAAATAATAATATTCAGTAATATTTATATTGTTAAAATAATAAAAAATAAATAATATTTTATTTTTAAAAGTTTTATAATAAACAAACAATAAAAAATTATATAAAAAATTATTAATAAATAGTTAAAAAAAAATTATCAAGTACAAAAGAAATTATTACAAAAAATATAAAAAAATATATAATATTCTTATAAAGTTTTAAAGAAAAATTAAAAAAATAATATGAATTAAATATTAGTTTTATAAAAAATAAAAGTAAAAGAAGAAGTATTTTTTATATTTTATTATAAATAACTTAAAAAAAATTTATTAATTATTTTATTCCAAAAATGGTTACATGATACAAAATAATAATATATATAATTTTTTAAAAAATTAATAGAAATAATAGAAAAATAGAATAAGAAATATTAAAATTGTACAGTAACTAAAAAGAAAAAATAATATAACATAATAATATTAAATAGTAAAATAAGAAATTTTCCTTAAGTTTTATTTGACATAATAAAAATGAAATTATAATGTATAATAAAAAGTAAAATGTTGATATATACTATAAGATTTTTCTTATATAGCTTTATAAAATATAATAAAGATCAAAAGTAGAAACTCTTAAAAAAGGTAATAGATAAAAAATAGTTTTTTATAGACTCATGAAAAACAGATTTTTTTATATAAATAAAAATAAATAATACTACTAATTAAAATATATTAAAAAGTTGTTTTTCTATAAAAAAAATTATTTAAATATCAAAAATAATTTTTAAAAAAAAGCATTCCATAATAAAAAAAGTAGAGCACGTTATAAGTGTTCCTATAATAATAAAAATAAAAATAATTTTATAAATATAAAAATCAAAAACAAAAATATTTATAAATACTATAATAGAAATTAACTTTTATAATTTTAATATAAAATAAAATTATTTCATATAAAAAATAGAATAGTAATAAAATATATAATATTATTTTTATATACTCAAACTTTTATAGTAATTTAAAAGTATTATATAAATGAAATTAATATATTAAGTGTTTTTTATAGAATAATAAAGGCATAATATAATACGAAAATATATATTTATAATATAAATAATATTAAAAAAAAATTGTTAAAGTAGTATAATTATTCTTAGTTTCTTTGTTAATAATTACAAAAAAGAATATGTTTTCTTTAAAAACTTAAAACATTAGTTATTTAATTTTAAAATTGTAAAGATTTTTAATATAATATGATTTTTTGGTATAAATTTTAACGAAAACATAGAAATGAAGTTACTTTTCTTTATAAACTTGAAAAAGGTTTGTTTCGGCAATAAAAATAGTTCCGTAAATAAAAATATAATTTAAAAAGTATATAATAACGATAAAGTGATAAATATTATTATACATAATAAAAATAATAATATATGATATGTAAAAAGATAAACATTAATATTAAAAAACTTAAATAATTAATAATACATTATTTTTAGAGTTCTAAGTATTACTAAGTGTAATATTATTAATGTTAATATAAAACCTTTTATAAATAAATAATAAATTATAAAGTTTTCAATTAATTTTCAAGAATAAGATTAATATAATAGTAGTAATTATAGTTATAATCATAAGTAATAAGAATAGTTACAATTACTAAATATAATAAAAATATTAATACCAATATTCATATAATATTTAAAAAATATATATTTTAATTGTAATATTTGCAAATTATAATAATAGAATTATTGCAATTATATTAACATTAACAGTAGGGATAAAATTTTTAGTAATAAAAAAATTTATATATTAGTAAATATAATAATATTAACTATTTATAGTAAATATATATTATAAAAAATATATTTTACAGGTTTATAATAATATACTAGAAGTATAGTGACTCTCATTATGAAAAAATAATTTGTTAATAAATAATAGCAATAAATATATTAATAGTTTTTGTAGAATTTTATATAATCCATTAATAATAATAAGAATAATACTAGGATATAATTTTTAGTTATAAAAAAAAGTTATGTATTACTAAATATATTAAATATTAATATCAATATTACATAATAACTTTTATATACTATAATGTATTAAAAATATTTATACAATTTAATTTTTATTATAAAATATTTATATTTATAATTTTAATATGAATAGTAATAATAAATTAATATTATAAAATTATAATAATACAAGTTATATAGTAAATTTCAGAAAAAATTATAGAATAGTATATATATATCATTAGTTAATATACTAATAAATATCTAAAAATATTATATTAGTAACAAGTATAATAATAATTAAAATATTATTCATATGATAACTTTGGAATATAATAACTTATTAATAAAGAAAATAATATTACTAACTATAATTTTAATAGTAATATTAACTTTCAAAAATAATAAAAAAAATAGTATTGTTATTATATAAACAATTATAATAAGAACAGTAGTGGTGATGCTAATAATTATATATTATTAATAATTATGAAAAATAAATATTAATAATATTATTAATGTGATAATTTTTAAGTAGACTAATAAATATAAAAGTTTATTATAAAAAATTATTTATTACCAAGTATAATAATCATAATAACTACTTTATTATTAATAGTTCCAAACAGAAATAAATTAATATGAATATGTAAGTATAATTAACCAATAGAAATAGGAAATAATAATAATAATCATAAATTAAGTTAACAAAAAGTAAAAGTAGTTATAGAAAAATTAAAAAAATATAATAAATATTTTTATTAATAACTATATAAAAGTTTTTAAAAATTTTTTTATAAAGTAATGTTGGTAAGTATACTTTAATTATTTATGAACAATATTAATAGTAATAATAATTTTATATAAAAATTATAATAATGAAATAATATTAATAGTAACTATAAAAATATTTTTTTTATATTATAAATAAAATTAATAGTTATTATAATAATATAAATAATATTAGTAGTAATAATAATGATATAAATAATTTTACATAATTATAATAATAAAAATTATTTTTAATGATTCTAATAATATTATCATTATACCAAATAGATAATAACTTCAATATATAAATAGTAATTAAAATAAGAATATTATAAATAGTATAAACTGTACTAATAATAATAAGAATACAAACAACTATTCCTAATAATAATGTTAAAAATATTAATAGTAACTAAAACAATAAAGAAAATGATAATGTAATTATTGTAAGTAAATTTTATTACTACACAATTATGAAGTTAAAAAAAAATAATATTTACAAAATTGTTATAAAAATTATTAGTAATATAATAATATAATTAATAAATTAAATAATTATAATAATTAAAAATTAATGGTAACCACAATAATATATTTAATGATAATAATAATAATAATAATTGCAGTAGTAATAATAAAAATTATAATAGTAGTTATAATATTAGTCAATAGTAACTAATAATTTAAGTAATTATAACAATTATAATAATAATTTAAATAGTCTTAATCAGAAAAATATATAAATAATAATAATATATTAATAAAATTTATAGTGATAATGGTAATAAAACCTTTTTGAAGGGAAATGCAGTTGAGGATCAACAAAAAGGGACAACCACAACAAAGTTGACGAAACTTCATTGCTGGAAAGCTCGATAACTTCTTCATAACTAGTGTCCTGATTGATGAGCGGCACAGTTTAAGAGGGGAAAAATTAAATTTCTACCAAATAAAAGTGTACAGTACCAAATATAATAAAGTTAAAAAATATATATAACAAATAATGCGTTAATGTTTATTATTAGTAGTAGAAGTATTATTAATATTTATAATAGTATTAAGGAAATGATACATAATAAATTAATATATATTATAAAAAAGTGGAAAAGTTTATATAAAGTATAAATTTTAACATTCATATAAAAAAAGGAATTAAAAATTCAATAATTTTAAATTACAAAAGTATATTTTAACCAATAGAAAAGCTTCGTGAATACTTTTGAGCCACTCATAGGAATCTTTACGCTTGTGTTCTGTAGCGCAGGAACACAGCCAAAAATAACTTTTTATTTACTGAATGTCACGAGGCCAATCTCGTCACATGTAAATTCAGCGTTAAAAATTTTGCTAAGATAAATGCAATATTTTCCCACTAAAGAAGTTTTATTAAACTTTTTTATAATTATTGCAATTTTATTTGTACATATAAAAACTTTTAATAAATTACTTTTTTTAGTGACGTAAAAGCGATTATAAAAATAATGAAAACTTGAATATCATAAATTAATATAATTATTAAAAAATAAATAAATTTTAATAAGTTTGTAATAGAAATAATAAAAGAGTATAAGAGGGTAATATCATATAATAAAACTTAAAAGAAATATAATATATAACATTATATATATTTTGAAAGAGGAGAAGAAAAGCGTACAGCAAATACGCTATTAATTTTTTATTATTATTATATACTTTTAGTACAAGAAATGTGCAGCAAACTTTTGCTATTAAACGTTTTAATATAACGTATATTAAACTAATTATAATATAAGCAATATGAAAAAGAAAAAATAAGTTGTAATAAAAATTATGAATACAAAATGAATAATGGATATTAAGAAAATATGAAAAGTAAATTAAAAAAAAGTTTTTTATATATTATATATAATAATTAAATAATAAGTAAACAATAATAAATAGTGAAATATTATAATATAAAATAGAATATGCCATAAAAAGTAAATAATAATAGTTAGTGAAACAATATTATATATTTAAAAAAGTAATATAAATAATAAAAATATAATAAAGTATAGTTTATAATAATAATGACATAATAAAAAAGTAAATATTATAAAAATAGCACATAAAAGTTTATAACGAGGTTGAAGTAATTAGTAGGTTCATGGTTTTCATAAAAAACGGCAAAGTGGTTTTTTAAAAATTATTGGTTCCACTAAAATGCAGTAAAAAATAATCAAATACGCAAAAAAAATTGATATAAATAATAAATACTAGTTTACATAAAAAAATATTTAATACAAAGTATATAAAAAAAGTAAAAATATATAAATAAAAGATAACGTATAATAATATTTGAATAATATTTATAAAAATTGTAGATTTAATAATATTTCAAATTTATATTAATAATGAAATAAATAATAAACAATTTATTTTAATAATAATATTAATAAAAATTAGAAAAATTAGAAAAAAAATAGAGAAATATAAATAAATTTTAGTTTATTATTATTTTAATAAGGATAATATTAACAATAAACACTATAAACAATGTGTAAATATAAAAATGTTTATAAAAAATTATAAATATGAGAAATATATACTTTAATTATTATTAATTTTTATATAATTTCAAAGCTTCTTTAAAATTTAGGTAAGTGCATAAAATATTATCATAAAAGTAAAAATTAATATATATATATATAATTTGTTATTAAATTTTTACTTTCACTATCACGCATATCTAAAAGTAACTTTTTTTATGTAAAAAAATTTCGGGTAAAAAATAATAAAAAATATATACTTAAAAAAATAAATAACATATAAAAATATAAAAGCACGAAAAAAATATGTTAATATAAATAATAATAAAAATAATATATGTATAATAATGCTTAATTTAGTTAATTATTACATTTATTATATGTAAAAAAATAAAGTACGTATATTATAATAATGACTAGATTTTTTTTATAATATTAAATTTTATTAGTATATTAATTTTCACATGAAATAATTATAAATAATTATAAAAATCAATTCTTTATCATTTTTATGACTTTTTAAAAAAAAAAATTTGAATTTTTATAAATAAGTTAACATTATTGTTATACTTTATACAATATTAAAAATATAGATAAACATTATCTATTAATCCTATATTAAACTATTAATTTGTATTTCATATTTAAAAAATATATATTATTAATAAAAATATTATGAGTTATTATTTAAATAAAATATTCAAAACAATATAAATATTACCTAATTAATATATAATAAACAGTGCATATCATCAATGAAACAATACTTTTCAATTTTATATATTTTAAACAATATATAAAAAAAATGAAAATATTGAAGTTAGTAATTATTTTTTATTAATATAAAAATTTTTTTTACAAGTATAATAATTTTATCAAAAAAAAATTACTAAAATAGGTTTCATAAGTCAGTAATTATTTAATTTTATAATATATAAAATTAAAAATGTTAAAATTATTATTTAACAAAGTAAATAATAAATGATAAGAAAAAATATAATAAGCTTGTTACTTTTATTATTTCATAAAAATATTTGTTTTAATTAATATTTTTTTTATATTATTTATTTTTTTTTAAATATTATTTATATAATATAATTAAAAATAAAAAAAAGTAAAAAAAAAAAAAATACCAGAACAGCGCAGTTTTTTTTTACGCAGTTGTAAGCAAACTTTATTCCTTTATCAAATGGACGAAGAGGCTTTAAAAAGTTTTTATAGAATAAAATTTTATGCGGTTTATAAAAAAAATAAAAATTAAACTTATAGAATTTTTATATAAAAAGTTTGAGGCTTATAAATAATAAAAAAGTTTTTAGTTAAGTTTTGTAAGTTTTTTAAAATAAGTTAATAGGATTTATAAATAATAAAATAAGGTTCTTTAGTATAACTTTTAACAATTTTTATATAAAAAGTATATTTAAAGTTACTATATGCGGTATTTATAATAAAGTTGAGAGTAAAAAAAAATTTAGAAAAGATTTAATGAAAAATATATTTAAAATTATTATATCAAAATTGTTTATGCGTTTTTTTATATAATATTTATAAGTTCTTTGGTGAAACTAGGTAAAGTTTTGATATTAAAATGTTTATGCGTTTTTTATATAATATTAAAGTAAAACTTTTAAAAGTTTTTATAAAATAAAAATCTATGCGGTTTATAAATAACAGAAATTCTTGAGTAAAACTTTAAAAAAGTTTCTAAAAAAAAAATTTTTTTAAAGGCTTATAAAAAAAGTTTTTGGGGTTTATATATATAAAAAAGTTCTTTAGTAAAGCTTATGAGTTTTATATACTAAAAAAATTATAAACTTCTAACTTTTATTATTATTTACATAGAACAAAAGTTATAATAAAGTTTTATTATTTTTGCATTTACTTATAATAAACTTTTTTTATAACTATAAATATTTATTAAGTTATTAACTTTTTTTTAAAAAAAATAACTTTTCATTATATTATTATTAAACTTTTATTATTTTTATTTTTTTATCCAAGAAATTTTTCTAAAACATTTTTGTAAACATTAAATTTTTAAATGTTTATTACTAACAAGGTAGTACACATTTTATAATAATAATAGTATTTAAAAAAAGATTAACAATAAAAAAGCTTCAAAGTTTCTAATAATTAATTTTAGTTCTTTCCAAATAAATAATAACATTATTATTTATCATAAACATTTTATTGATTTTTAAGTTTTTTTCTAAAACATTCTATTACCTATTAATAATATATATGAAAACTTTTATATAGTAAAAAGCTTATAAGTTTCTAATAAAAAATTCAAGTTTGTTATTATTTATAATAAACAATTTTATAAACTTTGAATTTTTTATTATTCCGTTTTAGAAATATAAAATAGACTGTATAACAATAACAATATCTTTAAAACTTTTTGAGTAGTAAAATCTTTCAAGTTTCTAAACAGGTTTCTAATAATATTTTTAAGTTCTTATAAAACTTTAATATTATTATCTGTAAAACTTTCATTATTGTTATTTTTGTTAACTCTAACTTTATACTATATTAATATTATAACTGATTTTGTAAATATTATATATAATAATTATTATTGCTGGTTTTCTTTAACAAAATTTATTATTATAAAATCTTTATATATATAATATATATAACAACTATACAAATAAAGATATGTTAAAACATTTTACTATTTAATTTATAAATAAAAACTCCCCTAAAATTAAGTTTCCTTATTATTATTAGTAATTATGATTATTATTATTAATTTTTATCACTATTATTATTGCTCTGGTAAGTATTTTTTTTAAAGTAATAATTATAATGTAAAACTAAAATTTTTATTATTTCTTCGTAATTCTAAAAAATAAATACGTAAAGTATATCGAAAGTGTCTATAAATATATAAATTTACTTTAATATATAATTATTAAGTAAACTTTTAATTGTATAAATGCTATAACAGAAACTTCTAAAGTTTCATGTTTCCTTTCAATTATTATTATTATTATTACAATTTTAAAGTTCCACAATTCCGACATTTGCATCCTTTTAGCGTGCCAAATATGAGTTTCCAGCCAGCGAAATTTTCCTAAGAAAAATTTTATTACATATATAAAAGTATTCTTTTATAAAACTTTTTTAAGGCTGTTATTATATTTAATGTTTAATAGATATAACTAAATTTAGTTCAAAAATAATAATATTATTAATAAAGTTTTATTTTATCATTATGTTAACTTTTATAAACAGTAAAATTTTATTATAGAGTTAAAATATTCTATGAATATATAAATATAATAATATCAGAATATTGTATATTTGTTACAAATTTTTATTATAGTCTTATTGTATATTATATACTTTAGTATCCCTTTAAATAAAAATATAAATAAAAATAAGTAAGTTAATATTGAGTAAAAGTTATTATAAAATTATATACTTTTAAATAATAATAATATTAAAATTCTTAATAATAAAACTTATTAAGTAATTATTTACTTAAATATTCCTTTTAATACTATAATTTAATAACTTTCATAGTAAATAAATAATGAAGTTTTTAATAAATAAAACTTATTAAATCATTAAGTTAAGTCTTATATATAATAATAAATATAACATCAACAAAATAGTAAATTTAAATAAGATAAATAAAATTGTAAAATAATAATAATAAATAGTATAAAAGTTATATAACATACTAATTTATAAAAGTAATAGTAAAGGAAAGAGTGTCTATAATCAAAAAAATATACAATAAATTAATAACAGAAATAATAATAGTAATAATTGTAATCGTAATAATAGAAATAATAATAAAAATTATAATAGTAATAATAATAATAAAATAGTTATAATAATAAAAATAATAGAAATAGTAATCGTAATAATATCAATAATAGCTATAATAATAGTAATAATTATAGAATTTATAATAGTAGCAATAATAATAATTATAGAAACAATAATAGTAATAATTATATAGTAATAATAATAATAATGGAAATAATAATAGTAAAATTTATGTTAATAATTATAATAATATTAATAATAGTAGCAATAATAATAATAATAAATCTTATAGTAGCAGTAATAATAATAATAGAAATAAAATAATAGTGTGCGTACGAGAATTTCTTGCCTGCGACGAAAGTAAAAAAGAAACTCTTCTTCTACTGCGTCGTGATTGCTGCATAATATTTTATGTATAATAAAAGTTTATAAAAAAAAGAATAAAATTATATTAATAAAATATGAATAAAGTGAATGTATAAATATATATATAAGTTTATAACAAACAATAAATAATAAAATTATATTAATAAAATATCAAAAAAGTTAATATATGAATATATATAATTGTCAATATTTACTAGCATTATATATAAAAGTCACATATAAACTTTTGTTTTTAGTCCTAAATACTAAATTTTTGTTATGGAAATATATACTAATAATAATTTTTTTTTATAAAAAAAAACCAAATTTTTTAAAAACATTAAATAAAACTGTAAATTTTAAAAGAATGTTTCAAATTTTATACAGAATTTTTCTTTAATACTAAATGGAAGCCACTTTTTTATAATAATAAAAATTAACATAAATGTTGGAAATTTTTAAGTTATTAAAGTAATTAATTACAAAACAACACCTTTTTATTTTTTACTTTAAATTAAATAAATATTTAGAATTAATCTTAAATAATTAGTAAAACTTACTTTTATAAATATTATAAAAACTACAGTTTCTTAGAAATTATATTTTTAACGAACTAAATTACGGTAAGAACAATTTTATTAATAAAAACATTAATATATATAACTTGATAAATAAAAAATTAATTATAACAAATATTATAAAAGGAACAATATTATAATAAACTTTATTAAAGGTAGTACCTTTAATAGAATTGCAAAAAAAATATTATAAAAAGGAATAATAAGTTAAACATTATATAAAACTAAATTTATAAATTTACTATGTAAAATTTTAAAAATTGCAAAACATTATTTTACAAGTCTAAATACTTAAAAAACTATGGAAGTATAATTTCATAATTTGCAAAATATTATAGTAAAACTTTTAGCTAAACTTGATAAATAATGAGTAAAACTTTATATAATACTAAAGAATATTAATTACCGTGGAAGAAACAGTATTCTTATGAAATTTTTTCTTTTTAGAGTAAAAACTTGAAGTTCTTCGTTTCAAGTGTCTTTTAATTATTAGTGATCGGTTTTCCAAACTATTTTAGAAAAAAATAAATTAAAAACAGCAATAATACTTTATTAATTAATACCTTATAGACTCTTGAAGCCCCGCTATTTCGTTAGCACGAGCCTATATTTATTTTAAAATTTTAAATTAACTAATAATTGATATAAGAAATTGCGTTAATTGATTAGTTAGTCTGGGTAGTTTTTATATATTACAAAAAACTTACCTCTACAAATTGCAAAACGTTTATTCCTCTCGTCCATTTAAACTTTTCAGGCGAACCTAAAAATAATTATGATGCTTGTCGAGTCTTCTTTTCTTCTTATCAAAAAAGAAAGTACTAATGCTTTTTTTCTTTTTAGATTCTGGTAGCCCAGAGTGTGATTTACGCCTCTTCATCGGAATATTAACTCAAATACAAAAAATAACTCATAAAAAAACCGAAATTAATAAAAATAAATCCAAAAATTCAAAAATTTCCGTGAAAAAAAAAAAATAAATAAGTTTAAATAAAAATTAAAATATTAAAAAAAAGTTTATAAATTAAAATTTTGCTTATTAAATAGTGCAAGAATGTAAACTATCTTACTAAATGTACTCCCAAGTAAGTAATTTACTTACGATAACATTGCCAGCCACGTTATTAGCGTGTAAACGTGACCATAGTTGCTTAGATTTTCCCGTGAAGTATAGAAATATAGTTAATAGTAAATATTAAACTAAAAATACACGCGACAAAATTTTTTTAAATAAGATATTGAAAGAGATATACTTATAAAATAATAATTATTATTTTTAAAAAAAATTAAATAAGTACAGAACTAAAATATGAATAATATGAAATAAAAAATTAAAATAAATTATTGCAAACACAAAAACACAAAAACTTGCTATATATATATTATTATAAAAGCTTTTATCTTTTTGACTTTTTTTGTTTCCCAAATATACTCTAACTGAGCAGACTTAAAGTCAAGCAAAAATAATCCGTAAACTAAAAAAAAATGTTTTTATTTGTTCGGCGTATGATGGATGGCTGTTTTCCTACGACGTATATTAAAAAAATTAGTGAAAGTATAGCTTGTATTTTTAATTAGCAAAATTTAAAGGTCTTCGTAAAATTTAGGAGAATTAAAAGTTCTTCGGAAAAAAACAGTGACTAAGTTGTGTTAAACCCTGAATGCTATAAAATGATGGAGCTTAAGACTACTCCCGGGATTCTTAATCTTGGTACGAAGAAACCTTATCAATCGTTCAGAACTTTTCTATCTAGTTGAGTTTCGGTCTATCAACCTAAGGGCTAATAAGCTTCACTTTACTAAATTAAAATTCGTTAGGATAAAGGTAATACTTCCCATAATTGTTATTTCTGAATGTTTATCTAGGATTGGCTCTTCTTTTCTGGTCCGCTGGTGGTCGTAGGGTTCTTCTCTCTGACCCGCCGGTGCGTAACTGCACTGTATTAGTTTAGTTACTTGCATGTTTCCTTCCGCCTCCGGGTGGCGACCTATTGACCACACTAGACCGCAGTCCGCATGTAGCCGCAAGGTTTAAGACGGCGGTAGACGTTATTTTTTTATATAGGGCCAATTTTGTTTAGCCGCTTTACGATAGTGATATAGGGTCAAAAAGCAATCATCGCTTCACTAAAAGTGTACCACCTGTTATAAATTTTTATGAACAGCAGATATAAAAATTCCTCCATAAAGTTTTTTACTAATTTTCTCTCTCGCCAAAATTTCCACTAACGAACAAAAAATTTGAAAAACAGGGCAACTGCTAACGAACTTAAGTCGCCCTCTGTGTAAATTTACTGCTCATGTATCTGTTTGTAAGTATACCCTTCACACTAATTTTTTTCTCTTTATTTATAAGTTCTCGGAAAAGACGCTGGTAAGGTGGCTGTTTTAATTATCAATATAAACAAAAGGAAAACAGGATATCTTAGTTTTAATAGAAATGCTTATTCTATGCTTAGCTAATAGCATTGTTTTAGAAAGAAGAAAGAGTGACTGCTACCGATTTTCTAGTTAAACGCTTATAATATGCTTCTTCTTTTACTGGTTATAGACTTGTACCAAATAAATGCTTTGGTCAGTTCCATAAAATGTACAGGTAGAATATATATTAGTGCTTGGGATAGTCGTCTGAAGAAGTGTTTCCTATATACTGACTGCTGTGCTTTAAAAGTAATATAGGAATACTTGCTACTAATTTTCTTTCCAATCAGTGGGCTTACTATATTAGGTAGACCTGTTATCAAAAAATTTTCATATGGATATTTTTTTTAAGTAAAATAAAAAGCATTATCAAAAGAATTATTCTTATTTGAAAACTTTACTAAAGTTATTACAGAAACGTCCTTTTTTATTATAAAATGGATAGTTGGCACAAATATGAAGCTATTACGGAAAAATTGAAAAAGTTTGTCATTTTTTTGGTGACTTTTCTTTATTGACCAAAAATCTATCTTGTAAGACGATTTTTTAAAAAACCTAACTATCAAGAAGCTTCTAACGAATATTTACAACTTGCAAGAGATTCTTTTGTAAGGGCTTTTTAAATCTAAAAAAAAAAATTTAAAAAAATATTTTTATTTATTGCAAAAAAGTTTTATGCAAGATTAAAAATTATAATATTGCTACCTGTATACTTTTATATCAATTATAATAATGTTAACTCTACGTTAAATCTTTAAGTAATCGAGAATACGTTTTATTCTGTCTTTGATTAACTTTATTACTTAATCCCCCAGTTTTTTCTGAAAATTTATTTTTTTTAATCTTATAATTCTAGTATATAAGTATTCATATTATGAATATTTATATACGAATAGCCTATTTCTTCTAATTATTATCCACTCGCTCACAAATTTAGTAAAGAAAATTTTACTATTACCGTTTTACCGTTTAATTTTACTGTATTCTTTTTTTTTTAGGACAAAAAAATAAATTATTTCAGTTAAAAGTTAAATATTTTTTTATTCTATAACTTTCTTGAAACCGTACTAACCGCGTTATAAAATTTACTACAGCATTTTACTTAATTAATAAAGACTTATCATTCTAAAAACATTTCTTAAACTACTTTAAGGAAATTGATAATTTTTTTTCTTTTTAACTACTTAAACTTGTATCACAATTCCCCTTTAGAATTTTGTTTTACTTTATTAAAACAATTATTTTTCTTTTTCCCCAGGCATTTAATTCTACAGTACCTTTTGTTGCTCTTTTTTATATCTGCTTACTATTTATTTTAAATTCAAATATTTTCTAATAAAAAATATAAAAAAGTTTTACAAAATTACTTTCTATAGCACGATGAAAGTATGCTTTTCAGCGCCTTCTGCTATTTGGCTTCAGCTCGGTCCATTCCTTAAATACACGAGACATTTATAGTAAAAATTAGATAATTATTGTTTTTTTAATAAAAATTTTGATAGTTGCGAAGATGCTTTAAAGAATTATAGCAAGAAAGCTTTGTTAACTCTGACTTCTGGTTAATATATTTAATAAGCTTTGTTTAAATTAATTTATAACCTCTTTAATCTTTTTTTTCAAAAAAAATATTATTACAGTTATTAATTTTCGTTACTTTTTTAAATTATAATAGAGTATATACAATTATTTTATTATATTCTAAAAGTTTTGTATATTATGAAATTCTTTTTTATAACTCATTGTAGTAGTGCGTACTGCTATAAATTTTATTTATCTGATTGTACTTGTATACAAAAAATATTTATTTTATAATTTGTTACTTTTTCTAAGATTTTAAATTTTGTTTATAATATAACAATGTTATTGTGCGTTAATAATTTAATTAATTTTTTTTTATAATTTTTATTTATTTATTTTGCTTGAAAGAAAAATTTTTTATAATAAATTTGGGTATTAAAAAACTCATTAATAATTTTTATTTCAGATATAAGATAATTTGTTACGTTAAGTTTAAATTAATATATTTCGTTTTAACTTTTTTTATTAATTAAATTAGTACTTATTATGGTTATTATTATTATTACTCTGCTTAATTTTTTTAAAATCATTATGAAAAATACTTCTTTTAATAAATTCAACAACATTTATTCATACTGTTTTAATTTTTTTATTAGCTGAATTAACATTTTTTACTTTTTTATTAACTTGTTACTTTATTATTTTATTATTTTTATTTTTAATGTAATATTAATTATCTACTATAACTTATAGTAAAAAAATATATTTATAAATTTATAAAAACGCAAAATTTTTATGTCACCTTGTTTTAAAAAGTCACGCATTTTTTATTAAAAAATTTTTTACGGATTAACTTAATATTTTTACTTTTTATAAAAATATTTTACCAGATGTAAATATTATTCAATAAATTTTTTTATGTTATATATTTATATAATATAATATTTTACTTAAATTATTTTAACTTTTTTTATTACTTTCATTACAGCTCGCACTTATATTTTAAACGCGCTTGACCCGCTTTCTTCAAAAATGAATTTTTTTGCAAGTATTAATGAAGCTGTTAATGTTTATAATTATGCTATCGAGGTTTCCTTTTACAAACTATAAATAACAATAATTATATATTTTTTATATCCAGGTATTATTTCTTATTATAATTATACCAATTATTATATACGAACATACCAAAAAAAAATTAATTTCATGATTATTATACATTTACTATATTTGCCAATAAAATTTTTACTTATCAAAAATTATATTTTACATATTATTTATATATGCAGTGATTATTTAATTTTTTAGCTTCTGTAAAATATTTAATACTTTTTTGATAATATTATGAATGTTTTATATTAGTTATAATATTTATTTTTATTAAATTAAAAATATTATTTTTTATATTTATATATTCTCATTATATTTACTTAAAAAGATTTAAATAACCAAAAACTATATACTATTATTTAATGTTGATATTAACTTAATAAGCTACGCGCTCATTCTACGTGGTACATTTACATGAGTTATTATATCACGTGCCCGTACCATCTGCTCTTCCACGTGACACAGTCACGTGAAATCTCACATATTTTTATGTTTGTACATCATTTCGTACTTTTTCTGAAGGTATATAGATTCTTCTTCTAAGGGCCGCCAATACTAGACTCCTCTTTTTTTTTTTCCGTCGTTATATATTTAATAAATTTTTAAATATTTTTATTCGTAAATTTTTTAATTTACTTATTAGTATTATAAAAATAAATTATTTCGTTTTCATATTTTTATTACTATTTTTTTATTCTTATAATATTTTAATAAATTCATTTTTGGTTATAATTATTTATTTACTTCTATATATTATTAATATTTTCATATTCATATAATGATTATAAAAAGTTTATTTTTAATGATACTTATTTATTCTCTTTTTAATATTATTTATATTAAAAATATCATTTTTATTTTTATTTTAAATGTTATTATTATATTATTTTTATATTTTATATTTACTTTTTTTAAAAGTAATGCTCGTTCATTTATTATTTAAAATAACATTTCCTTTATATTCTTATTATTTTCATTTATTTTACTTTTTTTTTAGTATTATTATTAGTTATTTCTTTGTTGTTTGTATTTTTATTATGAAGTTTATTATTAAAACTTTTATCATAATATTTTTTACTTACTTCTATTAATTCTAATTAGTAGCATTGCAAATAAATATGAACTGATGTTATTATAAATAAAACAAATATTAATAATAAATAAAAAACATTATAAAGTCTGAAGTTTATATAAATAATAGCTTTATGAAAAAGTAAATTGTCGGGTGTTTGCTGCTTCTCTATTGGTTGAACTGGCCGTTCATCTGCAGGTCTCGTTTTCTTAATAGTTTTCAATTTTTGTATAAACTTTTATACTTTGGAATACTATAAAAGTTTTGTATATTATTCTTTTTATAATAAAAAAAATAAACTTTTATATTAAATTTACTTTTGAATATTTAAAAAATTTCATTTCTTATTTTTTTATTTGATTATATTATTTTCACGAAATAAACTTTTTTAAAATAAAAAGGAAACTTTATTTTATTTTTTTTTGTATTTACTTTTAGCCTTTTGCTTATAGTAAAAACTTTAAAATATAGAAAAGTTTTGTTATTTATTTTTTATATGAGTATTTTATTTTAAAAAAAAAATACTTTTTATCAAAAAAAAAAAGTAAACTCTTTTTTGTGGTATTTACTTTTATACTATTGATGTATAAAAACTTTAAGATATTTTAAATTAGTCTATTTCATTATTATTTATTAAACAGTATCTTTATCAAAAAAACCTTTTTATAATATTAAGAATAATAATAATCCTATTTTTTTAATCTCACCTTATCAATTTATAAATATTAATTTGTATTATATTTTTAGTTTACTTTTTATTTTTTTTTAAATATTATTTCTTTTTAAATTTATTAATAGCATTAAACATATTGTAATATAACCGTTTTGTTACTATTTTACATTACCTTCATTATAAATTAAAAAAAATATTTTACCTTCTTTACCTTTTACTTTTATTATAGATAAATGGTTTCATAAAATTATAATATAACTTTTTATATACTTTTATTAAAAATTGACTTTTTATAATTTTTTTATTTATGATATTATTTATAAATTTCCTAGATTATTTTTGACCAATTTTTAACTTTTTATTTATAAATAATGTTATCTATAACTTTTCAAATTTTTTTTAACAGTACCTTTTAAATAACTTTTTATTATGGTATAATACTATTATTTATAACAATACTTAATGTTTCTTTTTTTAATATACATAAAATATTATCTTTAACTTTTTTTAATTTTTTTTAATATTTGCAGCGTTTGGGACAATACCAAGAGTCAATTTTCTATTATAAAAAATACTTGCGCTCCACCCACCGATCATCTGTTTTGAGTTTGGCTGTTTTGAAGGAAATTCTTTATTGTTACTTTAAAAATGGTTAACTGCTAAATATATGTAAAATAATAAACTTTTTTATAAATATTTTCCTTTAAATAAATTTAAGTTATAATTAAATTTTTCAAAAATTTTTTTCTGAGAAATAATTAAATATATGAATTGGTTTTATAAATATTTAATTTTTTTTAAAAAAAATCAATATATTGTAAATATTATAATTAATAATATTTAACGATTCACAGAAGTATTTTTAAGAATAAAACATATAATTTTTATTATTAAAACTCCAGTAATTCTTTGTCTGTTTTTAAGAATTTTCTTAATAAAAATAAAATTTATGTATATCCATTAAAACTCAATAAGAAAAACTTTTTATAAATATTAAACTTAAAAAAATTTTAGTAATAGGTTTTAATAGTTATCAAAAAAAAATTATTACTTATTACTAATATTCTAATTAAAAATTTTGATAATATTTAAAATTTTTGGAAAGTTTTTTTAAGAAAAAATAAATATGAAATTTTTTTATAACTATATAAAATAATAACTCATAAATATTTTACTTAGAAAATTCTATTATATTTAAAGTTATTAGAAATGTTTTAAAAGAAAAACCATTAAAAAATAATAATTATAAGCATTATAATGAATAAAATATTGATAATTTATTAAATTTATTCTACAAAAAAATTATTTTTTATTAAATTATCAAACATATTTTTTTATTTAAAACTCAAAAAAAATTATATAAAAAATTTTTTTTTAACAATTTCTTGTCTTTTAAAAAAAAATATAAAAACCTATAAAAAAATATACATTTTTATTATAAAAACTATTAAGAAATATATAACTTTTTACATAATTATTCAAAAAAAAATTTTTTAATACTTTTTAAAGTTTCTTTAAAAAAGTAATTTAGAAAAAATAAAATTTATGAAGGTTATTTATATACTAATTATACCTGATACTTTTCTTTCAAATATTCATAGTTTTTTTAAAAATTTTTTATATATATAATTTATATTTATTAATAATATAAAAAGTTTTTTTTGAAGAACTTTTTTGAAAAATATATAAAATATGAACTTTTCTTAAAAACTTAAAAAAATATAATAACGTAAATATCATTCAAATTTTTTTAATATTACTAAAGTTTTATTAAATATTTTCTTTAAATAAAAATGAAAGAAATATAATTTTATCATAACTCTTAAAGATAATAACTTTTTTATAATTATATTTTAAAAAAAATTAATATTAGAACATTTGCTTATATGTTTTTAAAAAGTTTTAAAAAAAATTAAAAAAAATATATTTTTATTATAATTTAAAAAATAATAATAATATTCTACTTTAAAAAAATTAATCTTTTAAAATATTTAATTAGATAAAAATTATGTATATATTATAAAAATTCTTAAAAATTAATAACTTTTCCTATTAATATACTTGAAAATTATTTCTTAATTAATAATTTTTAAATTTTCTTTTAACAAGTTTTTCTTAGAAAAAACAAAGATACGTATTTATATTGAAACAAAAAATAACTTTCTTAAAGGAATAATTTTAACTTTTATAAAGTTTGCAAGTTTATTTATAGAAAAAATTATTTTTTAGTGTAAAATACTAAAATAAAATAAAATTTTTACGCGAATGAATATTCTGAGTAATAAATAGAATTTTATGAGTTGTTGGGCTACAGTTATAATCTTTTAAAAAAAAATTAAACTTTTTATTATATAAACTTTTGTTACAAATCATTGTATAAAACGATAATACATGTAAATATTCATAATAACACTTTATATTAAGTTTTTACGTTTTTTATATATAAAAATTTCAGAACAAATAAATATTTATAGTAATAATAATAACTTTTTAGAGTTGTGCTGCTACAACTATTATGTTAAGAAAAGAAAACTTTTTTATATTATTATAAATTTTTATTATAATTTGTTTTAATTTTACTAGTAGCAAACCTACATGCAAATATATAAAAAATTAATATTAACTTTTTATAAAGTTTGTAAATGGTTAAATAAAAAAAACCATTTCTTAAATATAAAATAATAAATATATAAGACTCTTACAAATATCATAAAACTAACATATAATTATTAATAATAATGATAACCTTATTATTCCCATACTTTTTTTTATTAATATCTACATAAAAATTTTCTAAGTAAACCAAATGATACGGTTACGTATATATACTTATAACATAATAATAACTTTATTAGTTTTTATATTTATTTTCATAAATTTAATAATTTTTATTTTTAAAATTTTATGAATAATACAACAAATATTTATTTTTTTAGTTTATATATTTATTGTAAAGAAGTTAATCTTATAAATTTATTATTTATTTTTTTTTCAAAATAAGAAGTATATTTCTTATTGGAAAATGTAAAATAAAAATAGCTTTTTTTAGTTCTACACTTATTTTAATGATATAAATTACACAAAAACATTGAAAATAATTATATTTATTTGGGGTTCTTTTGTTTATTTTAAAATGATAATATATAATAACAGTAATCCTTTTTTATAATACCCACTAAAAAGATAATATAAATATTGTATTCATTAAAATATTTACTAAAAATAACATAAATAGTAAATAGTAATCATTTTAGATATTTTATATTCAATAAAATATATAATAGCAATCATTTCTATAGTCTTCTATAAGATAATAATGTAATAAATACTATTAAATATTTAAATATAAATAATAACAATAAATTTGTTCTTCTTATATGCAAATAAGTAATTATTTTAAAGTTTTTAATGTTTTTTTTATAAATATAATAAAAATTTACATAAAATATATATTAAAAAATTTATAGTATAATTTTTTTTATACTTAACAATATATGAAAATATAAAATTTACGTGTAAATATTTAGAAAAGTAAAAAAATATGTAAACTTCAAACTATTAGTAAATACAAAAAGAATTAATTTTTTTTAAAAAAACATAAAACGGTACATCTACAATTTTGAAAATTATATTATTTTAAAGGGAGTGATTTATTTATAGTATTATATATTTTTAAAATTCTTTAATAAATAAAAAAAAAGTTTAGAACTAAGAATAAATAATAAATTTATATACAAAATTATTATGATGGTAATAATTAAAAAAACTATAAAAAAAGAAGTTTAAAAAGAAATGCATATAAATAACTCTAATAGAATATTTTTTTAGGGGATTATGAAAAGGCTTTAGTACATTTAGACCACGTGACTGACTGTCAAAGGATACCAATCAACTCTTGTATATTTGCACTCCTTTTTATTAACTTACCTGGGCAATATCTTCATTATTATTTTTAAAAAAAATTTATTATTATTAAAACTCTTTTATTATATATTTCTTTTTTATTTTTTTATAATAATTTTACCTTATATATTATTTTTATATTAATTATCATAAACTATTCTTATAAATATTATATAACTTTAGTCATTACTTATAATTTTTACTTTTTTTTTACATCTTTTAAACCTTTTCAATATTATTTTTAACTTTATAACTTTATATATATAAATTCCAACATTATCAGTAATAAAAACTTTTTCATTAAACTTTTGTAATAACCTTTATTATACTTTATCAAATTTATTATATACTTATAATTACTTATTGTTATTAACTTTTTATAGATAACTTTCATATTATTATTTATAATCTTTTTACTTTACGAGTATTTTTACTATACACATATAAATTTTATTGTTAAGTTTTTTTAAATATATTTTTTATTTTTTTATGTATGTAATAGGGTTAATTATAATTTTATATACTTTTCGATATCATTATTTTATTTATTATTATTTAGAAACATTATTAAATATCATGAATACTTGTCAATACATTTATTTTTTTAAAAAAATATCTACTTCTCATATTATTACTATTATATAAAATTTATTTATATATTATTATAATTATTGTATTTTTTTAAAAATATGTTATAATAATATTATAACTTAAAAAAATTTGCATCATTTTAAACAATTCGAGAAATATGAAGTTGTTCGTTTTATTAATGTTTATTGGTCCGCACATTTAACTTTTCTAAATTTAGACATCTATATTACTGATAAAAACTTCCACCTATCTTATTGGTTTATAAAATAAATGTTTTCTTACATAAAAAAAGTGGTGTTCATATTTTTAATAAACAGTTTCATGTTATACTTTTAACCGTTACTGAAAATGTTTTTATATAATATTTTATTATCTTATTTATATTAATAATAACTTTATTATTATAAAAATAAACTTTACCCAGGCGAAAGCAAAGCACCTGAAGTAAAGAAAGAAGAAGAATTCGCTGAAGTTTTCAATTTCAATAATAATAAGTCTGATATAGTGGATGCAGAAATCACCCGCTTATTACTAACTCTCCTACTGATTGTATATATTATGATAATGATAATTGTTATATATATTAATTTTACAGTTATTATCAATATCACTATTATTATATTATTAATTGTTATTATTATTACTATTAACGTTGTTATACTCGTTATATTAAATAATAATAATAATTATTGTTGTTATTAATTTTTTTAATAATCAATATCAATGTTATATTATATTATAATTATTTTTACTAACTGTTATTATTATCATTGTTATTTTTAATATAACTTTTATTCTATAGCTTACATTTTCAAAAATACTATTTTATTTTGCAATATTAAAATTTCTCTCTTATTTTTTATTATTATATTATTCCCACATATTGTACTTTTTATGCACTTTTATTTCTTATCATAGTTTATAACTTATAAAATAATTTATTACAATTTTTTTAAGTACTATATTTTTCTATTTTCTTTATTTTAATTATTAATATATATTTTACTTTTTAAAAATCTATTATTTATTATTGTTATCATTATACTTATTATAGTTTATATTTATTTATAAAATTTATTACTAGTTCGTTTTTGATATTATTTTGTATATTATATTATAATTATTAATATTATTAGTATTATTATTATAAATAGTATCATTTAATTTATAAATATATTATTATAAAATTTGCTTGAATATTAATATTTATAGTAACTTTATCTAAATATAATATCAATTTATTTTTACTACTCACTATTATTTTTAATAAAAAAAATTTTAAGCATACTGAAGAACTTGTCTCTCCCCAATATCACAACTATTGTAAAAAGTATAGTTATGAAGAATCTGATTCACCTATTCAAGATATTGAGGAGCATTTGTTTTACTTGCTGCAGTCTTTTGTGGTTTTTATTTTATTATTATTATCATTATTTTATAATCTTTATCATTATTATTTATATTCTTACCATTATAATCATTATTATTTGCTATTATTATTACTGTATCTTCTTTATATTAATTTTTTCAATTATATCTATTTATATAGAAATATTTATATTATTTCCTCTACAGCATTTGAAGATTCCTGCACTCTTTGTATTAGTAGATAGTGAATATTTTATTTTTTGTGTAACTAATTTATTCACTATAAATTTTACAAAAAAATTGTTATCGCCATTTATACTGATTTTTCGTTAGTAATACTTTTCTATATATTTTTATTATATTCAGTAAAAATATATGTATGAAAGTTATTATTATTATAGATTTAGATTTAAAAAAAAATGAACCTTTTTTTTATGTAAAGCACAACACTTTAATAGTTTATTTTTTACTTTTCTTATGAAAATCATAAAATTATTACAATAATAATTCTTTGCTTAACAATTATAAACTTCTTAACTTTTATAAAATTATTTAAAAGTATTTATTAAACATTTTATTATAACGACATTTTCTTTTTATTTTTCAATATTATTATAAATTTCAGGGAAAAATTAATTGTTAAAAAAAAAACTTAAACTTTTTTTTTTACTTCCACAGTTTGGAATAACCAGTAAAGACTCGAAAAGTTGCCTGCAGTTAACGGAACTTTTAAGGCGTTTTTCTTGTTTATTTTATTTTTTTATATAAATTGTTTTTCTATAGTTATTATTATACTATAAAACTTTTACATTTATAATTTTACTTTTATATAATTTTCAACAAAAATAATAAAGAAATTGTAGTAAGTTAGGAAAAAATGAACTTTTTAAGGTCCTTTTTTTGTCCCTTGTTATTTTTTTTTTAATAAAATGTTTATTTTCTATTATTATAAATTTTATATAAAAAATGTAAAATAAATTTAAGTAAATTTAGAAAAAAAAGTAATTTTATTAATATTAATTTATTTGAAAGTTACTATCAAATAAATATAATAAAAAATAAGTTTAGTTTAATTATTTATTTTATTAAAGTTTTGAAAAATTTTCTATATTATTATTTTTTGTTATTTATTATATTATTTATTTATATTATTATTATTTATTAATGAAAATATTTACTAAAATTTTAGTAATTCGTTGGTTATTTTATTTATTTTATTATTATTTTTATTTATTAACAAATAATTCTCCTTAAAGTTTTAGTACTTATTTTATTAACTATTTATAATAGCGTTTTTAAAGTATGTTAACAAAACTATATAATTCATATTATAATACTTACTTTTATTTATATTATTAATCCTTATAATTTATACGTGGTAGTGGTACAAATATTAGAAAAGTTCATGTTCCCAAGATATTTATAAAATGTATTTGTTAAACTCACCAAAAATAAATATAAAAATGTGAACAAAGCATATAAAATATTACTAATTACTCAATAAAACTTTGAAGTTTATATAATAAAAGTTTACTTTTTTTTTAATAGTAAAGTTCGCTAGAAACTAAAAATTTTAATAGCAATTGATAATAAATAGATTATAATAATATAATTGCACGCAACTTTTTACTTTACAAACTACGAAATTTGTACGCCAATACGTAAAGTGTTGGGATTTTACCACCACGTGTCTGTTTCATTTTTTTTTATTAATAAAAGATTATAAAAGACAAAAAAAAGTTTTTAAAAAAGTTATTTTTGTCCTTAGAGTTTTATTAATATTTATGAGAAATGAAGTTCCTAATAATAAATAAAATTAAATTTATTACTCTAAAAAAGTAGAAAAACTATAAAATAATATATAAAAAAGTTTTTACATCTATAAAAATTTAAAAAAAAACATTAGTAGTCTTTTTTTTACTTTTTAAGAAACTTCTCTAATTTAAAAAATCTTTTTTACAAGTTTTCTAAAAAGTTTATTTTTAATATTTAGATCGAAACTCTCTCAAATTCAAATAGAAATTTTGGATCTTTTGATGCTTAAAATTTTCAAAATTTAGCACAAAAATAAAAAAAAATTTGTATTTTTTGAAACAAACAAATTTTTTAATAATAAACTGTTAAAAAAACACGTGTTAAATCGTGCACAATACCACATGATTTAGTCACTATCATAACAAATGTTAATTTTCCTCTCATAATCTTAATTCTTCCTCTACGAGACGCAAAATTTATTTGCACCTCTTCTTCATCACCATCTTAATTAAGTAAATTTATTAATACAACCAAAATAAATTATTGAAAGTAATTAAATTTGCTGATAATATAAAAATTAATAGCAAATTTTTCAGTTAAGGAAATATAAAAAAAAATTACTGCTAATTAAAAGCTTTAGCACTTTCTGTAGTAAATCATGTGATTGTAAGAAAATTCCAAGTTCACTAGTAGAGAACACCAAAGTACCTATAGAAATTTGTTATAGTTGGTAGAGTAACCTACTTGTAAAGCGAAAATTCTCTTTATACTCCCTTATTAATAATTGTAATAAGAAAGGACTACCTTTGAAATAGTCTTTTTCAACAAAAGCTATAATAATCAGGTTAAGAGGACACCAAGACACGTATCTTTTAGATGGATTATCTTCTGTACAGTATATTTTATATTTATTTCTTCCTATTTTTTTATTTAGGTTTTAGACCTATGAGGTCCTACTTTATATTAATAAAAAAATTGAAAATATAATATAATTAGTCACAACCACAATAATTATAAATAATGATTAACTGCTTCAATGTCACTTGCCAGCCGTTCTCTTTAGCGACTTTAACTTTAAACACGTGAAACAATCCAATTAAAAATCAAAACGGGGAAATACGTTAGAAATACGCGCACCAACACAATCTTCGCGTGCTGGCACCTCAACTTCCGCCGTACAAGGTAAAAAAGGAAAAATTCAAACGTCCCCAGCATAGCTGTTTTATAAAATATTCATCAGTCGGTATCAATCATTAAGTTGGATAAGCTCTCGTCGAATCTTCTAACCGTCTTGTTGAAGTTAGGCGAGAGCATCACTATGGCAAAACTCTAGCCACGACTATTCACAGCCTGACAAAATTTACAGCCGCGGTAGAAGCATCGCAATTCCCCGATCCATTTCCCCCTCTGACTTCCTCACTATTAGAACGCACAGTAGATAGTTTTAAGGCGCACTGAAAGCTGTCCGTGCTGTCGCGATAACCACCCTCGAAGTTTCGTATCACTCTGGCTGCCTACTGGAAAAATTTATGAACCTTTTTCGTCAAAGCCGCGGGTTAATAAGCCTGGCAGCTGCTACACAAAACCACACGACAAGCTGAAGAGCTGACCGCTTTCTACAATAGCGCTCCACCACTTAATAACGGTGTAATAATGACTGAAAGCGATTAATACTCTTTGCCCGCCAATTTTAGCAGATCAGTGCGTGCATTCTTCCAACTTGGGACGAAGGCAAGATACCCTGAGACCCTTTAACCCTTAGCGACGGGCTTGTCAAACCGTGCACAGCTGATGAAGTCACTGTTATAATCTCTCCACCTTTACCACGGGAAAGCACCCGTTCCCGAAGGCATGCCTAACGAAATACTAAATAAAGTTGGCGCCTGTGGTGATTAACCACCTTTCCCATTTTGCAACTTCTGCAATGTCGTTTGACTTTTTAATACGAGGAAAAACAGTTACTTTTGCGATGCTACTTATGACGCCGCATGCTTCGACATATCCCAGCAAATAACTCCCCATTAGCCTAATTCTGGCAATGGGTAAAACTTTGGAGGTTATTTATTACGCCGACAGGAAGAGTTTGTAGAACCACCAAGCGCTTCCGGAATCCCAATTGGATTTTAAATAGAGCACTTTCGCGCGTTACCAAGTGGACAACTCGGAACTTCAACCCAAAGAACTTCACGGGCGTCGTCTTTCTCGACTTTGAAAAATTCTTTGAACGCATACGGTACTACGAGTACTTGCGCCATCTACGCGCACAGTACTCCGTTAGCCTTTTTTACAAGTATATAACGTCACTTCTATGCGGACTCACCCGTTAAGTGGGCATTGGCACTGCACTGTTGCCAATCGTTAACTGACAGCTAGCGTTCAAGACTTTCTGCTCTCACATCTGCTCTTCGCACTGTAGTTGTAGACATCCTGCTCCCTACGAGTCCTCACACCTGCTTCGCTCTCTACCTCACTTCCACCGCAATTTACACTTCCTCAAAGGCTTCTCATTATTACATTAGAAATGAAAAGCAATTCTCAATCTTAAAAATGCATTGCTTTACCCACACCTCCTTGAAGGTGTTAAAGCCCCATAGGGGGCTATTAGGCCTATACTTAGACCTCATCACCGATAAGCGACTAACATGGCGGCAACACGTAGAATTTGTTGCGGCCAAGGTCAAAGCTGCAACCCATGAGCTCTATCCGGCGCTGTGTGCAAAAAGTACTGTTTCTTCGCAATTTTTTGCGCCTTTCTAAAGTGTGCGAGAGTCCTATGATGGCGTATGCATCTGTAATTTAAACTTACAAGAAACCATCAACCATTGAGGACGCCTCAAAACAAGCTCCTGCGCCTAATGGCAGGAGTACCTTATTTCATCCGCAATGACACGGTGCACGACGGCCTGAAGTCTTTCTCCAACACGCAACCTTGTGTTAGTAGGCACCCAAACCACCAATGGGCTCAAGAACAGGAGAAACCTAAAAAGGCGCACGCGTTCGACTATCCGCAAGGCGCTTTAAACGCACACTCATGATTTGTATATCTCTACAAACATATTTGTGTATATATAATGAACAGCTGATTAGTAAAAACGGAATGCGGTTATGCAATAGTAATCTGTTATTAGCAATACCATAGAGTCTTCGCTTAGATTAATTGAGCATCTGCGTAAATTATTATAAAAAAAATTTAAATATATAATAAATAAAATGGAAATGTAAAGAATTAAAATTAGAAGAACTATGTTTAAAGCGAAGTGCGCCATCCTCTAAAATTTTTTAGATGTATTTTGGTGGTTATCATCATTTAAAAGTAGACTTTGCAAGCAGAAGACTTTATTTTCTTTTAACTCTTCCTTGTACAGAGTACTTAGAGCAAAAAATCTTTTTTTAAAACGATGTTGTATATAATAAAATTTTTTTTTTAAATTAGGATGTTACCCACAGTTTTACTATTTAAACTTCCATCTTCTAAAGTTGGTAAATATACTTTTGCTAGGCGTTTACTGAAATGGTGTCTTTTCTTACGTGAAATACTTGAAGGGTATTAACATACCGTCTTAAAAAGCTCATTTATTTAAGTTAAAAACAAAAGTAATTATTTACCATCATCAGTTTTATTTAAAGATAATACTGCATAGATTCTTTTTTTAACGCTATAATTATAGGTCTACCCACTAGGTTTGATGTTTATTTTATTTTATTAAAAGAAAATACAGCAGAACCGTTCTTGTATCAGCCCTGTTACAGACGTAGAATATATCCATAGTAACAAAAGTTTTTATTTTAATTTTTCTAGTTCTCTTGTTTACTTTACCTATAAAATAAGTTCTGGTTTTTTAAATTTTGTCGTTATTTGTAATCGAGGGTTGACCGTCTGAGGGCACAACGTTAATTAAACATTAAAGGGATGTAGTGAGCGTAGAGTTCTTTTTTTTTTTTGTTTGTTGCCAGAGTTTGTTAGATGGTGAGCGTTGTGTTGCTCTGGCAGCTCGTGAGCAATCAAATAAATTACACAGCTCTTATCAATGTTGACTTACTCTATACTATAAATCTTTGTGATATAATTTAAAATATTACATCCAGTTTGTTTATAATGTATTGGGGCTTGAAGTTATCAAGTCTGTAAGATCAGCAATATAAAAAATTTAGATATTTTTTGTCATCGTAGCTAATATGTTCGTAATTAAAGTGTTCTAGGGTGATTAGGGTTAACAATAGTTATATATTTAATTTTTAGATAACTTTCGAAAGTTAATTTTTTTTTATATTCACTCTAGAATATATATCAATCTACCTACAAAATCTTTAAATGCTAAAACTATTTTATGAAAAGTACTCTCAAGCAAGTCAAAGCGCACCTAAACGACAACAGAAAAGTTTTTATACAACCAGACTTTTTAAACTGTTACAGTTAACAAAAGAAGCGTTAAAAATAAAGACTGTTACAGAGAGCTAACCGAGTTAATTTATTAAATAAACAAATAAAACTTTATTTAAGATAAATTTTATTAAATAATATATATCTTACATAGTTATACTTATCACATAAGAATAAAAACAAAACAAAACAAACACAAGAGACAGAAAAAACGGGATGCGGAGATATAGTATTTTGTGAAACGGCAGTCTGGCTACATTTCAAACCTTCAATAAAAATTCCCTTACCTTTTTGTATTGCAACTGATAATAAATATTTAAATTTTTAGTACGTAGCGTTGCTTATATTAATGTCGGTCACATTGGTGTAGCATTTTTATTACTATGTTTCAATTGGTGGTACAAGGTTAAATATTTTAAAAGTAAAAATATTGCTTAATAAAGCACTGTTAATTAGTGCGCGAGCAGATCTGTTAAATTTAGTTTATTGAATTTATAGTCTGAATAAGATTCTTGTTCTTTTTTAATCTATATTTTGTTTATTTTTAAAATTATACACGTTAACTATAACCCTTTCCCATTAGTAACATTATAGTGGCTTCATAACAAAAAGAGTCACCCTCAAATTTTAACATTAAGGGTTCACCACATTCTTTTTTGCATTAAGTCAACTAGTAAGTTCCAAGTAACTATTTCTTTTAACTTATACTGTATGAGCCAGTTTTCGAAGTGCTCTTGAATAGTTTAAAGTAACACCTATTGATTGGTGGTAAATATAAACCTGAGATTAACATAAACACCTTTATAAAAACATTTTTTACCTTCAGAAATATAATTAAAACAGAAGCAAATAATTTTTTTGATGCTCGTACGAGACTTTTAATTTTGAACACTATGAGCTCCCTATTAAGAGTAGTCGCATTTTCAAACTTAATTTTTTTAAGGGCAGGGTACGTTCTAGTCCTGCATGGTCACCTATCGTGGTACTCAGCCCGGACGAGCTGGTGCCTTTGGTAATATACGCTTTTCTCGAAATCCTTATATAAGGTTTGATCAGCCATATGAATACCTAATATTTTCTTAATAATTCTAAATTTTTGTTCAACTTTTCATTTGTTTAAATTATAAAATCTCTTAACTGACTTTTACCAGAGAAACGGGAAGAATTAATATATTTCTTTAAAATTGCTTCTACTAAGGTTAATCATAGTTTTAAAAGGGGGCACCCCTAGTTAATTGTGATTAACTCGTAATAAAGGTACAGAAGCTCGAGATTCCTCCTTATTTTTATAATGGGTAAGTTTGTATTCCTTAATCAAAATCCAAGGATCAATCCTCTCCTCTTCTTTTGGAGACCTTCTAAGTTCAAAATCAATGAGAATTTTTTTTTAAAGGGTTAGGTTAAGTGTGCAGCAATCCAAGGCCGAAAAATAGAGTTTGGTGGATAGAATTCGAACACACTATCGAAACTCTACGCGTCAATGCTTTTAACTACTAACCTATGACGGTAACTCTCCAGCTCTGTACGGCGTATACCCCACGTTTAACCTGTTGTACTGCCATATAAAATCCTCAACAGAGGTCGTTTCTTGAATGCCTTTAAGTTTAGGCTATGGCAGAGCGCGCGTATTAATGCATTAGAATTTCGAGGTCAGGTTAAATACGCAACCCACTCTATAAGCAACTAAATAATTTAAAATGGAGCATTTAAGAAAATTGAGCCCAATGCCGTAAGTTTACTGGTTAATGTTCTTAACTACTGACCATTAACCTAATTTGTAATCCTTATTACAATGGATTAACCTGTTAAACTTATTAATTTAAATGACCGCAACTTCAAATTGGGTGTGGTTCGGTTTATTCATTAAAAGAATTCACGGGTTCGAGAACTTGGCACACTACGCTCAAGAGATCGTTGCTGAGAATAAGCGCGCGTTACAACAGCTTTGCATGTTTGCTACATTTTTTAACAACCTTTTCCATTCTTATATCTCTCTAACAAGTATTGACTTTTATAGGCGTTAAAAACACAATTATTTTATTTTTTAACACTTTGGTCTTTACTAATGTTAATAGCTGTAAATTTCACATGTAAACTAACTTTTAACTACTCGGCTATTGTAATTGAAGCACGTAATTTTAGGTGGGATGGTTTGTAATTGATGTGTTAAACTGTGCCCATCACTTTAAAACAACCGAATATGAAGGTAAGACATTAAAAGCCTGACTCCATCCAGCCTCAGGAAAAAAAAAATTCATAAAAATTTTAATTTTCCCCCATTAGCGAATAGTTTTTAATTAAGCAAATCAATTAAGACCAAAAAAAAATGGTGGTCTTGTTTAGTTTGATTATATCTCTGTTCACAATTAATTTATTGAAATAAGATTAAAATATTAAGGATATTTCTAATAAAAATATTGAAAACACGTCTCCCCTCATTCTTAATATTTATGTCACTGGGATATGCGCATAATGTTAAAATCTGTGTTGTAGACCAACATACTTTTTTATATATTTTTGAGCTTTGACAGTGCTCAAATCTTTAATGCTAAACTCACTCGATTGCCCATTATACTATTAGTTGCATAGTTCAAAGCATTTTGACACGAAAACATATGAAGATATATATTTATCATATTCATAAATACTATAATAATAAGCAAGAAACGAAACTATTGCTAATACGAAAAAGAAACTAAATTTAGGATTTTTTCACTTAAGAGAAAAGGTTTAAAGCGTTGCCTTGCTTGGACCTACGTAAAAACTTAAAATTAAGTTGTTTGTATTTTGTCTATTTTTCTTTACTTGAATTTAGCAAAATGGTTCACAAAATTGATAAACAGATAGCATAAATCCCTGTCTATACATACAATACTTATATCTCCAAACCCCCATTTTTTTAATTTTTATTATATTATTTCTTTTATTTTTTTCAAAACCTAAAAGAAAACAAATAGGGCAAAAGTGGAACATTCTTTTACTGCATTAAAGAAATTTATAAATCAATATCGAAAAAATGAAGTTAAAAAATTTAACATTACAATACCTACTAGGTTAACAGCACATCACTAATAGTTCACAATACTAATTACTTTGTGAAGTATGTGCTATATATAAATTAGTATACATTTAGTTAATTGTATACACTGAAAAGAGCTATTTACCAGTACTATAATAACTATTTAAAAAACTAATCTAAAAAAAGTAAGATAATAACAAATTTATAGTTGCGCCGAAAAAAAAAGAATATATTTTATGTTCAAACGTTCCTTAGTTCTCACCTATACTCACGCATTTTTTTAATTACAAATTTTCCAGTTTCTGCTGTTACTAGGTCCTGGAATTAAAAGTATTAAAACCTTTATAATAAAGCTACGCAAATTGTAAACTTTTTTTATGGAGACTTGCTTTAAGTATTTCGGACCAAAAAAAAAGGTCAGAAAAGTTTAGTAGCTTAAAGCTGTCAAAATTAAGTAAAAGTAAAAGTAGCTTATCACACACCACAAGAGTTACAAACATGGAAACAAGCATTAAGACAGCTTAAAAAAGAAGCAATACTTTCCAATTTAGTGAGTACTTTAACATGCAATTAGATTTAAAAACATCTTAACAAAAAGATGTAAAAATACCATAATAATATAAAGAGCAAGTTAAAGCAGTTATGACTAAAATTTAAAGAATATGTAAAAAAAGAAAAGGGGTCCTCACATCTCTATAATTACTCAATCTATAGAAAATAAACTTTTAACTGTTTGTAAAACATGAACAAAACAATTGTATCCATTCCTATGTATGGGGGTGGTTTAATGAGTTTTTACTACATTGAGCTTGTTGTTCATTCCCAGATTCTTCAAGTTATAGTAGATACAGGTTTTCAATAAATAATTCATAATTAACTCATAAAACAGCATATAAACTCTGTTTTAAAAGGAAGTAGTGATTTAATTCTGGCTGGACAAAATTGTCGATCTCTTGATGTAAAAGAGGTTTTACATATAACATTCGTAATAGTTTATTATTCCTTAAATTTTCCAATTAATTTTTACAGTAACATTAGAATAAAGAGTTTTAAATATAAGCCTAATAACTTATTTATCTATAATATTCGGGCAGTTAAAAGACTGCACTGTATATGATCGAGAGCCGATAGCTGCATTGAGGGCTTTGAATGTAAAAAATGATACAAAGGAATGCTCTCGTACACCATACATAGGTTTTCAAATATTGCGCTCATTTATTAAAAAAAACAAATTGCTAAATAATTATCACAACTGAAGAGTTTGAAAGTTTATAACGATTTTTCTAACAATATTTTGAAGCTTTTTAAAGATGTATGTTTAGAACTTGTTTTAAACCTTGACTGACAACTATCTCATCAGCTTAGCTTGTTTAGTATAGCGTACAAAGTTTACTAAATTAAAATTTTGCAACATTCATTATCTAATAAAATATGTTAAAAAAATCCTATTATTATTTAATACTCTCTAAAAATTTAAAATTTACAAGGGAGTAGAAGAGGGGGCGAGGGGTTTTATTAAGTTTTTTATAATAATCAAACCACTCAAATCAAAAGCTGTACAAAAGATAAATTCTTATTTTATATGCAACTTTCTGATCTATTTGCTTAGGATCTACTTCTAAAGATTTACAGTTAATATGTTATGAATCGGGATTTATTTTATTTTATACTGCTTACGACACCATCCAGGTAAATATTGATATTTAGAATAGTTGCAAGAGATTTTTTTATTGAAAATAAAATTTAATAAACTTGTACATGTTTTGAATTAAACGGAGAAATATTATAATGCAACGCCTCTAGTAAATATTTATTAGATAGGCAATCTCAGTGGAGATTGTAAACTTTGGTTCTTCTGTAGTTTGGTCGAAAAGTTTAAATTATTATGGCAATGATGGTATATGGGGGCTCGCCCATCCGGTTTTTATTGTTTTTTCCTAAAATCTAAAAATAAAGTCATAAAATAATTAAAATGAAAAGGCAATTTCAAAAATAAATTGGAAGGCTCATAATCAAGATGCCTTCACCACTATTTTAGGTTTTTCTTATTTAGTAAAGATACTTAATTTTTAATTTTTTTAACTTTTTTTTTAAGAGTCAAACAATCTTTCTGATGCGTTTAGTTTGTGTTTTAATTCCGGTAATAAAGGCGGTGGACGTATGTTTCTTGGTGGTGGTTATGTACGTAAGCAAATGCAAATCTTTTTATATAATTAATTTACGAAATTAAATTAGATGGAAGGGATGAACTTAACAAAAGTGTCTCATAAAGGCTGGTAACGAACGAAATCTTTAATTCAATTTTTTATATATATATATCTTAATTCTTAATTATCTTTAAATAACGTCAGTTATAAAATTTTTTTTAAATTGCTTTGAATGATTATTATTAACCCATTATTAATCTTTTTCTAATCTTTAGGTATACCATCGGAATTAAAAAATTAAAACTAGGAAATCATACTATAAAAGCTTCTTCTCCAGAAGCAATAGTCGATTCAGGTGCTTTACGTTTTCTCAACTAATTAATATAATAAAATAAAAAGAAAGTATATTAACACCAACTTTTACTTATTTAGTTTCTTATTTTTACAAGTTTTTATTTAAATTTACATGAATTTTAAAATTAATTTTACTAAATTCAAGTGTAATAAAAAAAATTAAAAAAAAGAAAAAAAAAGATTTTTCTACGGGAATTTAACTTTCTTTTCCTTAATGTTGTTATAATATAAAATTTTTAAATTTGTTGCAACTGTTATTTAAATTATCTAAAATGGAATTATATAATCTTCACATCTTTATAATTTTTTAAAAAATTTAAGAAAAACTAAATAAATTTCATAAAAAATAAATGCAGAAAAATTATAGAACTGTAAAATATTTATAAAAATTATATTTAAATTGTAAAAATAATCTGTAAAATGTTACAGCTTATAATTTTAAAAGTATTACGCGCTGGCAAAAAAATTAATATTAAACAATTAAATATTAAAATCATAAAGTTTATTTTGAAATGATAAATATTTAAAATTTAAAATTTTAATAATGTAAATTCTCATTATAATTTAAATTCTTGTATAAACATCTAAAACTTTAATTTAATAAACGTAAAAAAAAGTTTAAATAGAGATATAAGAATTCGTTTAATATAAAAAAAATTTCAAGTTACTTTTTTCTAAATACTTAAGTTACTAATTTTTTTTAAAAAAGTTTCTCTATATAATATAGTTAATATTTTTCTAGAAAGATAGAAAAATTGTATAAAAACAATATAGTAAATAATAATTTATAAAAAATAAATTAAAAAGTTTATTACTTGAAAGTTTGTCTAATAACTAAATTTTCTCTTCATTTATACTAAAATTAGATTTATTTGTTAAGTAAAATGCTCATTTAAAAAAATTTTGATTAAAAAAATAAAGTTAACTGAAACAATAAAAGTTAAAATTTTCTATAAAAAACAAATCATAAGTGAATTTCGAATTTTTTTTGGTAAAAAAAGGTTGAACTTAACAAATTAATAAATCGAAAAGTTATTTTTTTGAAGTGCACTACTTTATTATAAAACAATAAAAAATCGAGCTTTTTTATAAAAATTAATTTCTTTATTTGTAGTGAAAAAGTAAAGTTCGTTCTTTCAAATGCACTACTGAATCAAAAAAATAAGAGATTGAGCTTTTAAAAATAAATTATTTAAGTATATAGAAAAGCAAAGTAATTTCTTTAGTAATAAAATAAAAGACAATTTTTTAATTCTTTTTTCTATCAAAAATTTATGTAAAAAGAATGTAAATTATATAAAAAAGTTTTTCTAATTAAAAAAAATATTTTTATAACTTGAGAAAGTTTTATACGAAAAATTTTTAGGCTCGACCCTTTTTATAGTCGATGTGCATGTTTTGCGCCAAATAACACACATTTTGTGCCCAATTGTGCTCCCTAATGAGCCTTTACTCGACTGTCACGAGAAGCTGATTGGTAAAAAAAGGTTTCAAGTATTTTCTATATATTATTATTGTATTATTATTTATATTAAATAAAAGAAAATAACAAAAAATTTTTTCTAAGTTTTTATAATTATATAAATTAAAAAGCTTTCATCTATAAATATAAAATTTTTATTTTATTTTGGTTATTATTATATTATATATACTTTGCAATAACAGTTTTTATTTTTACTTATAGAGTTAATATTAAGTTAATCTTATAAAAATAATAATAACAAAATTTAGAATAAAATTATTTTCTCTGCTATAATAGTAAAAAAATAATAAAATTCTAATAAAAACTTTGTGTTAATAACTATTCAGTTGAATATTTTTTATTATTATTATATATTTAAAACAAAATAAGTATTTATTAATAAAAAATAAAAAGTATATTGTTAATTTTTATAAAAAACTTTATAAATAATAATACATAAATATATAAAGAATTTTATATATACAGATAATATGTTTTATTCACTTTTTTAATACGAGTAAAACTTTTGTAAAGTTTTTACTGCAAAAAATTAATATTCATATATTAAATTATAATATTTTTAAATAATCATAAACTTCTATTTTGTATAGAAAGTTTATATTTTTACATAAAAATAATACAAAAATAAAAAAATAAAATAATATTTAAAATTTTAAGTAAAGCTTTAGTAAATATAGAAAGTGAGAATGAGTATGTCTTATTACTAATAACAATTTAATTAAGTGATTCAACTAATGTTGAACTGTATAAGTTTACTTTTAAAATAAATATAATAACAATACATTTTATACGTTGATCAAAAATAATAATTATTATAATAAACTTTTATTATTTAAAAATGATTAAAGTTTTGCAAAATTATATTTAATTTACTTATAAATTAAATGATTATTAACTTTTATTAGTATTTAAAAGTTATTAAAATATTGCAAAACTATATTTATTTTACTTATGAATAAGTATAATCATAAACTTTTACTATAATGTAAAAGTGATTTAAGTTTTGTAAACGATATATACTATACTATTAATAATAAACAATATAAACTTTTATAGTAACTTAAGAGAGCATTTATAGTAAAGTAAAAATTTATTAGTTTTATTAATTACTATTTAGTTACTTTTATTATGAAATAAAAGAATGAATCATGTAAAGTATATATCTTTAATTATTTTATATATTGATAATATAAAAAACTTATCATTTAATTAATATAACTTTGTATTACTTGAAAAATACTATAAATAATTTATCTATATTGAAAGAAATAAAAACAATAACTTTTTATTATTTTCTAAAGGAAATGAAATAAGTAAGATAAAACTATAATATTTTTACTTAGAAAAATAATAATAACTCTAAAGATCGATATAAGGGAAATAAAATTGATCTAAATCTATTAACAGAAAGTAATAATTAATAATAATAATAATATCGAGTAAAAAAAAAAGAATACTTTTATTTCAAAATAATAATTTCAAAAATATTCTTAGCCTTCCGATTGGTCAGGACGTTATTAATCGGTGTCCGATACTGAGAGTTTTAGTACCCGACTATCTCGAGCCGTTTACTAATTTTGAACTCTCTTTTAAACCGAGTGATTATTGGCTGGGGGATGGTAAATTTTATATTATTAAAACTTTATAAAAAAAATTTTTTTAAATTATCTTTTAATAATATTTTTGACTTAATTTTCTTAATTTTTAACAACTTATTTTAAAAAAAATTTTAAATATATTTTTTTATTTTTTTATTTTTTTCTTTCTCCAATTTTTTTTTTAGTATCATTTTCAAAATTTATGAATGAAAACCTTTTAATAAAATTTTTTTTAAAAAAATTCGAATATATTTTTATTTTTTATATATATTTATTTTGTGTTTTTTTATTTTTTTACTCAAAAAAAGGATTATATGTTACTTTTTTTTAATAAATTTTTATTAGGAAAAAATTATTTACTAGGAATTTCAGGCGGAAATTCAATGATTCTTGGGGGGACCGTTTTAAGGTTACATAATAATAATAATAATAATAAAAGTAACAAATAATATTAACAGCTTCTAAAGTGATAGTATTTTTCTTCGCTACACTTAAAAAGTTTTAGAATTTTTTATTATGTAATATTATAAATTATTATAACTTTTAAAATATTATTTATATTTATTCATATAATATTATTATTATCATGATATTTATTGCAAAAGTTTTTTATATGTAGATAATGTTTATCTTTTTATGATTATTTTAAATATTTTTAACGTTCGTTTTATTTTTTTAGGTCACATTTGGTTTATTTTGATAGGAAGAATAGCGTTGTTGGTAATAATAATAGACATTCCCATATATTTATACTAATATAGATTTAGAGGAAATTATAGAAACAAAAATTTTTTAAAAAATTTTAAAAAAAAGTTTTTTTCTATTTAATACTTTAAAATAAATTTAGTGGAAATATTAAATATAAGAATTTATATTTTTTTAATAAAGCTTTAAAGAAAAATAGAGTTTTTAGAAAATGTTATTTTAAATAATTTTTTTTATAATAATATAATAAAAAAGTTAAGTTGTTACAAACTTTTTCATTATATATTAATAAAAGTTTATTATTAAAAGAATTTTCTAATTATAGAATCTTCGAAAAAGTTTATCATAAAATATATACCATTATAAACTTTTTATATATGAAAGTAAAATTTTATATATATAAAATAATTTATAGGTTAAAAATTATTATAGTTTAAGTTTATTTATTATATATATAATATTGTTAAAGATTTTTTTGAGTTATGTAAGTTTATTATTATTAATATTAACGTAAACTTTTTTATTTAAAATTTATACATATTTTTAAAAATAAGTATTACCTTCAATTTTATTTAATATTCTCTTAGAAGTTTTTATAAGTTTATTATTACTATTATTATTATATATTATAAATATTGAGAAAACTTTCAATACATCTATTAAAGTAAACTTTTATATTTTAAGTTTTTTTATATTAAAGAAAGTATAATATTTCCAAGTTTACTTTATTATTATTATTACAAAATTTTTTAATAAGTTTATTATAAATTTCATAAAGAAAACTTTTTAGTATATTTAATAAAGTAAATTTTCATATGTTAATTTTTTTTATTTTTATATTTAAAAAAATATAATATTTCAAGTTTATTTATAGTATAAATTGTTAAAGTTCTTGGAAATTTCTGTTTATTATTAATATTATTATAAGATATTTTAAAAAAACTTTATAATATATTTAATGAAGTAAAATTTCATATTTAAAATGTTTTATATATAAAAATATATATTTTTTAGTTTATTATATGTAATCTTGTTTAAGTTCTTAATAAAAAAAGATCCTAAAAGTTTATGTTTACCTTTATTATTATAATACTCAATTTTTACTCTTATTATGAAGGTTTTCTTAAATATAAATTTTCTTTCTATTCTATACGAATAGAAACTGTTTATATGTATATATTTTTTTTAAATTTATTTTAAATTTACAAATAACCTTTTTTTACTTTTTATTATATTCTTATATTTTTTTATATTAAAATTATTTAAAATTATAACTTCTGTAAATTTACTTTTTTTAGGTTTTAAACAAGTGAAAAACTGCTCTACGGATGTTATATTTGTGGAAACTCCGTCCTTTTTATCGTCACGAAGCGAAATCTTCAGTCATTTTTCGCTTTTATGGATGATGATGTGCATACTTTCTTTTAAAGTACTTGTAATATTTAATAAATAAAAGTACAAATATATTAAAAACTTCATATTTAAAAAAAGTAAAAAGTAAAAAAAGTTGTTGACAACAGTGAAAAATGAAAATTATAGAAAAAATTAGATTTTTCTAAACCTTATACAATTTTATCTTGCTATCGTTTCTTATAAAATAAAAAAAAACTTTTTGTAATACTTAAACTTTTAATGACTTCTGAACAGTATAATTTAATTTAGAAAACTGGTCTTAAAATTAGGAACAAATAAATTAAAGAGAGTTATTGCTAAAAACTTCTTTAAAAGCAGTTGAAAAGTTTACTAATTTTATCATGAAAAACAAACGAGAAAATTTAATGGTGTTGGCCTGCATAATTCCTCCTACGCACGCAGAAAAACTATAAGTCTTTTGTCTTGGTTATAACGCTATTATAGTAATAACTATAATAAAAACTGATCCTGCGCAATTCTCAAGCGCGTACTTACAATTCCGCCTTTAATAGATTATAAACATTTTAGTTCACACTTCATTTTACGATCTTTTCGTTACGGGGGCTTTCTTTAGTAGTAAGTGTGAAGATAAAGAAAAAGAAAATTACTATAGTAGCTCAAATGATTTATTAACTTGTAAAATTTAATATATATACCAAAAGACTATATAAAGGAATCCTATTTAACTGTTCCAGCACTTCAAAATTAAGATTTCTTAACTAAAATAATATCGTTAGTAAAATTTCTCTTGCACTTACGATACACGTGTTATAAGAAGATCGCAATCTTGAAAGATAGTTATAGAACTGTAGTGAAAAAAAACTACCGTAACTTGTAATAAATTTTTTGTTTACAAATAGAAAAACGCACATATCTTAATAAAAAATATCTAATTTACTTTAAAAAGTGTTAGATTAAGCATACCTTTAACTACAGCAAACTGAAAAAATTAAAATATTATAACATTCTTTTTTTAACAATAACAATAGCTTTAATAAAAACAATAATAATAGCTACAAATAATCAATATAACAATCAGATTATCTTATGAATTATAAAAACTACGTTAGTATAATGAACGACATCAAAGGATAAAGGTTCTGTTATTTATATAAACCCCAAAACGACGGCTAGCTGAACCTATTATTACAAGACGTTAAAAGATTCGTACAAAAACTTTGGGCAGGGTCTAAAGTAAGCTTTATAAACATTATTGATTATTTCTTTTATTAAACTTGCCAGAGGACATCATTATAAAAAGGCTGGGAGGGGAAGATATTCAGAACCCAGTCTTATTTACTTTTTAAAGCTTTTTAAGCTAGACCTATTCTCTAACTTGCGAAATTTACTCGAAATATTTAATAAAATATTAAAAAAATAACAAGCTAAGTCAAATAAGTTAATTTTTTTTATAGTTTATCTCATTTGTTAGAGTGGACAATTTTTTAAGTGCAAATATTAGATTTATGTTTTATAATGTACTCCGTTAACCAACGATACAATGTCCATATATATAAACAACATTTATAAAAGAAGCTTTATTTATAAATAATTTTTTAAGTTAAGCAAGTAATATGAATACTTTAAGGTACTCTTTTTTTATTTAAGAGTAATATGTGATAGCACGATTTGTGAATATTCTTATTTACCGCACTGAGGACAGCTTACTGTCATTTTAAAAAAACTCGGCTAAGGCGATTTATTTATTTCCTAATTGTAGGAAACAAAGCAAAACTATATACAATTTAATACCAAATTTTGCATAGAGAAAATATTACCTAAAGATTACGTAAGTATAAAACATTCTCTAACGTGCACCCCCCCACCACCACCAAAAAAAAACGTAAACATTAAAAATATAAAAACTAAAATCCTTGAAAAAAATCTACTCGAAAATAAGATAATTTTGACCTCCGTGAACAACTTATGTAAAATCAAAAGGAATTACTGGATCCTTTTTTTCAGGCTGTTAGCCTTCTAGGGTTTGTATATTATTGACACTCATGTAATAATATGTTAGTACGTCGAAGTACTTTAAAGCACTGTGTACTTATATAATTATTATAGACTTCCTAATTGCACCAAACCGATTTTCACAACAAATGAAGAAAAAGACAAACGGCGCGCACATGATACCATGTGAACTAACCTTACTACTTTTCTGATACTCGATCAAGTTAACACCTTTCAATGCTTGAGTTCTCAGTTAGGAGTAATTGGATATTAACAAAAGTTGTATATATCCCACTCAAGAGCTAAAGGCAGTGCACATTCTGTTAAAAAAAGTATTTATTCGATACGCAATCAACAATGGTTTATGAACTAAGCTAGATATTTTAGATTATTAAATACTCTACTAACCTTTCGTTGGTGTACAGCGAGGTAAAGGCAGCAAGGTCATTAATGAATATTTTGCAATAATTTTCTCAGTTTTTTTAAATAAGTTTTCTACCTTTATCAGGGGAAACAAAGACTTTTACTTCAAGGCTAAAACACTAAATTATTTATACAATCCACGTTATCAGGGACGGCTGAAAAAACTAGTAAACGGAGGAACCAAAACAAGGTCTCTTATACTTCACGATACCTACAAAGGAACCGCATAGGCTAACCTAGTTATCTCTCTGTGCCTCTTTATTTTGTTTTTACTTTTATTCTTTACTACTATGTGCGTTTATTTAAATGCATACATATTTTATATCTGTTCATATGTTTCTATATTTTTCTCTATAGCTCTAGTAGTAAGACTTTACAAGCACAACGGTACGACATAGTTATATACGTAATTTATCAACTAAAAAGTGTGAGTTGTCACCGTAGCTCAGAGGTCAGAGCAATTCGCGCAAGCTCAAGGTGGCGTGTTCGATCCGGTCGGGTGCCAACTCGCATTTTTCTGACATAGTGGTTACCTATAAAACGAAATTTTCTAATACACATTTTTCCTTCATTCGCATAATGCATATGCGGGTCCTCTAGAGGGAGAGCGCAGTGTGTGATAGTCCGTGGATTAAGTTCTTTTCACCGGTGTAAAATTTCCTTGAACACTACCCCCTTATTATAAACTATAATTAAAATTGTAGGATTTTTGAAAGTATATACTACCTTCACTTTTTTTAAGAAAAGGCTAAAGTAGGGTCAGTGTTTTTCATTGTTTTTATATTCACTATCTATATCGTTTTTACACCTTATCACAGCTGCCAATAATGAAACGGGAGGTAATTCGCACGACATAGTTAAAAAACTTAACAAATGTATTTAGTACAGAATCGATTTAATGGATTCCGGAAATATTATAGGTACTGCGAATAATTTCATAGAGCTTCTTCAGATCTTATGGGTTAAAAAACTTAAGATATGGTTGAGTGACAAACTTGAAGATAAGGAGGTGAGAAAAAAAAAATGACGTTATATACCAACTGTTAACCCCAGGTAAATTAACCCGATGACTCTAAAATTGGACCTATGAACCCTTATAGCTCTGTGTCTGTTTGTTTCAGTCACCGGCGGTTAAGCAAATGTAGTACCAAAACATTATCGACGCCATCATTTTTAGCCTAAAGATGCAGGTACGCCTTAGCATTGAACACTAGATTTATGCTCATGAACAGAAATAATTGTAAACAAAAAAAAAGACTGTATTTTTTCTAAGGGTTCAGTTAGCAAGGAATAGTTACTAAACTATAATATTAAAATTTATCTTTACACCTATGAATATACTGTTCCAAGATGCTAATAGGTGGTTATGTGGCTTTAAGCCTAAAGTTTGTGCAGAGGACATTGAAACTTTAAGAAACCAAGACTCGTGTTTCTTTTGGCTTTAAAACATTTAAAGCAAACACCGGCAATTAAGTTCCTCTGGTGTAAAGTGCATAAAAGATATAAATATTTTCATGTACAAAATGTAGCCTTTAGCAAAAAAAAATGTTTGAATGTTTTTTTTTACCCAAGCTGCTACTGTTACTATATAAAAGTCTAAGGGTTAAATGGAGATAATAAAGCGCACCATTACAAAACGTTAAAAAGTAAGAATAAGTGTAAAATAAGGTTATTAAGTACAATTTGTTATAAACGAAATAAGAGTAAGAATTTTGAAATTAAAATTACGAAAAATTAAAAAACAAGGTTAAAACCAGAATAGATTATATAACAAGAGACGCAAGACGCGCTTCACCATTAATAATATAACAAGAATTCGAGGGCTCTGCACTGAGCGCAAGCTTTTTATCATAGAGTTGAACCCAGGGTACATGAAAATTTGGTGAAAAATAACTTCTGCCCAATCGTAATAGGCTACTATTGAAGCGCCCTACTCCAAAGTCGGTGTTGCAGGACTATGGCTTTACTAACTACAGAAACCAACAGAAGAGTCATTAACAATTAGTCCAAAAAGGACCCCTTTCTTTGAGTCTCATTATATTAAGATATTTGTTAAAAGTATGTGAGTGAAGGACCAGCCATCTGGTTTTGCAAGAAGACCGCTTACCAGGAAAAAACATGTTAGCCTAATGTGTATAAGAGCAAGTAAGAAAATTTTCAGGAGCCCCCGTTGAAAATATATATTCCTTCAGGGAAAAGCAAATCTGTAATAAGCTTGGTACTTAAACTTTAAATTAATTTACAAAAAGACGAGGAAGAGGGGAAGTGTTAAGTAATAATTTATATAAAACCGTTTTACGAAAAGATATATGGTGAAAACCTTAATTTACTTCTACACGAATGACCCCAACTTACCAGAACAAATTTTTTTTGGCATTATCACTTTGAATTTCGCTTGCTTTCAGCTTTATCGCTTTATTTTTAACAGAAAAGAAAAGACCTCTTAAAAGGCCTTTACAATCTTATAAAGATATGATAATCGTATACCTTGACATGGCCTGCGTCTTTTTATAATCTAACTTCAACAAAAATTACCTTTAGGGGAACATTTTAGTAGTTTAATCTTTGTTAGTTAAGATTTCTCTGGTTTACAAAACAAATTTTTAACTAATAAAAAATTACTTTTAAATCCACTAAGCAAAATACATATCTACTTAAACTGTATTTTTAGAATGCTTTTCAAAGCATTGAAATTAGCCTTTCTTTAAAAAAAAAAGTGTGCTTATATATAAAAAATTCTAAAAGAGTGATATTGTTAAAAGAACTTTTCCTAGTATATAACATGTTAACTTTGTGTATTAGCTCAAATAAGGTATACACAAGCTATTTATAAGCATTACCCGTTAACTAAAACTCAGTGGGAAACTTTAGCCTACAACTGCCATATATTTATCTGATATAAAAATTGATATTGTAAAGCAGACATTAAGCACTGAACTAACAAATTGTCATATTTTCTAATTCTGTTTTATATGCTACGACAAAAATTTATTTAACGCTTAAAAGATGGTAAAAACTATAAGAACAGACTCGACAAATTTTATAAACAAATCCGATATATTTGCTCTTTCTTTTACAAAGTAAAATATGTTTTCATAAAACGTTTTCATTTTATACCGTTATCGAATTTTAAAACCTTTAAAACACTAAGTTATAATTAAATAACGAACGTTAGGTTTGCCTGAAGTAACAAAGTGTAATCTGAAACATTTTTTAGTACGTTTAACAAAAACACAAACTTTTGTTGCAAAATTCTTAAAATACGCTTTTTAAAACGCATTAAAAATCCCGAAAGAAAAAGAATAACTATATGATCCAGTATCTAGAGGAAAAGGACCTTAACATTTAGCAATTTAAAAAAAATTTTCGGTTCTATACGATGAAGTATTTTAATCGGGTTAGTAACATGCCTTGATAAAAAAAATTAGTCCAATATTTCGCGTACAACTAAGGAATACCGTTAATGTTCACTTTTAAAATTTGGCAACATAGTTAATTACAAATATATATTTTTAAACTTTTTAATCGCTTTTAGCGAAGTATATATGTTTATTTAATAATTGTACTTTCTTAAAGGTGTCAGCCTTTAACAAAAAAATGCTGTAATGTTCGATAATCTTTTAATAGTTTTTATAATTTACTTATTAATTTATGCTTAAGTAATTAAATTCTTAATAATTATTGGTAGCAAAAAGTTATTTTTTGTAGAACTCAATAAAACTTTGTTTATTATTGGTAATTGTTTGATCCTTGATGCTACTAAAAGAGCTTTAGAGATACGTGGTGTAACTTTTTTTTAAGGTAAAGTTAAATCACTTCTAAAATATGACAATAAGACTTTGTTAAATATTAACATTGTTTATTAAATGTTTTTAAGAATGATAAATTAAGAGAAACTCGATATTTTAATACTTTTTATGTAGTGCTTTTAAAAATGGTGCCAACCTTAGAATGAAAATATAGATTTAACTTTTATTTATAATTTTTTGTTCGTGTCGTTTTTTAGAGGATTATATAGCTTTTAGCGCTTTCTTTCTAATAGTTTATATAGTAGCCATTGTAACAATGATTTTTATCATATCCTTTAATAAAAATCAATATTATTTATTAATCATTTTTGATTTTATACAAATGAAAATGGGTACTTTATGATTTGTTAATATAAATTTTCTACCAATTATATTATAGAATAAAATTTAATATTATAAAACTTGTGATCTACACTTTTAAAAAATCTCATGTCTTACAAAATATATTTATATAGAAACATTTTAAAGCTTTAGGTTTGTGTTAGACAAAAATTACTGTCACATTCTTCGTCAACTCTACTATTAAAATATTTGATTTTATATGAACTTACTTATATAAACTTTATGAGCTTTAGAAATTATAATATTAACTTGTGTTTTTCTTTAGCAAAAACACACCCTAAATTACTATTTTAGGTTATGTGCAGTTATATAGATTGACAAAAAGGTATGCACCACATTTGCAATAAACTGACACTATTTAGTAACCTCCCTTCAATTGAAACTAAGTAATATATACCAAAAATTGAAAATTATTCTAGAATCACCAAAGGAGGCTAATAAATAAAGCATTTTGGAAAAGTCTAAAATTCTTTCTAACAAGTGGCATAACGCTTTAGTAATGTAACTTGTCTATATTTTTTTTAGATGCCTTATCTTAAATACTTATTCGTAGTTGTGTATACTAATATTAGTTTAGTTGTTTCAGATTATTCCTATTTTTTGATGGATTTACTACTATAAATAGAGATAGTTACGAAATTTAACTTAGTGATTTGGTCTGCATAAAAACAGTAATAAAGTTCGAAGTTTTGTTAAGCGGAGTTATAAAAGCAGCAAACTTTTATTATAGTGTTTATTTTGATAGTGATTACATAAAAACATGTATTAAATATAGTTTAATAAGATAACAGAAAGCAGTTGTACTATACTAAAGTTTACGATATTATAGTTTAATTGTCTTAAAATTTGTATGCTACTATAAGTCCATATCGAAAGCTTTTTTACTACAATATAATTATATTTTTACCATTTAAAAATATTTTATTTAATATATCAATATATAATTATATATGTTTATGTAATGGTTTAAATACTAAAAACAAAATTGATTAAAGTATTATTATTTTAACTTAGTTTAAAGGCATTTATTCCTCCTTTATATATATTAGAGTTGACTAATTTATTAAAACACCGAAAATGTTGAGTAGCAGTAGTATTAACACATCTGAATCACAAGCAAGAAGGTGCAAGGGTGGTTGTGGTAAGTATCCTTGTTACAACTCTCCGGGAAAACAAAAGGCTTTATTCTGTAAGGAATGCAAACTCCACGGAATGGTTGATGTTGTAAACCGAAGATGTAAAGGTGTTTTCCTATATAAAATAAAGAAACTAAGCTTTAAATAATTAATTATACTAACAATAGGTGGGTGTGGAAAACAGCCAAGTTATAACTTTCCAGGAACATCAAAGGCGATATACTGTAAGAATTGCAAACTTATTGGGATGATAGATGTAGTTAACAAGAGATGCAAAGGTGTTTCGTGGCTATGCTCCCTTTTAAAGTTTTATTATTATTAAGCTAACAAAAAAGGTGGTTGTGGGAAACGCCCTACTTACAACATCAAAGGAGAAACAAGAGGACTCTATTGCAAAGCTTGTAAACTTCCTGGTCTTCATAGTTTTATATTAAAAAATAGCATTTATAAAAAAACTTTGTAATAAAATAGGTATGATTGACGTTATTAGCAAAAGATGCCCTACAGAAGGCTGTGGGAAACAACCTAATTTTAACTTTCCAGGAGAAAGTAAACCAATTTATTGTAAAAGTTGCAAACTAGAGGGAATGATTAATGTTGTCAGCAAGAGATGTAAAGGAGGCTGCGGAAAACTACCTAGGTACAAATAAAACTTATTATTACTCAAATAAAGTTATTAACCGGATTCTATATCCATCTTAACATTAGCTACAACTTTCCAACGGAAAGTAGGGCTCTATACTGTAAAACCTGTAAACTTGAAGGTATGGTTGATGTTATAAGCAAGCGCTGCTTAGGTATTAATTTTTGAAACTCCTAGAGTTCATAAGTTTCAGTAAACTATCAAATTTCTTATATTGTAAGGAGGCTGCGGAAAGCAACCTAACTACAATGTGCCTGGTGAAAAGAGAAGACTATATTGTAAAGATTGCAAGTTAGAGGGGATGGTGAACCTGGCAATTATGAAACAAAAATGGATAAAAGATAGTAGTACAGATAATCAGACTCGAATTAAGAAAGGAAAGAGGTCAAACAGTTGGCAGGGTCATTTACATCCGATAAGATCTTGTGGGTATAGAAGGCATTATACAGACCGGGAATTTACTAACTATTATGATGTAAGATTGAGCAATGTACATAATAATAAGGAAAAAAACAGCTCAATAGGCCTATGTAAAAAATTTTTTAATAATAATCAAAATGGCTTTACTTCCGAAACTACGAACCCAATTTTAACAGGTTCTATTACATTTTTAAGTTTGAATCCAATGGTTGTCAGCAAAACATTGAATAAACATAAAATAAGTCCAAGGTTAAAAGAAAGTACAATGGATAATGAGCATTTAAATACCTTGAAATATCAGAAAAACAACTTAAATATATTTAGCAGTTATCATGTTCAAATGAAAACTTGTTACGATAAAAAGTTAACACTATACTCAGATTATACTGATTCTAACTGTTATTATACTCGAGCTAATGCGAGTTACAATGGTTTTAAAGGCGTGAGTAGTACTTTTGACACTCTAGAAAATCAGCCAAATTTTCCTCATGAACCTAATAACACACTTAAATTTCTATTGAAAGAAAAAAAAGATAGAAGCCATCCGCGTTTTCAAAAAAGGATTTGCTTTTCAGATATTCATAACACCCTTTATCCTAACAAGTCTCCTGAGTATCAACATAAAAATCTCTCAGCTTTATCGACTATTGATAATTCGGTTGCTCATCGTATGAGCAACTGCAGTGAAAATACTGACATACATGGTAGGCATTGTAACAACCCTTCATGTAATAAGAGCTTAGGAACTTCAAATGAGAATGAATTTTCAATTAAAAATCTACTACTTAAATAAATGCATAATAAAATATGTAATTCTCTGTACTTGGAATTTATAAAAGTTAATTTTATACATCCAAATTTATTATCGTATTGTCATTTAAAAATGTTTTAAGGCCAGTAAGTTACAAATACTGGCCGCAGCTATTTGCTGAATTTACAAAAATTGAAAAGTAGGGAACAATAGGGATATCTAAATTATAATAGTCAAGGGATTTGTTAAGCAAATAACCTTCTCTTAACTAAACCCCTTATAGGTTACTGGGTAGTTTACCACTGTCGCCTAGATTCAACTTGCAAGAGTAGGTCTATGGAAAGTGACTCTAAACCACAGGCTTGGTCTCTGAAAATTTCTAGTAAGTTTAAGTACCATTTATTAACGAATTAGACAGCAACCAACAAAACAAAAAAGTGGTATATTTAGTTACCAGTGAAAGTTAAGTTGAGCATATATTGCGCGATCTTTTTATTGAATAAAATAGCGTTCATTCTGGATGTAAGAAGTTTATTTTTGGTTGGATAGGTAAGTAAAAACATTGGTTTTACTGTTTTATTTTAAAATATTAATTGGAATATATAGAATCAAATTTTGAAAGCAAATATTTAACTTTAAAGTATAGTTTCTCCCTAGAAAGTGATTTGGCGGAAAAAACAACTCTATTTTAAGCCCCAGAGTTTTGCGCGTTAAAGGATTAAAAAAATATTTTTAAACTCAATGCGCTGTAAAGTGTATATTTGCCCCCCATTTGAAACTGTTTCAAAAATTATTTCATGGATATAGGCCCTGTATACTAATGCGACCATTTGTTTTGCATAGTTATCTGAATTTTTTCGAATTAATATAAAAACTGTTTCGTAATCATTAACTATTTTATCCTTTAAAAAAGCTATTTAGCTATTCATTATTTTCAGTTATGTTGATTCGCTCGTCTTAAGTCCTTGAGAATGGTATTTCATAAACTATATTATTTAATTACTTAGATTATGTAGTGCAGACAATAAGATATTATAATATAAAGAATTAAAGTCTCAAGACAATAATTTATTTGGTTGTTATAAAAAATACTGAGGCGTATCACACGTAATGACCACAACCACAAATTAAAGAAACAAGTTCGTCGTGCGCGAACCACTCCTCATGTATATTAACAATTTGCTAGTTATTAAAAAAATAGTTAAACTTAGTGCTCGTCTCACATGTAGAATGGCCTCTCCCGTATTAGAGCGATTCCTTCATTCTGTAGTTTAATAAGGTTTAAAAAGTGTACTAGAAGTCAGTTCCTGATAAGTATATACTTTAACAAAGTGATAAGCCGCCTTAGCCGCCTTTTTGTGATACTTTTATAAAACTTAGCTGCTCCTTTACTCTTTTCTTTAAGTCTTTTCATTAGTCTCCGTTTACCTTATTTGTAAACTAACTCGAAACTGGGGGTTTGCATTACCCATTATATAAACCAAGTAAAGCCGTTTTCGCTTTGTAATCCATATCACTATTACTTGAGAGCCAGATTCTTTAACCTTTTTCTACTGCTTATTTCAGGGATTGGTATTTTTTACTTCACCACTTTTTATATCTATATACTACCATTACTAAAATTTATTTTTTTTAATAAGCAAGATTTTTATTTATAATTTTGCTGTAGTTGAGCTTTTTCTTTCTTTGAATCTATTTTTAAAAGTTCAGTTCTAAAGGAATATTCGAACTGTGTAGGTAAGGAAGTTTAATGAGAATCAAAAAGAAAAGTTTGCTGTCACTAATTTACGATCTTTTACTGAAAAAATTTTAACAGTACGATTAGAAATACTTTTCTACCAACTTGAATAGCTCATAATAGTCACGTGAATCATTACAATACTATATCGGTTAAATATAGGCATATTCACCCATTCAGGATGGTTGTTATTCATGCCTAAAAAATTCAAATGGAAGGGTGGGAGGAGCTTTAACAAACTTAGTACACATCGTTTTTATTCACTAAGAAATATAACCAGAGAAAAAAACATATTATAAAAAAGTTTACAAGATTTAGACCTCAAAATGAGTGAAACATTACCAGTAATTAAAGAAAACGATATTGTGTTGATTTCAGAAAATGGGTTATGCCCAAGTTGTGGTTCTGGTTCTGTTACTTATCTTGTTGTGAGTCGCACTATAGACACGGGCATCTTTCATCCGTTGATTAATCTCTTATTGTCTCGCAGAGAAGCGATATTAATATATGATGATAAGGGAGATTTTACGAAGGTTTAATTTTTTCAAGTTTTTATAATTAAATTCCTGGGCTTATTTATTACATGTTTACCCTTTTAAAATAGACATACCCTTCTTTTTATTGTAATGATTGCCAACGACAATTCAATTTAAACTGGTCAAAATCTTCTCTTGAAACGATTTACCCTATAGCAGCTTCCCTATGCAAAGAGAAAAAAAAAGCCGATCCTTCTTCTACCACTGTTTCAAAAAAAACATCAAAAAGCAATGATCTACCGGATTCCTCTAATAAAAATTCTTCGGACACACAAATTTTGGAATTACAAGAAATTTTTTCTTCAAATGGACACTGCCCTTATTGCCACCATCCACATTCCACTTTTCTAGTTCCTCTTTCTCAAAAAGATAGTCTCACTCCACTGACTAATTTATTATTAAAAGGCGGATTTGCGCGATGGTTGCTCTATTTTTTGCATTTCATGTTATTGATTATTATTTAAACTTGTTAGGGTTTATACTAAGGAAAAAGAATCTTTGCGGTATCAATTTCAATGTAATAATTGCCATTATGGGTTTAATGTGGACTTTGCTAAAACTCGGTGCTTCTTTTTTATAAATTATACTAAAAAAATTATTAATATTTTTGTTCAATACTTTTGTATATCCTGAGATTAACTCAATTTTTTATTTATGTAAACTTTAAATTCTATATAATTTTATTAAATTTGTTTTTTTTGAAGTTCATTTATCGATTATAAACTTTCTTTAGTTGCATAATTATTATATATAAATTATAACAATATTTTGAATTGAATAGTTTTATTTACTTTAGTTTACTCTATTTGGTTATGCTGTGTTTTACTGTAAATTGCAAAAGTATAAGTTTTATTTTGTCACAGTTCACATGATTTTAAGGAAAAGTTTTAACGAGAAGAATTTTAAATTTATCTTCACTTAAATTTATTACTGAATTCTGTTTAAGATTAATTTTTATAGATATTAAACAGTTTAAAATTTTTTATTATAACTTTTATATAACGGAATTTTTATATGAAAGTAAAACTAAATACAAATTTGAGATTAAAGATTTTCATTTTTTATATTTAATATATTTAAAAAGTCTTGAAGATGTTTTTCATGTGCTTAACGCTGATTCGGAAGATCCATCTTTTGCTCCGGATGTAATTCCTCCTTCAGAAGGTATATTTCCGGGTCTTTCGGAACTTTCGGGATCTGCAAATAAAGATGAGATCGTTCACTCGCTTCCTTGTTAGTATTTTAAAATCTAATTTTTTTTAATTTAAAATTGTTAAACTTTTTGAAATTTACTATTTTTTTAATTTAGAAATTGTTATTTTTTTTAGTATTGCATTTATAATTTTTCTATTTTTTATATTAATTTAACTAAATTATTGGTATTATTAAAGTATTGAAAAAAAATTTTAATAATGCGAAGTATAAACAATATATATAAAATTAATAATAAAATTTATATTGTTTTACTTTTTTCTATAATAAATTTAATATTTTATAATCTTTTTACTGTTAATTTCTTTTAGTTTTTTTAATTTTACCTTTTATATTTTTTTTAATTAAGTATAATTAATGTTTAGTAGATTATTTTCAGTTAAAGTTTATATAAAATTTTCTCTAGTAATATTTTTATTATATTTTCTATTGTTAATGCTTTATTTTTTTATAAATAATTATACTTATGAAAAATATATTATTATTAGTTTACTATTTCTAATCTTTATGAGATTTATATTTTTTAAATAAATAAATAATATTTTACGGGACAATTATTTTATTTTTTTAGTATTTTTAAAGAAATCATACGTTTTCTAGTTTTTTATTCTGTTTAATTTTTTTGCTTATTACGATTTTATTTATTTTTTTAACAATTATTTTTAGAATTCTTTTTTTAAAATATTTTGTTGTTTTGAGAAAGTTTTGTTTTTAGAAATTTAAATAATTTTTTTAATTTTTTTATAAATGTTAAGTAATCTTTTTGAAATATTGTATAATTATTGTTTTGATAAAGTTCCGTTTTTATAAATTTAATTTATTTTTGTGTAATTAACTTGTATTTTTAAGGAATTCAAATTATTTGTTTACATCACTGGAATATATTATATTTTTTGGTTAATTTTTATATATATATTTTTTATAATTAGTTATGATTATAGTTTTTTACTTATTTAGTTTATTATATGTAGTTTTTATTTCCTTATAACTTTTACTTTAATTATAATTTCTGATTTTGTTTGTAATTGATTTATTATTTTTGATTAATTATTATTATCAAAAAAAAATTTATTTTTAAATTTTAATTTTGTATTAAGTAATTTATATTATTTTTTACTTATAGTTGTACTTTTATTTTATATTATTATTTATTTTGAAATTTATATAACATCTTTTAATCAAATTAATCATTTTTTTAGATTTGATATTATTTATAGAACACTAAAAAAATACTACGAAATAAATAATAAAAACAGAAAAATGAAATATATTGAAAGTAAATCTTCAAAGTTTGAAAAGTACAAATAATTAGTAATTCAAATTTAAAAGTTTTTATTGAGCAACAATTATTACTATTACTTTAATTACATTATTATTAAGATAAATAATTTTTTAACTTTATAATAAAATATTAAAATATTTATATTAAAATATTTTTTATAATTTTTTAGCAAAGAAAAGTGCAGGTAACTGATAATAATATTCTATTATAAAAATTGATAACTAAGTAATTATTATCATTACTTTTGATTTATTTACTTTTATATAATTATATAATATTTTTTTATTAAAGTTTATTAGTAACCGCCCAATTTTTATTACACATAATTAATATATTGCATATTTTTTTTATAATTTCTTTTTTTATAATTCTTTACTTATTAAGAATTAAATTAAAAAAATATTTTTAGAATATTTTTTACAAAAGTACAAGTAATTAATGGCGATACTAACTTGATAGTTAAAAACTATTAATGGCAAATATTATGGCTTATAATTCATATTTTTATATAATTTTTATATTATTTTTTTTATTAATAATACGAGAGTAGAATAATTAAAAAAAATGTTTTTTTATTATCTTTATAAGGAAAGGTGCAAATAAAATTACGACGATATTTCTGATATGTATTCATTAATACAAAATTTTTTAAATATATTTTTTTTAAGTTTCTATTTTAAAAAAAAATTGTTAACAAGTATTATTTAAAATTTTTCTATGCAGCACGTAAGTATTTTATATTATAACAGAAATATAAAATATATTTTTATATTTTTTAAATTAGTATTATATATATTTAAATAAAGGAATCTACATTTCATATATTTGTATTGCTTATAATTATTCTAATGATAATTTTATTAAAATATATTATATTATTTGTAATATATTAGTGTTTTTCCTATTTTTATTTATTTTAATTTTTTTTGTTTCCATTTTTAAATTAAATAATATTAATTTTTTTTAGTTTTCAAATTTAATTTCTTCTAACAAAATTTTGCTTTTTTATGATTTTAATTATTATTATATATTTTTATATACTTGGAATATTTTTGAGTAATTTTTCCTTTTTATTAATATAATTAACATAATAGTTCTTTTGGTATAATAAAATTGATGCTAATTTTTTATAAATTATATATTATTTATTTATTTAAAAGCGAAAACTTATTTTAATTTTATTTTTTTTTATTATAGCTTTTATTTTAACATGAATGATTTTTTTTTTTGTTTTTTAAAATTTTATATAACATTTTAATTTCTATATACCAACCTTCAATATTTACTTTTTTTATATACTTTGAAAGTTTTTTTATATTATTTATATATAATAATTATTTCAAATTTTTTTTTTAATTTATTTTAATCAGCCAAGGAAGATCCAGCTTACACTGATTATATTGTTAGAGGCCAATTCAATTCTCTATACGGGAAGTTTCAGCGTTATTCCTCGTGAGTTATAACTTATTATTATTAATTAATTATAAGAAAATAATTCTTCTAATATTTTTTTATTTTAATTAATAATAAATTAGAAACGTGGTCTTCTTATTTTTATATTTATATTTAATTTTTTTTAAAAAAAGTAGTAAAGAATAACTGCAATATATTAATTTTTATCATTACTTATCTTTAAGTAAATATTTCTTGTATATATATTTTTATATTATATTAATAATAATAAAAGAACATTGTATTACTATCATATTTATTTATCTTTATTCTCTTAAGAAAGGTGTAAAGAATATCATTGCAATATTTATTTTTGTTTATAAGTAAGTAATTAAATCTTTTGATACATAGGAACATTGTATTCTTATTTTTTTATTTGTTTATTTTTATTTTATTTTGAAAAAATAGTAAAGAATTACTGCACTGCAATATTTATAAAAAAAAAAGAACGTTATCTAATATTATTTAGAGAAAAGTAGTAATACTATTATAATATTAATAATTTTTTCTCACACGAATAAAGGAAAGTTTATTTTAATTATATATTATTCAATATTTCTTAAGAAAATAATTTAGTTTTTAATTTTATATTAAAAAACTATTTTCTCATATTTTTTATAGAAAATATTCCCTGAAAAGTTTTAATATTATTTTGTTCTTATAACTTCTTAGTAAATAGCTTTAAAAAATTATTTATAATTTTTTGTATCATTTACTAAACTTATTATTATAAATATTTATATAATACAAACTTTTAATATTATCTCTTAAATGAAAAATATATAAATTTTTTTTGGTAAATTTACAATTTTCTTAACTTTTTTTTTGTTAAATTGAAAATTTTTTTTTTTTTTTCAAAATTAGCAATTTTTAGTTTTATTATTTATTATGTTTAAAATGATTATGACTTTTATTTTGTATAATTTTATATATTTTTAAATTTATATTATTTTTTTTTAATTTGATACTATTTTAAAAACTATATAAATATATAGCAATGATGATGCCTATCATTACAAATGAATTATTATACTAGTAATGAATATGTTATATAATAAACTAAATAAATTATTAAAAAAATAATATTTATAAAAAATGTTATTAAATTCATATTTATATATAATAAATTTTATTGCTTATCGAATCAAATAACTTCATTTAAAATAGTGATAAATATATTTTTATAATAATAATTATTATATTATTTGTTTTTATAACTACTTTTTTTATAATCATATTTTTATATTGTATTATTTTATTTACGTAATAACTTTTTGAATATTATTATTCATATTTTTCTTTATAATAACCTTAATATATATTATCATACTTTTCATTATATTTAATGCTAGAGCTCAACATTTTGAAAGCCGCGGTTTGCCAGAAGACCACGAGCTCAGACAATTGGCTTATTACTTCGACGTGAATACTTTGCAATCTCGAGGTTGCTATTGGCCTATAAATTTTTTTTATTATTTTTATAAAAGTTTTATGTAATTAGTGTGTTTTTATATATTTTTTTATAATTTTATATTATTTATATTTTTATTTATGAAATATCTTATATTTATGAGTGTTCTTAGTAAAAAATATATTAGAACGGCCATTTTTTTTTAAATTATTTGAAAATTTTTTTTATCATTTAAGAGGATATAATTATTTATTATTATATATTTATATTTATTAAATATATATTTTATTTTTTAAATGTTTTATGACAGTAAAAAACTATTATAGTATAACTTTTTTATTTTTATATTTATAGATCAAATTATTATTTTTTATTTTATATTAAAGTTTTATATTTATTTATTAATTAATATTATTTTTATACTTATTTAAATTTTATGGAACTCAATAAAATATTTGAAAAGCATTTTTAATTTATAAATTTATTAAATAATTATTTTATTTGAATAGATAAGTATAACTATTTTTTTTAATTATATTATTTATTAATAATTATATATAAGCTTGTTTTTCTGGCTATTATTTATAAAAAAAAAATTTATTTATAGTTATTTTTACGAAGTTATAAAAATTAATATAAAATAATAGTAAAAGTTATCTTTTATATAAAAGTATTATAATTATAAAGTTACAATATAATAAAATACTTATTTATTATATATTAATATTTAAATTCTATTTTAACACAAAAAAATAATTTCTTTATTAAAAAATTTATTAAAATATACGAAAATAGAGGTTCAGAATCCTCCAAAACCGAAATTAACCAAAAAGCAAATAGAAATGTTTAAGAAGAACAAGTTAGCAAAGAAGCGAAGAAATTTATTAAATTGGCTTAATAATGATTAAAAGATAAAATATATTATTACTATTTTTTCTCCCTTTTTTCTAAAGTTTTTTGGTTTATGGGATTTGTGGTAAACAAATTACTTTTAGCTAAAACTCTTTTTAAAAACTGAGCAGCTGAGTAACCAAATATATGCAATTCATGACATTTGAAAAGCTTTTTAATAACATAATATAATATTCATAGAACTATTCTGTTAGGAAACTCATTTAGCATATACCTTTTAATAAACCAAAAAGCTTAACTTTCTAAACCTTTTACCGAGTATTACTATCCATTTCGAAAAAGCTACACCCTTTTAGCCAGTCAAAAGTTTCTCTGCTCTAAGCAAAAAACCCGAAGTTAGCTAATATTCATGATACTAAAAGTTTTAACTTTAAAAAATTATCAAAACATCTAGAGAATCTTTAATCGATCGTTGTTATTCAATTTTTATAAGACCACATATTAAGCCATCCGAAAATCGCTCTGCTGTGAGCAAAAAGCTCGAAGTAAGCTATCTTTTACTATACTTTACGCTCCAGACGGATTGTTTAGCCTTTCTTCCACTAGAAACGAATTGCTATACGAGAGGTGACTATTTTTCCGAAACCTTACTCATCGAAGCATTTATTATGCGAAATTGTTAAAGAGAAAACCATTTATCCTATAAACTCGTTTTAAGCATTTTTTTTTTCTCTCTGCCAAGTACACAGTGCGAATACTCAGTCCCACTTCGTAAGTGTATCTCGATAAGATTAGATAAAATTTAATAAGCTTACTTAATAATAGCAAGCTAACTTTATTCAAAAGATACAAATTTTATATAGTTTAACCCAACTGTTAGCACAAAATTATAAAGCATACATTAATTTAAAAAATTTTAAAGTTAATTCGTTTAACTAACTTTGTAATAGCCTTATTAAATTAGTTTGTAAAATAGCTTTTTTTTTTTTTGATTAAAGGCTTAAGTTAAGCGACTATGTGGACTTACCCTATAAACACCTACATGAATACTACGTAGTAGTATTTTAAATTTAAAGTTAAGACTTCACAACTTTATTAAAAACAAACGAACAACAATTATCTGAGATGAAGACCAGTGCTAGCAAACTGTGCGGCTGCCTCTGACTGAGACGGGGCTGCTAGCGACAGTTGAGGTGTTTTTTGTAACGATTTAAAACATTTCAATTTAAACTTGGAGTGTTCATTTGCGAGTATTGTTTCTTCTTTATCGTTCTGCGACGGCGGAAACGTCACAACAGGACATTTTTTCTTTCGGTGTTTCTTGTTTAATATTTTTTGCTGGACTGTGCAAGCTGGGTTATAAACGTAAACATATAACAACGCTGCTGGAATAACAAAAGCTGCGGTCAGCCCTCCAATAATGGGGGAAACAAGCATAGCAAGCACTCCCTTAGTAAAAGTTTTTTTTAGAGAGTCCTCTTTCTTACGGGACTTTTTAACGATGTATATAGGAAGGCCGATGGCGACCGAAGGAATAGCTGCTACGGCCGCCATGGAGATAGCAAGGGGAGCCAAAGTGTATACCCCTGTTTCTATCGCAACTCTTCTTCCTTTATTCCACGGTTTCCTAGAAAAGTACGTGCATCCGGAAAATGTCAAAAAGTGACCGGCTTCCACAATTTCTTTATTACACAACCAACAAAAGTCGCAGCCGCAGTGGCACTTAATGTGATTGCAACCACCATCGTCGATTTTTAAAACCCAAGTACGACAGCGGGGGCATTGCTTGCACTGCTCGGCGTCACGTGCCCGTCGTACGGAAAAATCCAAGGTTTCCTCTTCTGAATCAGACGGAAGAATCAAAGGCACAACTTTTTCTTTGCATTTGCCTTTATGAAACTTTTCACCGCAGCTCGCACAGACGTTCGTTCGGCACTTTTCGCATATGAAATTGGCGGCATCTTCGTGTATAAATACGCAGTAGTCGCAGTCTGGCTGCGGACAACGGCGGCAAGAAGGTTCGAGGGATAAATAATTCTCTAAGCAATTCTTATCGTATCGTTCTACTAAATCGGGTGTATTTAGGAGGGCTATTTCGTGCATTTGGATAAAAGTTTTGCAATCGGGATAAATACAACGTATATTTATGACACGATCGCAAATCTGAGTTCTAGTATACTGCGAAGAGCAGACGCAGCAGGCCATATGCCCGCACGAAAATTTCATAATAGAGGCATCCGGATCACCAATTATAAAGTCAGAAAAACAGACGGGACACACGAAAGATTTCTGTTCTGGATTTTCAGGGGTGTTTATTTTATCGCAGTCGTCCCCACACACGAACTGAGTAGTAGATTCTTCATAAGGCATATTGGACACTTCTTCACTAGAGCTGTTGCTTTCTACCATAACTTCACTGCCTATTCCTTATCTGCTTTATTAAATTAAAAAATAACATTTACTCAAATTAATAATTCTAACTAACGCCTTTAATAAAAATTAAAATAAATTTTCACGTTAAAGCTAACTATAATAGCTAGTTATGACTAGCTAAAACCTTGATAACAATCATAAGCGTTACCAGAGTCAAAAACGATACAACTTTAGGGTTAGGGTCTGGCAGTAGGAGAATTAGCTCTTCCGGAATGACCGCTATTAAAAAAAAATGTACGTATAAAAAAAATACTTTACTTTCAGCACCGACTAAGAAAAAAATAATCAAAAAAAAAAATACTAAAAAAAATCCGTTTATATTAGCTACTTATTATGTGAAAAATAACTCTAATAAAGTTTTTTATAAAGTATCAAATAACTTACCTCATAAATAACTTGAATGACACCTGTACAAAAGGAAGTAGGAAAGTGCTATTAAGCAATACATCGTTAGTATATAATATAAACTAAAGAATAGATTAGCTGCATAAAAGAAGGGAAAAGATATATGCTTAACACCACCAGTAACAAACTAAAAATTGCGTCATTAAATGACTAAACTTAATGAAAAAATTAAGACTACGGTATATCTGAAAACTTAAAAGCTGAGGTCTTAACTTATTCCTTTAAAACGTTCGGTGAAACTTATAAAATAGCTCTTAACCAAAGGAAAGGAAATAGCTAAAAGTAGGCTAGTAAAGTATAACCAAAAAAAAAGGAAGTCGCAAAGTACAAAATAAACACAACCTAGAATTTAAGCAAAAGACCGAAAAGGAAAGCAAGCCTTACCCAAACCAGGTCGAATTAAACTGTTAGTGATTCTATAGGAGCAGTAACGCTTGACAAAAAAAGTAAAACAGTGCGTGAGTTTTTTATGAATGGCTTAAAATCCTATTGCTGTTTTTTCCAAGGCAAACTTAATATATACTTTATATATAACTTAATTAATAACCTACACTAAAAGGTAATTTATAGATAAAATAAGTGCGATGTTTGATGGAAGTTTAAAGGCTTTCTCATCGTCAGCTTTAAAAATTATATTTTAGAAAATCTATTGGACAAATGAAAGTGCCAGTAAATCCAATACAGATAAAATAAAACTTTATAGCACCAATAAAAACACGCTTTTTATAAACAGTTTTCTTATACATTAAAACGAAACTTGGTGCATTTGTAGAGCTCTTTAATGACGAGGTTTCACACTTAACTTTTTCGAAAGATTTTTTATGAAAAACAATTTTATGTAAATTTTTTATTTACATCAATAATCAAATAGCTTTCGGTTATTCCTTGACATCTACATTTATTTTATTTAGCAATTTTAGACTCCTTTTTTGAAACATAATTTTTTTTTTTTGATGACTGACCTTTTTGCTTAGGGTTTATCATAAGTCCGAGTATACTTTAGTAAAGATGAAATATGATTTTTACAATTATGTCTACTAAAATATATATTCTTATAAAAGTTATAGTTACTAAAGTTAAAGTTAAATATTGTTTAATGGTGCAGTATAAATAGAGTATAACATGTGAGAAGTTCTACTCAGATGAGACTCTACAATAAGGGCTAATAGGCCCCCTTGAAGGGACCTGGAATTAAAAATACAGCTAACCAATTTTAAAAAATGCAAAATATTAAAGTTGCTGTTATAACGGTAACAGTTTTCGATATATATATACAAATAATATTTAAAGTAATGATGTGTTCATTTGGCTACTGAAACTGAAATAAATTAGAACTTAAAGGTTTAGAAAATTAAAGATTAAAACTTTTGGTTTTTTGTAGCCGAATTACAAAATTAATCACCTTACAAACTTGGATACTTTTAATACTTAGATACTGAGTTAAATTATAAATCTCTGCTAAGGTAATTATGTGTTCGCATTTAGGGCACCACATAATTTTTCATCCATAATAAAAAGTATAAGTTAGACTTTTCGGAAGATTGCATCTTTTACTTATAAAAGTAGTTATAATTAACAAGCTTGCAAGTGTAATTAAGCGAAAAGGACGCCGTGCTGCTTTAAATTTTAGCTTTGCGTTAAATTTCAAAGGAAGTTAAATTATCTTGAAGGTAATAACCACAAATATAATTCGCCTAATTTTTTTTAATTATTAGCCCTCATATTCAGGGACATGACAAGACCGATTTTTAATACTACAAAATGTTAAGTCAATGGGTGTTTTGTAAAAAAAAGTTTAGATGACAATATAATTTTATCAGGTCTCATATTAAATCGCATAAATTAAGCGGGAGAAAATTAGTTATGTTATAAACGTCTTATACTAAGGTGCCTGTTTTTTTTAAGCTCTCTAATAACGTAAATTTATATAAGTATGCAAAGGTACCCCTGAGATACTTATTTACTAAAGATCTAAAAAGACAAGGACTAGCCAAATTAGAGGGCACATAAATTATATTTTAAGACCAATGCTAGTAACTTCAAGCATTACAAAGCATAATAGAAGGCATAAACTCAAAGTTTGATTTTTTTTAAAAAGACTAAAAATTGTTATTTCTTGACTCGCCTCTTTTAAATATTTACAATACCCCACGAAATAAAAAGGTTTTATGCAAGGAAGATGAAAGTTAAAATTTTTTTTATAATACAAATAGAAATTTAGTATGCAAAAATTCATGGTAGACAACGCCATTGTATTAACATAAAATTAATATATTACTATAAAGAAAAATTAACAGTTATAACTTTTCCCAATGGTAAAGACACTACCACATTATTTTATTTGTAATTTTTACTATCTGTTAATCTTAATGTCGTCAGGCTTTAGTGCTCCAATAGTAATATATAATTTAATTATAGCCAAAAGACTAGTGATCAACAGGTTAAACATGAAAAGCTTCGATGAAAAAGTAATTTTTTTTAGTAGAAAGCCCTAAAACCTTAAAAATAAACTATTTTATGTTACTAGCACTGCACTGTTAGTCACTAAAAACTGTGTTCTACTATAAACGTAATTTTTATATTGGTGGTATCAGGAATGGGTAGCAGCAAGTCCAGTTCGCTATTGTTAGAGGCTATTAAGCTTTAGCAAGATATTTATTAAAAAAAAAAGGTATTATAAACAAAAAAACAGGAAATAACTTGGTACGCCGCAAGTCATACAAATATAATAGAAACTTGAACCACTACTAATATGAGCTTTTTATTAAACTTAAGTATAAATAGAAAAGTTTTATATTTATAAAATAGTCACATCCGATTTTTTGAATAAGTTTTTAGCTATCCATAATAAATAAAAATATATTAGTTTTAACATTAGACCACTTTAATAATTTACAGGGGCATTTTAGCTATAGAAGCTACTAGTAATTAAATTTATAATAATATATTACCTCAGTTAAAAAAATTTATAGAAAACTAAATAAAGTTGCTAGAGTGGTTAAATAAGCTAGATAAACTGCCTTCTAACAAAAGAAAATAAAACACTTGAATATCCTTACAGTTTTCAACACGTATGTTGTAACCTTTAACCCCCTGTATTGCTTTGCTAACTTGAAAAATTACGTAACAAAGTTATTTTACTACTATTTAACTCGGAAGCTAGCTTTTTTCTTTCACTTTGGATGGGAGTATGAGTATAATAAACACAAAAAATGTAAAAAGCTGTAAAAGACGAATAATTTTTAAAATTGTATAGTATTGCCTGTACGCTAAACAAAATCATTTAAGCAGAGAAGTTTTACAAAGACAGGATTTTTTTAAATAATATTTTTGTTTACATTTTAGTTACTGTTATAAACGGTTATTTTACTTTAAACCAAATCTTTAGTAAGTTAGTATCTTCACTTGCTCATTTTCTGTGTAAACAACAAAAAAAATTTTAAAATTTCTATCGAAACTTCATAGCTGCAACCCCTTTTATTTTTTGCTTTCTCCCGAAAATATACTTTTTGCCTGAGTCCTTTGATCCTTAACCAATTAATGTAATTCTAAAAATTAAGTTAACTAAAGCAATAATACATTGTGGTCTGCCTTAAATAAAGTAAATATGTGCTAATTACTAAGTCCTATCAAATTTTCAAGTTGACGGGGCTGTTAAGAATGAGAAGCCTAAACAACTACACTAGCAAATAATTAAATATTAATATCTGTTTAAAAAAATACGCCGGCGCCTACTAAAAGTATGTCTGCAGGGCAATAAATATTAACTAAATAAAAAAGAAAATAAAAAAGTACACATAGCTTTACATAAATGCTTAAATTAAATTATTTTAATTAAATTGCAATAATTAAACTAAACTTGCTTAAAAAAATTTAATTATATATATATCAATCGGCATCGTCATACTTCCCTTCTTCATCAAGGGCATCTAGTTCTATCTGAGAGGTGTCAGGGACTTGAAAAAATGGGTTTATATGGTTTATAATATGCTCTTCTTGCGAAAAGAGAGTGGCGTCTAAAACAAGCAGATATAAATATCGTAATAATTAAAATTATTATAATAGTACTGATAATTAACTAACTTTCTTCTTTAACAGGATGAAGTGGTTGGCAGGCCGAAATAGCCTCAAAAATATTTTGAACTGAAATAATATAACATTAAAAAATAAATTATGAATTCAAAGTTAGTGTTACGAGAATCTTTATTCTCTGGGACAATTATAAGTTCGTGAGTATTATTTTCAGAGTCATCAAAGGTGGAATTAAACTATTATCATTTAAAACTGTAAATATAAGTATAGTCATATATTTATATGTAAATAAATAGCTATAGGGATATATTAAACATATACGAAAAAATAGTTAACTTTAAGATTATATATTATTAATATTAATAGAAGAACAAACATAAAACATATTTTTACTAAAATTTAATAATTCAGGAAATTCTTTTTTTTAATTTATAATATTAACATAAAAAAATTATATTATAGGTAAAAAAAATTATTTAAAAAATATAAATAAAAATCTGGCAGGGGAATAAACCTAATAAAGATAAGCCAATAAAAAAAAAAAGCAATAAAAATAAATTTTTTGCAATAATAAATACTATATTATAATTTAAATTAAATAAAAAAAATTTCCAGATGTCTTGGGAGCTATGCACACAGGCAAACGTACATTTTAAAATTTAATGGAACACGAAGAATAAATATTTTTTTGGTAATTAAGATTTTATTTACGAATTCATAAGTTCCCTCCGAATCTAGTTGGCAGAAAAGACAAGGAGTGGGCATAAACGAAAGATTATCTGAACAAATAGCGTGACACATAATTAAAGGATAATCAAGCTCAAATCCAATTTGAGAACTTTCTGACCACCAGGTGAGAGAACTAAAAAAGATTTCAACAGTTAAAAGCACAAATAAGTTTCAGTAATTCAAAAGTGGTAAAACGAAAGATTTATAAACGATACAAAAATTCACCAAATATTGTTATTCCTATAAAGCAGTTTCTTAATTGGTTTTTAAAAGTAAAGCAGGCAAAACAGGACTATTACAATCAAACAAACAATGAAAACCTCTCTTTCACCATCAAGCATCCGGTCCCTTTTTCTTGATTATTATAGTAAACAGTGGCGTTATCTTCAATATGCCTTATATCTAAAGAATTATAGGAAGGTTTTAAAGAAATACTCTTGCAGAAAAAGCCGCCCATTATAAGAGTCCAAAGAAGAATGCTAAAATAAAAAGAGTAAAAGTTTTAATAATATAAACAAAAGGGCTAAGCAAACATAGCTACACGTGACTTTCAAGTACTACTCTTTTGCTTAAACCTCTATTTATGCTCAAGTCATGCATTTGTCAATTATAATTTCTTGGTACAGTCAGAGTTGCCTTGGAGTATTAGCTACGCTGAGGCGTAATTTACTTTAGTTTTTATATGACTTAGCAAGATGTAGAAAATGTTTAACTTTCCTTTGTTTTATAATTATATAAATTTCAGTGTTTCTTTCTATTATTCTTTTATCCACTTTGATAGAACTTTAGGAAAACTTTAACAAGGAAATTACCTAATTAACAGCTGGGGCTATCATCCTAGCAATTTAATTTTTTTAGTTTATCTTGGTTTCACAGTAGATGATAAGTAATTGTTCACTAGTATATAGAATGAAGGGAAGTGAGTTCCTTCCCTTAAAAACTTTTATTTAGGAACTGGCTACGTAGTAGCGCTAATGATTTTTTTTTGTTTTTAATTAATCGATAAACAGCACTGTATAACCACTTTCTTCACTCGAACTTTAAATGTTTGATGGTTTATACTATATTCACAGTTCTAGTGATGCTAAAGAGGCTTGAACTACCGACTTCTTGTTTCTGCTACTATAAAAAGTGATCTAGCTTAAAGTTTTCATATCTTTTTGAGTAACCCGAAGGGAGCTTTTGTTAAGATAAAAAAGTTTATTTTATACTAGATAAATGATACGAGGTGCGTTACTTTTGGTGAGTTAAAATTGTATTGGGACAATTTCAGGTCAGTAAAGCTTACTACTGCAGAGCAGCTATTGCGCCAGGCACTATGCTTATATGTTGCAGCGAAGCAAACTCAGTGATTTTTATCAAACCAACCGATGCTTTCATACTCAAGTAAATTAGAAAAACTGTCAACTGGGGGAGGGGGGTTCGGATGGTAGATTACGTTCGATCAGAAGTGAATGACGTACATCAGAAAAAATTTGCGATTTACAGCGCTAAATATTTTTTTAACATCTCTTTATTATAAAGATCTCCAAAGTAACCAAAAAGATTTAAAACAAAGCGAGATTTTATAAAATTGCCATCGGAGTAAAGATTTCAATTTGTTATAACAAATAAAGTTAGGGTTCGTCTCCACGCGTCCGCTGAAATGCTTCACATAATTCATTTGCTCTTGTGGGATCAATAAGACCGCAAGCCTTAATAAATATTTAAGCTTTGATTTTAAGTTTACATTATGGAACACAAGTTTTTGTGAACAAATATTTTCAAAGGAAAATATAAAAAGATTACTAACTTAATTATTTAGGTGAGTACGAGTATTCAGAGTTAAAACAAGCATAGTACTTTTTTACGCTTCCGACAAGTATCACAAACTCGTCTTACACTGTTTTTGAATTTTTTTACTAAAACAGCGGTGCCGACAATTTCTTCATCCTTAGCGTTATTATTACCTACTGTCTCTTCTTTGCCTTCCAACGTATGATAAAAATATTGAGGATATACAGGATTTCTTGTAAAAGAAAGTTCTTGAGCTTTGGCTTTTACTTTCTCTCGACAAATCTCTTGGACAATAAAACCTGGAAAATTTATTAGTTAAAGATAGGTAAATTAAAAATACAAACAAAAGCTTAAAACTACCAGCTGCTAGTAAAATGGAAGGCCCCCACATAAGTTCCATATCATACCTACCGTTAGCTAGCATTCTCGAGTGAACACACTGGTTGATAAGCGAAAGTAAATGCTGTAGCTGCAGATATAAGACTCAGTCACTATGTGCAATGTAAAATTAAAATTACAGAGTTTGGTAGCCAGAGATCTTCCGATTTTTTTCGGTAACTTTTTTCTACAAAATAAAAATTACAAAAAAGGGAAAATTAGCTTTAAATATTTATAAAAAAGCGTACGATAACATTTTATCTTTTATAAAGATTTTTACTTGGTCTACATTGAATAGTTTTATGACCGTACTCTCCGCAAATGGAGCAATAATCTAAGTAACGAAAGCGGGATACAAAAACTACCGGATTTTCTCCGACCGAGTCTTCTTTTTCAGGAACTCGAAGCATGTTATATAAACAAAAAGAGTGAAACTTCAGCAGTAGTACCAAACTTGTATGCACTCGTGTTCGCTAAAAGTATTAGCAAGTGGAGGTTTACTTGAAAACAGTGCTTATAAGTTTAAACAATAATTTTTTCATCGCTCACATAACGATAATTCTAGACAGAATCCTTTTATTACATAGCCTGACCACAAAATTTACTTCCCTCTCTTTTTCTTTGCTCTTTGCCCGTATAACAATTTTTTTTCGGATATTCCTATAATTAATGTGGCAAAAAATTATCAAAGCGATTTTTACAACTTGATCGTTTTTGGTAGGAACTATTTTCAGAAACCTAATGAAAATAAATAGCAAGCTCCATGGAAGGGACAAAAGACAGTTGGGCTGGATTAATTTTTAATTTTATAATTAGAATTTTTTTAAAAAAGCAGGGTTATTTATTCATTAGACATTGGCCGACGACTTTAATCGCTAATTTATAAATCGCCAGGCAAATCATTTACGTCTTTTTCAGTTGTTCTATACAGAGATTTTAAATGCCAACAACCTGCGTAAAATAGCCGGTCACGAAGAGCAACGGCTGTATCCTTGTGTTCTAGGCTGAAAAGCTCAGCTGAAAGTCCTAAGATCGCAGTGTCCGACACCCATGTTGAGGAAGTCGGAGGCATATGACGTGCTACGTGCTATATATCGCCTTCCCAAAAGGAATATGCCTTTTAACAGTTATTGAGATGCGGAGAAACTGCCATAGGGCTACATGCCTGTCCTGCTCAAATAGGCAACGAAAAAGAAGCGTTAAAAACATTCCCCCGAACTTATATGTACCAAAGCAAATTTACAGAAGGGAATGAGAAAGTACACCTGTCGTTCCCGGCATTATAGGGAACTTCCGCTTTACTGGTCAACGCTGTTGCCGCCTTCGAGCGTTCAAGCTTGCATACCCGCAACGACGATACGTACAGTTACGTACCGCTCCATGTGGACTTGCCTTTCAATGATACGGCTAAAAAGTCGTTAGAATTCTATGAAGATAATAAGCGTGTGCCAAAAAAAAAAAGAATGAGTGTAAAATAGGCTATCAAGTACATTTTTTTATGAACGAAATAATAATATATAAAAAAGAGTAAAAAATTAGACCAAAAAAAACTGTGAAAGAAATTAGAACAAGAAGGTTAAAGCCAAAACCAAGATTTTATAAAAAGAGACTCAAGACTCGCTTTACTATGAGAAATATAGCAGGGATCGAGGAGTTTTATATCAGGCACAAGAGATCGAGGTAATAACATGTGCCCAGTTGTATCACAAACGCGATTAAGACAAACTGGTGCTAAACCGCCATCATTAGCCCACCAGATAAAGCGGAACACATTAAACGGCTAATGGGATAACTAACTGAACGGTGTCGGAGGTTAGTGAGCACGGTCTCGCTTTCTCTAAAAGTTCGTTAAGCGAGATAGGATTCGCGGATATACACTTAAAGTTAACTCTTTGCTGATCATTTCGCTGCCCAGTGTTCACTAGTTATTTCCTCAAAACTCAGTAACGCTACCTTTGTGCCAAGTTTTATCTCGACTAATACAACTAATTTCCGGAGCTGTCCTACCACAGGAGAAATAATAGCCAAAGCACTATCGAGGCAAAAAGTGTCCCGTTCTGAAAATAATACCAAAATGATGTTAAAACAAATGCCGGAGGTGACTAAGTATCATCTTTATGATGGTCTTCGTTTTTTTACAAGGTGCGATGAAAAATAGCGGTAGTCGTGATGTTACCCAAGGGCCTTTTTTCGGCAGATAGTGAAATAGCTAAAGCAGCCATACTAAATTGTTTAAAGGCGGATATGAACCCGCCAGTCTTCAATTTTAAAAAAGTCTGACCTTCTCGAGTTGAGAAGACTTTAACTGCTCCAGTCTACCAATCCCGTGTGACCTTCGAGACTCAATTTGTAACTAAATGGCCTAGTCTTTTAGGCGCGGAGGGGCGTAGCACCTTGCCGTCGCAGCGGGAGTCCCGCTAGGCTCTCTTCTGCCATTGCCGCTATTGGCGCTCTATATGAGCGACAGGCCTTTGCCAGTCTAACAAAAGTTGTATACGTACTTTATTGTTCGTAACTCAGTGGTTAGTATTGCGCGTAGTCTCAAGGTCTTAGCTACCATTTTCGGTCAATGAATTACGTATACAACTTTTGTTATAGTCAATCCCCTAACCCGGTTCGTTCTTTCCGCGATGATAAGAATTTATTCGTCGTCAAAGATGCCCATTTTGCTAAGTCAGTACCTACAATTTTAGTTCGACGTGCTAGCTAGTTGGTATCGTCTTGAGACTTCTCTATTAACGCAGTAAAGTTCAAGGCTCATCTTATAACAAATAAAGGCATTCGCTGCCATTACCCTTGACTTTGAAAGTGTATAGAAATTCCTAGGACCCTTAAGTGACAGGTTCTAAGAGTCATGGCGCCGCATGTTAATCACATGATCGCTAAGCTTAAGGCAGCGACCCAGACGCTATATCGATTATGCAGCAAATGAAGTTTTTCGTTACGCAATAAGAGAAGGCTGTTGGTGTCGTGCATTCGACCGATTATGATTTATGCATTTGCTGCAGGGTCAAAGGAATTATCAGCAATAGCGACCTCGCTTCAAATGCGACTAAATAAATTGCTGCGCCTTTTAACCAGCCGTGGTTGGTGCGCAATGAAACCCCACTTTTTTACGAACTACAGTTTGTGCAATTGAGTACCATCCTCTAAAATTTGTCGTCGCCTTTTACGAACGCATACTTTGTCTTTCAACGGAAGAACTTACTACCACCATGGAGGGGTACACAAAACCGCCGTCCGCGTGACACACTCATAGCATATCGGTTGGAAGCTAAGTTCGGGGTTTAAGTCCAACGCGAAAAAAACTTAGTTCAAAACAATAATGTAATTTGAGGGTATATGTCATTTCTAACCGAATTTTGGCATCCTTCACCTCATGAACTAGTTATCACAACGCTTAGCTTCTAATAGCGTGCCTTTGTGAAGTAGTAAATTTTATTTTAGTAGACGTTTGGTGCTTACAGGTAATATGGATAACAACACCATGGCAACTTGATGATCTTTCTGGAATTGCAAACATGGATAATTTTCAAACGGAAATAGTGACCGGAAAAAATTCTTACCTCCAAAGACTATGCGAATTCAGTAGTAGTTGTGTTCAAGAATGTTCCTATTTAATTGTAGACAGTGACGATGATAACAGTAGCCCTTCGGAGTGTAAGACTAAAGTTTTGAACTATGAATCTACTATTGATTCTCCTCCCCCTATAACAAAAATTAATAATTATGGCCTAACTCCTGTTCCTAAAAGTAATAATGAAAGTGTTATTACTGTTATGAGCTCGCCACTTTCAAAAGAAAGCCAAAGAAAAAAGAGTACACAAGCTACACTCACCGCTTTTTACAAAGAAAAAAAGAAAACTTTTAAAGATGAAAAGGTGAAGACTATGTTATAAATAAATTTACTACTTGCACTATTTTTTGTCTTTAACCACAGAGTGACGATTTAAAGGTTTTAAACATTATTAACAATAATGAAAAATATTAAAAAGACTTGGCCTACCTTATATCTTTTTTTTTGTTATGACTTTGACAATAGGATTGTATATTCACTTATTGTAAAACTTCTCTTAGCTTTTTCTCAGTTCTATTTTTCTATAAGTTTAAAAAAAAACCTGGCAAAAAAGCGAGTACCTCCGAGGGACTTGCCTCTTTGAGCTGCTTTATAACAACCTGTGCAATAAAAAAGGTTAACTACATAATTTAGTGTTTACTTTGTTTAGGTATACGTTAGATTTCTTTATAAAGAGATCTTTTTTAGTTTAACGAAAACTTACAACTTATATGCTTTCATTGCGTCTAAATCAGTTTACTACAAAATTTGCTGAGTTTGTTTTAAGTAGTATAGTTCTTGCAAACTCCAGTTTAGATAAGGTTTCCCGCTCGCCTAAAGAATTTGGAGGTTTTTTAGCCTAAATTTAAAAATAAGTCGATTAGTACAACTCTGACTTCTTTTCTAATTAATTTACCGGTTATAAAAATTTTTAAGGAAGCTTTGAGTGAACTCATAAATAACCTAAGCGAATTGGGCTGTTTTGCGGTAGTTACAGATGGAAAGGAAATCAGCATTGTGGACTATTATATTACCTGGTTGGTTATTTATATTTATTATTATATTTATACTTGTAGAATTAATGTTGTTGAACAAGGGAAAAGACCTTGACGGATCATAAAGAGGAAAATTCTAAGAATTGCGGTATAAAAAACTTAAGTTTTGATTCTTAATAGTATTGACTTTATTTTTTCTAAAAATTTCTTTCACGTTCTATAAGTTATGTAGTTTATATATAAAGCTCAAGAGCACATTTGTAGTGCCTGTTTGAAATTAATTTATATTGTTTTTATACACTTTTATTATGAACTTAGATATACTAAGCTATAAGTTTATATCGAATTTTAATCTTTTTCGTATATAATAAAGAAGTTGTTGCTGCGGAAACTCCTTCTATCGGTAAAGTTAATCCCAAGGTCATTGAAGATTTTTTAAAAATTAATTTAGTAAACTTGTTTAGATTTTCAGATTTTCACCTGTTCATATAAGCGCGACTTTTATGATTAGATTATTATAGATTTATTTGGATCAAGTACTTTACGTTATGAAGGGCATTAAATTCGTTTCTTTAGTCGAACGGTCCGCTTTTCACGCTTTTTTGAATAGGTTCTATTATTATTTTGCCTTATTGTCCTTCACCTTCCTTTACTATTTATTTAAAAGAATTTACGAAGAAAATGCAGGAAAAAGCATTTCTATAATATTTGAAGGTTTTTCTGATTTCAACTAACGTGAAATATATCTTTTTCTTTGTTTGCTTCATTACCTTAACAGTACGGCAAACTCGCTACCTAATATTGATAGATTCCTAAATGTTTTAAAAATCAAATTTAATTTATAAAGGGATCACCTTAAACTAATTATTACAACTTATAAGGTGCGGATTCAGTTTTTACCAAAACCAGAAAACCAGATGCTGTGGCCCGTACGGTACAGTTTTGCTTTAAATTTAGGTTGCCTTCAATAATTTAATATTAAAAAAAGGATATGTTCTCTTCTGTGGATCCAGCGGAGATCATCAAAAGTACTCTGCTGGATTTGCAGTTTTGCAACGTGCAGTACTGGATAACAAAAGTGCTTGCTTCCGACTACTTACACTTCATTTTGTTTTATTTAATTACTTTGTTTAATTTTTTAAAATTATTATGGAAACGCTTAAAAGATAATTATTTATCATACTTTAAGGATCCGCACGAAACCAATTGCTTTATTGAAGCTTACTGCAGTGTACTGGCACGTGACTCATCAAAGTTACTAGCTACTAGCATAAACCACTCCTTTTACTTTAATAAAAGTTATATAATTTTGAGAGGGATAACAATAGGGATTTGTACAATTTTAGTCGAGGTTACCTTACTTTCTCTCAAAAGTGTTGCTCCCCACTTATACTTAATCTCGTCAGGAATTAGTAAAGCAACGACTTCCCAAGAAATATTTCATAAGCAGCTCTGTACGCTCACCAGCATTAGCGAGAGTACTGTGCAAAACGTTATCTGACTTAGACAAGTACGAGCATTTTTTTTTAACAGGCGTTGCTCGTGCGATTGTAGATCGATTTCAGAGTTACAAACGACTATATCAGGTAAGCAACAGTTTGAATGCAGATTTTTGGGGTCTTCTTACGAAGTATTCCTCCAGGAGTGTAAAATGCTGCCCGATGAGGCGCAAAGAATCTCTTTGATTGCCAACACTAGGGTGCTCTTAAAAAATTGGAAGCAAATTTTAGTTTTATTTATTTTTTTGCAAATAAACAGGTTAAACGGGCCGAAAAGGGGACAGATAGACCAGTGGGAAGATCTGTGGCTGGCAAAATCCACGCTCTTCTTTTTAATTATGACGGGATGTTGAAGTAGCAGCAGCAGTCATAAAAAATACTAGTTGGGTCTATATTGTGCCCTTCATTTTTATTAAGATAACAAGTAATTTGATTTTTTATACCATACTAAGGGAATAATAAAAGCCAAATCTAATTATTTTTTTGTCTATTTAAGCACAATGAAAACTTCCACCAAATTAACGTCACCGCCACAGTAAATATCATTAAAGTTAATAATTATCTAACTGTTATAGCGTCGAAATATAATTACTTATATACATTTTCTAAACCTCTTTTAGTTAAGGGCACCGACGTATAGGTAACTGTACACTATGATATACACATTTACTCATTTACTCTTTTTGAAAGCATATTTCGGTTGGCGCCTAGAAAAGATGAGTTTTTAGTTTCTTATGGCAAGTGAACTCCGCTATTAAAAAAGTAATCACACCTTATACTTGTAAAGGTAGGATGAGGAAGGAAAAAGGGACTTTCAAAGCCAACATGTGCATTCTCACGTGGAATACAACGCAGACAAGCACGTGGTGTGAGAGATTTTTTTTCCGTACCGCAAGAATGAGAAAAGGTAACTTAAAGAGTTGAAAATTGTTTAGATTAGTCGATCTAATATCTTTTTGATACTACCTCAAAGGTATTAAAAATCTTAAGCTGAACCGAAATAAACCAAAAGAGCGGTTAGGTGGATAAACATTTTTTTTATCTCACGAAAATTTTCTAAACAGACTCCAATGCCAAAATGCTTAAAAGGCAAAAATATGCTCTTACGGTAACATTTTTATAAGAACCGCGATTTCATTTTAAAAATTTAAATTAAAGTTTCCATTATAACTATTAAAAATTGTTTAACGTAAAAACCTGAAGCAAATATTATTTCTATTTATTATCATAATTAACAGAGGTCCGTACAATCAAGTTTGCTCGTAAGATCGGGAGTCCATCTCCAAAGTCTAGTTGGACTGTATGAAAAAGTAATGAGTTGAAGAATAACTTTTTGATACAGTACGGGTTATGAAGTAAAACCTGAGCGGATGCCCTCACGCATGGCTTTGAGCGGCACCACTGAAGAGGCTATAAACTCTTCGTTTCCTTAAAAAAATACTGTTATGCTTTGATGGTATCGAAACCATCAGGGGCTAGAGCACACACCGTTTGAGCTGTCTAGTACCATAAATCTCGCCATCCCGCACTCCCATTCGACGAGCGTAAATACAAATGTACCGGTGTTTCTGCAAAAGTACCACATTAAAAGTGGTGTGTATCAAGGTAGTTGCATTGCTAAGCTGAACAACTGATTTAGAATTTACTACTTTATTAAGAAAACCTTTAATAGTCAGAAGTTTTCCGATGTTAGTGTCTACTTTTTAGCAAAACGAATTAAACTGATTATTAAAATTTTACGCGAACAGATAATAATAAAGTATTTTGTGTTAACTTATCAGAAGAATAACTATATTAAAAGCTGATGTGTTTTTATAAAAATGAATATGTGAACACTTAAAATTCATTACGTTGATTGCAATGACAAGAACATGACTAACTTAAAGGTATACTAAAGTTCGTTGTGGCCCATGGAAAACTATTTTCCAGTATGGTCATATGGCGAGCTGTAAAGTAGCTTATTAGTTACCTAAAGACCGGATTAAAGCCATTGGTTGGGCAAACGCCAGTTTTAAAAGAGCGTCGTGGAGTAACTCCAGCAATTTCAAGCTATTTATGATATTAATTTGATGATAATAGTGAAATATAAATGCAGTTGCCTCGATTAGCGGGCTTATGGGTGTCTTTCGGTGGTTCCCCTTTTGTTTGGGTATTCGATTGGCCGAAATAATCTAAGTTTTAAGAGGTTATGTGTACTCTATAACTCATTTATTAAAAGGGAAGTAAAAGTATACTGAGCGCATGCATGATGCGGATTTATAGTGACAACCTTCTACTTCTAGAAGCCCATAAAAAGCGGATTAGAGGGCAACCCAGAACCATACGAATGGAAGATGCATGGTTACAATAACTTTTGTACTATTACTCCAAGTTTGCAAAAAAATGCACAAAAGTTGGCGCATTTGAAACCCCACGCTAAAAATTAGTTTGCCCGCTATAAAAACTGCCTCGTGTGTAGTTTACATTGGCTCTCTGCAGGGGAGGAGTAATAAAAAAAATTGCAAACCTCGATTTCTAAGTAAACTTTCCCGTTCATTGGAGGCGTCGGATGCGTTCTTAAAAAGTCGGGCTTCAAAACATAGCCACATCCTCCATTCATTTTAAACAAACCTACCAAATAATATTAGTTTCTTTACCCAACAATCATTAAATTCTGTTTTAACTTTATCAAAATTGATACAAATTTATATATATGTGAGGCCTCGGAGGAGCTGCATCCCTCTATCACCCGTTTGATAGTTCAAAGCTACAATCTATTATAAAACAGTCGTTAAACAGTTTCCGGGAACATGCGTTACTGACCTGCGCGCCGCAGTTGAAGGCCATGGTTGGGTCGTAGTTGGAGGAACCCACGCGATTGCCGGAAGGGTAGACACGACTCATTTGGCGGATGTTGTACTCAATCCACTGCAGTGGGGCGATTGGTGAAGTGGCAAAATCTTTGAATAGCCAACGCAAAAGTGTTACCTCCTGCTTCTGATTCGCTGCCATATCCGCCGCTTTCGCCTCTGAAAAAGAGGAAATTTCTGTGCACTTTCCTTCCTTTTTACTAATTAAGAAATATAGTGATAACGATGAACAAAAATTGCGCGAAAATTGAGACCTCATGTTAAAATTTTTAAATTTTTTGCTAACAAAATGCGTGACCAGATTGGACAATTCTGGAGCCAAGGCAGGCGGCGGCGGCGGCTTGTCCTGAATAATAAAGTTGAGCAACAGCGTTGAATTTCTTACACTTCTCTGTTGTACTTTAACCTCTTCGTCACTTTCATCCTCAGTTCCGTTGGGTTCAAGCCGTTTCCCCTTGAGAAAAAAAAAGTATAGAAGAATGTCTTCAAGAAGATAGTAAAGTTACTTTGATGAAAATTTTCCCCTTAAAAAATTCCGGCGAAGGTAGTGATAAATATTCGTCTGGGGGGGTACAATAAAGCAAGTCTCCTAATATTCATAGCATTTAGCTGCGCTGGTACCGCAGAGAACAAGAAAATACCGATAATCTCTTTTACGTAAGCCGCCATTTTCAGCTGTTGTTCGTACGAGCAGTGATTCTCGAAAGACAATATAACGGGATATCTGAAAAAAGGAAAAAGAAAGTTCAGCTATTAAAAATGAAGAGCAGACAGTCAACTTACGGAGAAGCAACAAAAGCGTTTTCTTGAATGGCCACAAGAGCTTCTTTAAACAAAATTTTACTGGTCAAAGTATAGCCATGATAAATGATTGGCTCATTATTCGGGCCGTCCCAGCAGTCCACTTATACATAAGCAGGACGGTGTTTATTATTATTATTAAATAATATATAAATAATCTTGAAAATGCGCTAATAATAAAACTTATGCAGGAGCACATATACGTTCGACGCAACGGCAGCCGCTCCGAAGTGCCCTGATGTAGCCTTCCACACTGGATTGACCCCGAAATTGGTTTTCCAGAAGATAACTTTTATGATCAGTACAGTCAAATAAAAAGATACTTAAAGATGCGTTATAGAGTCGACAGTAATAATAATAATAATAATAATAATAATAATAATAATAATAATAATAATAATAATAATAATAATAATAATAATCGGTAACGTGTTGTGAGAGGAAGCGATATAATAAGAGCTCAATGGTTGATCCATATCTTGATAAAATTCCCTCATGGCCGGGCTATATAAAGAGTTCTCTTCGCTTTCAAGAAAGGCGCGGAAGGTCAAAAGCTGCAACAGCCAGGAAAATAGTAAAATTTCTTGAACGGCAGAGTAAATATTGTGACACTACGTTGAAGGAGTCGGAGGCAAACACGACAGGATAGCGAGAGTGAAGGTATAGATCGCCTTCAAAGTTAGGAATCAATTTAGAACGACACAGACACCGAATAATACAGTAGTTAACTTATTTTGTTAAAGTACTCGCACCATTCTGCTACTTTCGTAGCAGAAATATTTTCGTTCTGAACAGTCCTCATAAAGTTTTGAAATTGCTCCAAAGGCATTAATGACTCTAACAAGAGCTGTGTAAAAACAGGAGAGGAAGGGAATGGAGCCGCCAAAGACCTCTTTTTTCCACGTGTTCCAAGTAAATAGTGTCGATCTCGTTATATTCCTCGAGCTTTGAAAACATATCCAGAAATTCAAAGAAGTCCATATCGTTTCGCGGGTTGCCTTTTGCTTGCACCGACTAGTAACCACAAAGAGTTACTCATGGATAAAAATAGGAGAAAACAGGAAAAGAACATAAAAAAGCTTGCAAAGTTCTTCGTTATTGAGGCGAAGGCTCAAATGATATAGCAGTTTCCGAACTTCACCGACTTGTAAGTGTCCAGAGTAATCCAAATCAAACTTGTGCCACAAATAAGCCAACCATCTTGCTCGGCATAAATATGTTAAAAAAACACAAGAAATACTCCCTGCTACGCACGTGGAAGCTTCCATTTTTGGTTTGTTTTCCCTCCAATAGCGCAATAGGCAACTTATGGCCTTCATGCAGGTGTCCCTCTCGCCAGGTTTTCTAAAACAGATGACTCGCCGCTTGTACTTCCCTCCGTAGATCATAACAAAGGATTGAAATTTGAGGTGGTCGTCTTTTTTTGCGCGTAGTTCTCTTATTTCATTAGGAAGAACTATATGTACAGAAAAAGTTAAAACAAAAAGTTGATATCAGATTTGTATAGAGAAGAACCTTTATCGAGAAAAAGAAAAAAATAAACAAAGAAAAACTATTCATAAACATACAAAGTGTGTATTTGTTATAATTGCGTTCGGATCGAAGCCTCACAATAGATCTTTCAGAGGTACAATTCAATACTTTACTTTGGAATTTCACAACCACTTGGAAACCAATCGTCAAGGCTGCCAGGTAGTCCCCGTCTTATAAAAAAAGAGAATATTTATTATTGGTAGTTATTAGTTTATAGAAAAGACAAGCGTTTACTTCACACTTCTAAGAGTCGATGTATGAAGTGTAAAAAATTTTAATAGTTGCTATGAAATATTTTTATAAGCAAGAAAAAAAGAACTATGCTTTAGATAGAACGAAAAAAAAAATTAAAAAAAAATTCGTGATAAATACAAAATCTTTTTCTAACTTATAACTAGTATTACTAAAGAATCATTAACTTTAACTATAATCTCGACGTTGAAAGCAATCCGCAAAGAATTCTAATATAAAAAGTAGTTTTGCGACTAGAATGACAAAATGCAAATCTATTTAATCCTGAAGACGCTCCAAGAAAACCGCTGGCACGTTAAAATTTTATAAGAATACCACCTTCTTCTAAAAAAGTGCTCTTCTCCGTTAATATTGCATTGAAAATTACTTCTCCTCCATTGTCCAATTCCATAACGACATCTAGTGTTCAAAAAAAAAAGTAATTATATAAAGTTAAGTTTAAATAGAGCAGATTTTAAAAGGTTAGTTATGTACTTTAAGTAATAACTTGAAGGCTTCAATAAAGAAAAAAGTAAGTAATTTTTTTTTCTTAGTATAACTGCAAAACCTTTCTGTTTACGTTTCTCAGGAGGAAAAGGCACAATTACTTGTCCAATTTTCTCATTAATAAATGCACGTTTCTCTTTAATCTTAACTTTAATCTTTATAGAAAAAACCCTTAAAAGATATCTTATTTATATAAGTAGAGAATAAAAAATACTTCATGATCGCGCCCTTCAAGCACAATCACACTATAAACATATAAAAAGTGAGTATCTTTTCTTTATAGAATAGCAGTTGTCTTAAAGTGCATAAATAAGAAATAAATGTCTTTTTTTATTATTAAGAAAACTCTCAACTAGTATGTTCTATAGCTAGTAAACCAGGCATGATTCCACACAGGTTCTTTAGTATCTTTTCTAATGGATGATTTTCCTTTTCTTTTCCCGTCCACGTATATTGCGCAGTAAGAGTCACAACTTTCGTGTAATTTTCCCTAAAATCAGCTTATGTGAATTACAAACTTTATAATAAAAAATATAGGGGAGTATATAAAACAAATTTTTAAAAACAAAAATGGCTAACCTTAATCACCTGAAGCTCATAAAGGTACATCATTTTATACACAACTTGAACATTCCCTTTAACCTTTTTTACTTTTCCTTTTTATTCCTATCACTCACAATGACGGAGTAGTCAAAGTGTCTACTTTTATACAGCTTTACAATATATTTAAAAACAACTTTCAGGCAGGCTCCTTAATTTTTTTTTAACCCAATTGTTTAAGGTCGAGGTCTACTTATCGAGAAAGTGGTTAGATTTTTACATAACAAGCCTAATAAAAAAAATACATTTTTTTCAAACCAATTGTTTATGTATTAAGCCCATTCAGACATGATCGTTTCAAACTGTTTAATAAAATATTATCATGACGAAGTATAGGTAAAAAGTTTTTTATTCTTTTTGCTTGCAAGATCTCCTTGCCCTTTTTAGTGTCTTTTGTTATAGATTTGCTAAATATAGATCTGTGAAAAGTTATAGAAAGAGGATGACTTAACAAAACCTAAAAAATGCTTTCGAGGATTCTCACAGATACATAAGTGGACTACTACGGAAGCATGAAACCTAATGGTCTAGAGAGGAACGGTAAGAATATTAATGGTAATTGCTTGTCAGTACAAATTAACTCAGCTTTAACTTGATTTTGAAAACTCATATATACATGCTAATGTGGACGTGAAGTTATTAGTAATTTACCCGAAATTTTTTATTTAATCTATGAAGGCTATTTGAATGGAAAGTGTTTATCGTTAAACAAGGCAATGTACGGGGCGAAGCAAGCGCGGCTTTTTTGATACAAATTAGTAACTAATAATTTATAGAATTAGTTTTTAAACAATTTCTACTAGAGCCCTGCGTGTTTTACTCTATAGAAAATTACTTTTAGTGCATAATTGCATTATACGTAGATGAATTAAGAATGCCAACCGATGTTGTAAATAAAGTAAGGACAATGCCCGCTTCAATAGACTTTAATTAAAAGGAAGTAGCAGACAACAATTTTATAGGCCTTAAAGTATTTTGAAGACAACAATTACAAAACTTTTTGCCAAAAAGAACTTATTAAAAAGCTGCTCCAAAGATATGACTTAGAACAAGCAAAGGGTTCGGAATACCCAAAGTGCAATAATGAATATAACTTATGAAACCCCGTTCAACAAAGTTAGAGGCTCTTTACAATACGGTACTCGGCCTGACATTACCTTGGCGGTAAACAAGTTATCCCAGCATTAAAAATCCCATGGTTTTAAACTTCGACCAGCCAATAAACAAATATCATGTATAAATGGAACGGAGACCCTGAAATTCCAAGAGGAGTGGCAACCTCAATTAAAGATAGAAATTTTAAATGACGCGAGTTTTGCTCTCGAATATGAAATGAAAAGCAGACCAGGTATAATTATATTAAATAATAAATCCCCTATATTATGGGAATCAAAGGGGCATCCCCCTCAAAAGCCGCGTACATTGCATTGGCAACCTGCACACGATATGTTAAACAGCTTCAAGTCCTAACAAAGGAACTGGGTTTTACTCAAAATTGTTTAACTATATACAGTGATATTAAATCCGCAATTAATATTACGTCGAAATGTGCAGGCGGAAAACTCTCCAGACATGTCAACTTAAAATACCACTATGTAAATAGGTTTTTGCTGAAGGGCACATATATCTAAAATACTATCGCAGAAACGAGCTGCTAACCGACTTGTTTTCAAAAGTGCTTGCGGGAAAATAATTAAAAATTTAAAGAAAACATTTTTTTTTAAGCGTTGACAATTATGAAGGGCTTGGAAAAGATGTTAAGAAAAAGTCCCTAGATCATAATTATTGATGCTAATTCCCATAATTGTAGAATATTTATGTTATAATTACTTTTTTTTGTATTTAAAAGTAATATTTTTTGCATTAAAGTTGGGTTCCTTCTGGTGAAGATCCCTAGCCTATGTCGCTGATATACTAGCTGTAAACGAAAAGCTTCAAAAAGATTTAAAAGTAGCGCTAAGTAGAATTAAGGAGCTAAAATCTGTTCAATTTAAGATGTAAGCAAAAACAATCCAAAGGCTATATCTCTTGCAAACCTGAACCTCTACTCATTGCCTGCTCAAATTCTTTTTTTGGCCGACCTTTACAAGACGAAAGCACTGACATAAATTAATTTCTGCATTTATTGAGTGATATAACTACTCAAAACTCACGAAATACTCAGTTTTCCAATAGGCAACGCCCCACGAAGCAGAAAACACAACCTATCAACCGCGAAAAAGTTCTTGGTAACAGAAAATACTCCACCCATGGTATTCGTGGGAAACAACGGTGGCAGATGTAGTTTCTCTAGTGCGTGAAAGGGACGTGACCAGTTTTTCATCTAAAAATATTCCTAACGCTATTAGAGTATTGCTGTCTTCCTCTGATGATTTCGGCTGACCAAAAGATTATTAATTAGAAAGTAATTACGAGTTTAGGGTTATCGGCTTCCTGAGGATAGACCTTTGAAAGTGTACTGAAAGGAATTTTCCCGAACTTGACTGTAGCGCATTTGAAGAAGATTTACGCATTCAAGGTTTTCACTCACTAAAGATTGTTCTTATGAATAGTTATAGGAAAGAACGAAACGCTTTTCCTTTAGTGCTTATTCATTTGTCAGAATCAGAGGTCTCGATATACAAAATAACTACAGTACATATCTTTTAATTCGGTTGAAGGGCTAAAGAATTTTAACGTAATTGACCAATACCGCCGTTGTCAATTTTTAGGTCATTATTCTACCATTTGTACCTCTGCCTTTAAATGCGTCAAATGTGGAAGCAACCATGAAACTGGCAGCTGCACGAAGACACCAGATGCCCCTCCGAAATGCGCCAGCTGTCAAGGCGAGCACACCGCTATCTATCGAAGTCGCCCTTATGCGCAAACATTTCAACAAATCGCACAACAGAGCCATGATCCCAGATAATTAATTGTACCCCTCCAAGAATTTTTACATTGAAGAGAACTTTCTCAGAAAAAAGTAACTCAACCAGTGAACAAGAAGAGCTACACATACGCCGCTAACATGAAGTCAAAGTAAAAAGACTAATAACTTAACTTAATTAATATACGAACTACCCATTTAAGCAATGGCAAGAATATTAAACGAGCTTCTTTATTCTGTATTATACCACTCATCGTCAGCTTTAATATGTCGCATGTTATTTTGAAACGCGGAAGGTCTTTTGCACAAAAGAGAAGAATTTCAACACTTTCTTAATAGTCAATTGCCTTAATAAGTGAGACGACTCATCCGAAATCAGGACATCTTATAAATTATCCCAATTACTTGCTTTACCGGTATTACAGAACCTATTCGAGAAAAAGGGGGTAGTCATTATTATTAAAAGGTAGATAGCTCACTCGTTATACCGCTTGCCAATTTAAAATTTATTAGACAGTAGCTATCAAGGCCAATCTTTATGGCCGAGGGAACGTAGTTCCCGTCCTCGCGAAGCTGTAATTCTTTGCGGGGATTTGAACTGCAAAGATCCTTCTTGGAATAGTAAAGTGGGAAATCCTAATGGAATTGAACTCTAAAACTACGCTGCAAAAGGGATTTCCTTGTTCCCGTTTCTTTAGAACCAACACACACATCTCCAAAAGGGATCTCAGGTGTACTTGACATCCTCAGTACAAAAAACATACGAATTTGACCCAAACTTAACCACGCTAGTGGATTCCCCACTTCCCCCTGCCTTGTAAAATTGGCCTCAAGAATTTAGCCCTTTGATTTACATATACGAAGGTATACGGACTGGAATAAATTTAAAGAAGAAATTAAGGAAACCATCGAGGATAATCCAATTACTTTGACTTCATCTGTTATCTTCAATGATTTGGTAACCCGCTATGAGATTACAATTATTCAAGCACATAGAACGGCTTATGTTACAGTAACGCCCAAAGCACGCTTGCCTGAGGAAATTGAATTTCTTCTCAACGTAAGAGGGTGACAAAAACGTAAATAAGTAACCTCCAGAGATCTCGAAGATAAACGAATTCTTAACAAACTTGACAAAAAAGTCAAAAAAAATATCTTGTAAATTCGCGCAATGAAACTTGGGGAATTGAAACTTGCCCAGCTTGAAAAATCGAGAAACCCTACATTCCACTAGCGATTTGTTAAATCCATAAGAAATCACCAGAAAACCTCATCCTTCGCTCCATAGACAGAGAACGATTATACTTATGACGACGACGACAAAGTTAAGGCGGATGTGTTTGTGCGATGTTTATTTAGTCACTGCCTATTTACAAAAAAATCAGTAGCCCCTAAGACCGAAAATAGCGCTACTCGAAGTAACAAACCTAGAAATATAACTTGCGAGTATTCCGGTACGAAGGAAGTGAGATCAATTAAAACCTTCTGCGACTAAGAAAGCGCCAGGTCCCCACGGCGTAATCAACGGCATGCTTAGACACTCGCCCGACACAACAATAACGGCCTTAGTTTCACTTATTAACTTTTCTTTTAAACATGTACATTTCCTGAACGATGGAAAATGGCAGCAGTCGTATGCATTCCTAAATTATAGTGGCCTTCTGTGTATACTAAAGACTGCCGTCCTAAAAGTATTTTGTCATGTATTTGCAAAATAGCTTAAGCTTTAATACTTAAACGATTGCGAAAGTCTGTGGGGAGTATCGGTTGTATACCAGAGTTTCAGTTTGGATTTCGAAGGCCTCTACTACGCAGCAGCTTTTGCGCATCTCCGAACAGGTCACAAAGGGTGTAATAACAATGTCTATATGTGCATTAGTTTTAGATATCGAAAAGGCATTCGACAGGATATGGCACGATAGGCTTTTAATGAAACTATCTATCCTGAAGGTACTAGATTCTCTTCTTTCGTTTACCCAGTCTTTGCTGCACCAAAGAACACTTTATGTCAGTGGGAGAAGCTAGCTCATCTTTAAATGAACTGGCTATGGGAGTCCCACAAGACTCTGCTCTCTCCCATCTTATTTGCTTTAGATATGTCGAACATACCCAGACCTGAGAATACCTTCACTTTTTTGTCACAGTTTGCGACGATACGACTTTCTATGCCTGCTCTAAATTGCCCTCTCTAGTTTAAAAACACCTTCAAAAGTATATTTCCGCACTTGAGGTATGGTTTGATAAGTGACGAAATACAGTTTACCCCCTTAAGAGCAAAGCTACATTTGTATCGAGAGGAGACATAAAACTACAGCATCTACTATAACGCGTTACGGCCAAGCCATCCCTTGGCGTACGGAAGTAAAGTACTTGGGTGTTTGGATCTACAGACATTCTCGTGCGCTCTCACGTTTACCTCATCCACAAACCACTCTTAACAATTAAAGAACTTTATCTCCTCTTTTGTAAATAGAGTTCTTTCTCAATAAGCAACAAACTTAAGCTTTATTTGCAAATTATTCGGCCGACTTTGGCTTAGGCAGACGTAGGGTGGTCATAGGGCAGTCAATTAAACATAAAGCGACTTCAAGCGGTTTAAATCGATTGTTTCGAATAATCAAAGGTACCCCATGCTCTGACTTGAAGTTGGACACGCTTCCTCAACATTTTGGTCGCGTTACTGTGGAGAGCAATGATAAATATTTAGCTTATCCTAACAATTTATTTTTGGAGACATAACCTTTGATGCGGGTGCTAACACTCGTTATAGGAGACCACGTCACCTTCTTATTATTCCAAAGGCCTCCCGACGTAGAGAACTTCTTTTCTAATTTGTAAATCAGATTAAGCAATATTTTAGGCCTCTCCTAATCTTGATCTGGCTGTAGTATGTCAACTTTATAAATAAATAAATAAAATAAAGTGGGCCGCGTTCATTTTTTGTTCGCATTCTTGCTTATGGCCTTACGTGTGTACTACGTGTAAACCTGCAATCTTTAAAAGAACCTTGAAGGTTTAAAAAAGGCATTTTACATTAAATTTATTCAATGACGGGAAAAAAAAAAGGGAAGAACAACCATTTTATTGACCTATAGAGGAAGGGTATTTACTCCTTCAGGGAAGATTTACCAAAATGGGAAAAAAAAATCTAACTGCAAGTTATGACACGTGGTATCCAACAGACTAACATGCGGTAGAGCACGTGATTTATCAGAGTTAACTAACATTCTTTGCGATGTAAGATTGTCCCTCCCTCTCCGATGCTCTGTTCCGTCAATTTTATTTTCTCCTTCACGTTAAACTAAATAAAATTATATATACATATTATTAATCTTATCGCATTCCAACTTCCATAGTTATAACGTTAAAGTTCATTATATCAGGTGATCACTGAATACAAGGCTCTAGCACTTTTAAAGCAGATAGAAATGGCTACTAGTTAATACTTCCAGATTACGAACTCCCATTTAAAAGGGGAATTATTTTTATTGTAACTGTAAGTGATTTTCTTAATGCTCGACCATTACAGACCCTAATAAACGTTTTTAATATAAGTTCTTTCTCTGTGTAGGTAATACTATCTAACAGTTGAAAGATAAGCAACTTCTCCAAGCGAACAGAACAAGGGCACCAGAAATAGGTAATAAAAGGTTGATTTTCTTTTTTTTTTTACTGGCATACCACGGTCTGTCTTCGTAAGAAACCTTAAGCCTCTCAACCTGAATTTTCCCTCTCTGTAGGGGATAAGGCAAGAAAACTCCCAGTATACGCTCCTTATAGAGTTATAATCTGTCTCGAATGACTAGAAAAGCGGTAGATATTTGGCCCGTATTTCCACCATTTGGTCTAGTGTAGTGGAAAACCGCTAAAACCGCTACCAGCAGAGACAATCAGAAATTTTGTTTGTAGGGAAGTTATGCACGTAACCAGCAGACCAGAATCTCATGTGAGTTGGCACCGACGGGAATCGAACCCGCGACCTTGAGATTGCGCAACGATACTCCAGTCACTGAGATGCGGTGGTAACTCACACTTTCGGTTGGTAAATTACGTAGGCAACTTTTGTTAGAGTCAGCCTTAGGCAGGTACCCTGAGGCAACACCGGCCTTGAGCCCCTCACCTAGAAAGGAGGAGAATCTCCTCTGAGTTGATAATTGTTAAAACAAACATGTTGTATATATAAAAATAAAAGTTTTTAGACCTATAGTTGATAGAGGATAAAGAGTTTTAGACCTTAAAACTCATTCGCCATAATTATTAATTACAATCAATTTGCGGTAAGACTCCTTTATTGCAACTTTTCGAACTCTCACTCAATAGTTGTACATTGCTTAAAGGGAGGAAGCACAGTATGCGCTAGTCCAGAGTGATCGCTCAGTGGAGTATTAACTACGCTACTAGTGATCTAGTGAGATCGGACGAACTGAAGTGCTGTCTTTTAAATGAGCTATCTTCTGTTCCCGTCGGTTACAATGTTATTTGAAGATAAAAAGCGCGATTATGTGAGATTGAAATAGCAAATATGTTATAAAGAATGTAAAGTAAAGACGAAAAGGAGGGTCGTACAGTTAGGTAACAACGAGCGAAGGACTAGATGGTAAGGAAGGAATTGAAACAAGTTTACCAAGATCATAGAAATAGAGTTAATAAAAAGATTGTTGACAAGAAAAGGAGCTAAGATCGCAGAACAACAACAGAGAAAATCAGAACTTAAAATACTTGAAGATAGCGCTTATATAACGAATATAGCAAGCTTCGTTTCGGCTGAGAAAAAATAGTTAATTGCGTTCTCATAATAGGAAAGTGGAGTGATATTTTAAATTAATTGAGATTTATTTTTCAAAATAGTCTCCATTTAGCTCGATGCACTTTTTCCAACGATGTTCAGAGGCCGTTGTACCAGATCGATAAATCGAGTTGGCTAGGTCCTCAAAATAGTCTTCGTCGATGACTTCGTAATCGTTCGCAAATCCCTTTACATTAAGCCACTCTTGAGATTTGAAAAAAGATGGAAGTCGCACGGGGCTAAATCTGGTGAGTTTGTTGGGCCGCGAAGCAATTAAAACTTTAATTATTGGATTTTAGCCATTACAATGAGTCTCGTGAGAACTAATGCATTTGTTTTAATGAAACAGTAAGATCTTTTTGTCTATGATTTCTACATTAAGTTAGCGTAATACTCCCCATTAGCCGTTTTATATTTGAAGATAATTAGTAAAAATTATACCATGTCCATTTCTAAAAACAGTCTCCATAACCTTGTTAGATGATACAACTATCTTTACTTTCTTTAAACGGGTTCTTCTTTTGCGGTCCACTGTTTTGAATTAATGTTTGGTCTCTCAGGAGTATAGTGACAGGTGCATGCCTCATCAATAGTAATAAGTCGACTTAAAAATTTAATCAAATAGCGTTTATAGAGTGTTAACATTCGGTTAAAAATTATTTTTGGTCAGGTATCAGCAAACGCGGCGCCCATTCCTGCGCAAAGCTTTTTCTTAATTAATTGTTCGTGTAAAATATTACTTACTCGTTTCTTTGAAGTGCTTACGGTCTCCGCTTTGTTCTCACTTTTACCTTGCTGTCGCTCAAAACAATTTCTGTGGACTTGTACTATCATCTCTGGCTTAGCCGCTTCCATGGGTCGTCCCTGCGTGTTTGGTCACGAGTACCTGTCCAACCCATTTTAAATTCAGCAACCCGGCTTGTAAACTTCGTATTTGAAGGAGAAGGATCGCCTAGCAATTAATTTAGCTCCTTTTTCATTTCGGTTAAGTTAGGCCTTTCAAAAAAATTATATATAACTAACTCACGAATTTCAGATTTTTCCATTGTTTTGAAATTGCTTAAGGCGTTTTATTTTGCCGAACTGCTGTCAAGCCAATAAACGACATATTGACTTGAAATATCTAAGGTAACCCGATGAAGGATAAAATTAATGAATATCTACAAATATGTTGAGTATAATGGCTCCGTATATATATGAGAATCGGAATACACTACTCTACCCTCGTAATTAAATAAGATTAATATATTAATAGACACTTGATGGCATCAACGATATCTCAACCATCAGATTATAATATTACATTTTAACAAGTTAATCTGGTATGGTGTAAGACAGCGCTAGACTAAAAGAACTTATTTCACTGCCATAATCCTACCCACCTCCCTCGGCATTTTTATTTTTTATCACCGGCATACTACCTCGCACTCACTGTGTATTATTAGTTCACGCGGTTGGGGGGCTCGAGTGTTATGGGTAGGGAGACATATCAGGCTATAACTTCCACCTTTTCGTCCAGGATGGTGAAAACACTCTGAAAACCACCATCAGTGGATACGGCGGGGTGCTAGGACCAGTTTCAGTGGCACGTGACAGGTTATATATTTATGAAATATTATTACAAACTCACAATTATTTATAGTCACACTATCGTAGACTGACTAGTTTATATATCCTCTCAATGCCAAGATTCGCTGAAGTTTTCTCTCTTTGTTCACAATATAACATCCCTGTAAATTTCAAGCTCTCAGATAATGACTCGGTACACCCTAATCCCTTATAAGGTTGATAGCTTCTACTATACTTTTATCAATATTTATATAATTATTTAGTTATTTATTAATAATTTAAATAAAGTAAACTTTAACAATTATTTTCTAAAATTAGTCGCATTTAATGAAGGCCCCTCTCCCACCCCCCCAACTTTTTCTCATATATATTAAATAATTATTAATACTGTTTAACCGTCAACTTTTTTTAAGGGGCATACTTGTGGACATCTATATTCTTTATTACCTTTTAAAAGGATATTAAAAAACGATATACAAAAAAAGTAAGAAAGTTTTTAAGGCAAGGAAGAGAGCAAAAACTATATGCATACTAACTTTGTGCTTAGGAGGAAGGTTTAGCTCTCCTTCGTCTCTACTGTTTGGGGTCCCCTTGCTAAAACGACTCTATCTTTGCTGAGCTGTCGGAGAGAAGCAATAATTAGAAAAAGCTTTAAAGCGTTGTGCTCAAAGCTTTTTGAAGGTAATGCCATTCAGTTAGCTAAGGAGCCTAAAGCTTAGGGTAAACCTGCATAAGTAAAGGCAGGTGTGTGTAAAATCCAAAACCTATTTCTGGCGTCTGCGTCTTTTAAATTGAAGAGGTAGTTTAAAGAGTTGGGATGTTCCCTGCATTTTTTTATAGCATTTGGAGAAGGCCATTTTCCTCTGTGCGCAGCTTTGAAGACCCCAGAGTTACGGTTGTCGCAATTATCCTTTAAATTTTCCTTTGGAAGATTTGCAATTTGTTAGTGACACCTTTACTAATAAGAAATTGGAAATCTTTATTAGTTTGCTATACTGGACTAGATAAAACTGTTACAACAAAAACATTTAAAGATAGAATGGTGTTCGCATTAAACTGCTCATCTTTCTATTTTTATTTCCGAACTGCAAGTAGAACATATCCACAACCACCCAAAAAAAAAAATCTTAAAACTTGAATATATATTAAACGCTCAGCTCTTTTTGTATTATATACATAGATAGACCTACAATATATAAAGAACACCTTTGAATTAGTAGGCTATATTATAAAAATAAACTTACTTAGATGCAGCTTTAGCGGTGATGCGTTAAAAGTATTATTTGAATATCACCCTTGCGATATCCTTATATAAGAGGAAAGAACAATAAGCCAATATTATGTATAAAACTATAACTTTGGTAGACCATCTTTTACGCCACCTTGTAAAAGGTCAAAAAACCAATATTAAGGTATGGAGCCCCTAAGTATAGAAAGATAGTTCACTTAAAAAAAAAATTGTATAGGCAAATATTATTTTAAAAAACCATTTTCTCCTTAAAGTAGAATGCCCCTCACGAGACAAAATATAGTTATCGTTATAGGTAAATTATATAGCAAATATGTAACTTTAAAAGACCAAACTCTTGTTAGGAAGCCAATCTTTAAATTTTAACACAAATTGCCATTATAGGCAATTCTTATGTTTTCAGAGAGATTCGTTTTATCCCTTGTTTTAGTACATGAGAATATCTATTTACAATAAAATGAGTTGTTGCGATTAAATTTCTTGTCTGCGCTTTTTTCGGTTACTTCCGTGTGTGCTTGTGCTTTATATACATATATCTATACGCAGTTAATATAAAATACATAAAGGTTTCAGTACCAGCGTTTAAAGGTTTTATACCCCAACAATTAAGTCTGTAAGTGCAATTTAGGTCCAAGTGTAGAGTGTTTTAATAATTTAATGTAAACAGTTTCTAAATAAGTTGTTAACGCTTCATACATCAAGGGACACGTATTGAAATAATAGTATTAATACTTTTGTGATGGAGCAACAGTAAAATAGAGCTGATGCAAGCTTGTCAGCTAGAATTTAATAGCGCTTAAGGGACGAAAGTTAATGTAGACAATTTAGTCAATAATCGTGGATAGAGTATATAACAAGCTGGTACTTTATAAAGACTAAATAATATAGGACAGAGATAATTAAAAAATTACTCGTGGGCCAAAAAATATATAAACTTAATAGGTGTTAAGAAGAAGGAAGATAAATATACGCATGAACGATATAAAGGTTGGGCTGCAAAGCAAAAACCGGAAGGGATGTCGATATAAAAGCTTTATCAACTACAAATATTTCTAATTAACTAAATACTTACTAATAACTAGATTATATAATTGATTATTAGGAAGAGCAACATATAGGTGGTCAATATATATTATGTACTATACCTATAGATTAAAATTTGTAACAGTACTCAATAGGTATAACACGAACCAATCCAAACCCATAAACTGGGGCCCAAAGCCGAAAAAAAAATACAGACGAGGCGACACTCAAAGCAAAGAGAAAAGAACTTATTTTTATATTTTTATTTATTTAAAGCACTAACTTGCTACATGCGTGATTTATAATCAATTGCTGCTTAATCTGCTTTCCCTAGCGATTCATTGCGCCATCAACGAAAAAAAAAACGAATGCGTTTCTCATCACAGCTAAATAGTATAAGTTAATAAAGAAGTAATGACAAAGTATTAACAATATTACATTTAATAAAATAGTTAAGTATAATACCATTATATTATTAAAAAATAATTATATATATTAATAAGTTAATAAAATTAACTTTAATAGCCATATTCCCCTTCTAATAGACCTAAGAAATGCTTTGGCAGCGAGTGCTTGGTGTACCTATCGAGAGTAATAATCAAGGTCCTGCCTAATTGGTATGTTGCCCTGCCAGTTGTGCTAACTACGGTGAAGCGCACACTGTCAATTATCGTTCCTGCAAACATTATCCGCGAAGGCCTACAAAATTTAATCAAACTGCTTTACCAAAACCTTGACAGACCCCCATAATATATACCCCGGCAATCTCTTATTATGCTTGCTTGGCCACAAAGACAACTCCTCAGACAACTCCTTTCAATTTTGAGGACAAACCTGCCAACAATATTAGAGACGGTAAAGGTCTGGAATTCGTTTGCAATGGTTTTAGATCACAAGCGCTTCGTTATATTCGTCTTCTTTTCTAGAACGCAGATGGCGTTTAACACAGGAAACAATAATTGCAGGGATTGATGCAACGCGAAAGAATTGGTGGTGGTAATAGTGAAAGTCAACTTCTTCCCAACTTTCCAGTCAACCTCTGCAATTTTTCGACGTATCGCCAGGATCGCATTGATAGGGGCGGTGGAAACGCAGCTAGTTTGGTCAGGCGTAACATTCAACACAGTGTGATACCTTTACCAGCCCTGCAAAGCGCTAAGGCGGTCGGAGCTTCCCTCCACTTAACCAGCCTGGGATCTCTGTCGTTAACTGCAGCTTACGAGAGCCCCCCAGCATGCCACTTAACACCTCAAAGTTTAATGCCTTTTTTATAACTTGTTCCTCAGTTATTGTAAGTGGGGACCTTAACTTTAAAGCAACCGCCTAAAACAGCCTTATTGTCGATAAACCCTAACGGCCGAATCCTCGGATCTTACAAAGACGAGCGCGGACTGCGCGACTTAGAGTCACAGTACCCAACGCACATATCGAAGACAGGGATATCAAACGTATTAGATATTGCCGTTTCGAAAAAATATTTATAATTCAGTGGCAGCTGAAGCTCTTTACAAACTCTCGTAGTATTATCTACCCCCTGCTTGATTGCGCGATGAATAGGAGTTAATATACTAGAACTTTTATGGACTGGGTTCAATTCCTTGAGGCTCTTGATATAACCTTTTCATTTTCCGCCTTACTTGACTTTGCTGCTGCTGAATTCGAGGGCATATTGACTATGCCGTATCATACCGCCACGACCACACGTGGAGTTGAGTTCGGCCCTAACCGCTTGCCTAATGAATTGTAGGGCCTTATCCGCTAGCAGCAACGCCCGAAGATAAATTAGCGCTTCATATACTAAACCGGCGCATAAGGAAGGAGCTGTAGGCGCACCATAACCGATTGCGGGAGACAAAGTTAAGTAATATATCGGGTGATAACAACAGTCGCGTGTCTTTCTAAAAGTTTATTAGGAAACACAAAAACCGAGCGCGCTTACTATTACCTACTATGCGAGACGGCAACTTTGTGGCGGAAAATGATACTGACAAAGCGCCACTTTTTGCGGATTACCTCGCTACTTTGTGTGCCTCCCGTTTATTTAGTTGCTGTTGAAGTACTTAGTGATTAAAACTTCCTCGCTGATGCTGAGGAACAGCTGGAGCCAATCACTATAGTCGAAATCGTAGAGGTTAACGCATTACCGAAACGTAAGACACCTGGCCCCTCCGGCCTCACCAACGTGATGTTAAAGCAATTGCCAATGGTGGCGAGAGAACGCTTATGCTGTCTCGCCAACTCTACATTGACTCTCTGCACCTTCACGTTGCGCTGGAAGACTGCAACACTGTTGTAATGTTCCCGAAGACCCCACGACCAGCATCTACGCCAAATATGTACAGGCCTATCAGCTTCTGGTTAGCTGTTGGTAAAGAAGCTGAGGCTGCCATACTGCGCTTCTTGAAAGCATTTGTTGAGCGCAAGCCCCCCCGCCAGAGTTCCATTTGGCTTTCGTCAAAGGACATTCGACGACTTAACAACTCCTTCGTTAAACGGAATGGACGATCCGCTCCTTCAATTTTAAGAAGACAACGAGTGCCGTCTTTCGTGCTGTCGAAAAAGTGTTTGATCGAGTTTGGCACAAGGGCTTGCTTCATAAAATGCGCATGATAGCCCTTCCCACTATACTTTTTAACGTGATCAAATTTTACCTTAAGGACAGCGTCTTTGATAAACGTGGGGACGATACGTGCTCACCCCTAAGACCACTAACAGCCAAAGTCCCGCTATGATCCCTTTTATCACCTTTACTCTTGGCACTTTATGTACCCGACGTGCCACAGCCTGACGACCCCCTACTCGCCGATTGCCTTATAGGCGGAGGACGGCGATTTACTCGCCCCTTTTGAGCCAGCATCTGCTGTACTACCTAACTACGCTTGCCAACTGGTGTCATCGTTGGAAAATTACTATTAATGCAAAGAAGGGCAAAGCCCTTTTGGTCACAAAGAAGCACACCACGCTACTACTGCAGCTGACCTTTGAAAATAAGGTAATTCCTTGGCGTCCTCAGGCTAAGTACCTGGGGGTCATTGTTGACAATAAGCTCTCGCGGCGACAGCACGAAAACTATATCGCGGCGAAGGTCAAGATGACGGTTTAAACTCTTTATCCTTTACTTTGTGCCCGAAGGAAACTCTCGCTGCACAACTAAGACGTTTGTGTTTGTTGTGCATCCGACCGATCATGACATACGCGTCTACTGTCTGGGCTTAAGACTCACCGAGAATAGTCTTTCCACTCCAAGTTAGACCAAACAAACTGCGTCGCCTTATGATGGGTGCTCCGTGGTTTCTTCGCAACGATGCCTTACATCAAGACCTCCAGATTGAACAAGCTGGGTAAGTTTTTCGACGCAACGCTATCGCTGACCGCGCAATGGACTCTATATATATAATATGGGCTGGGGGTAGAATTATTTTAAGTAAATATATATATATATATATGTGATTGCTTTAACACAAGCTAAAAGCTACTACTCTGTACGCTATCGCCTGATGAGAGCTCGTAAATTCGCTGTTTTCTTTTACGGCCCGATCGAGCACCAGGAATATCATTAGTATATAAAAAAAATAAACTTTCAGAAGGACTGCTCCCCTCTGGATGAGGAGCCCATAGAAGGGGAGGCCTGGCTGGCAGTGATGCTAGCCAGTGTGTCCAGGCGGCCCCGGGTCATGTGCCCAGGGCTGTCTTTCCCGGCGGTGGTTTTTTTGGCGGTTTTCCACCATACTAGGCCTAATGGCGAAAGTCCGGGCCCGATGCTTCCCACTTTTTCAGTCCTTCGGGACAATCATGATAGCTCTATAAAGAACATGCACTGGCGGCAATCGCCCCCAACCGCCCATGCTGCTGGTAGAATACGGATTAAGAAGTCTTAGAACCCCCTCCCTCATGGTCTCCACTGTGGCATGAACAAAAAAAAAAATTAAATTTTAGAGCTCGTTTCTCTTATTTTTTTATTTCCTTATTTTTTTATTTTTTGTTGATTACACTACGCTTAGAAAGCAAATGACTGACATCCGAAA